TGAAAGAATGCGCCGAATATCAGTTGGTAATGAGACATTTATGATGCTCAGAACGACGCGAGGCGGGTTTGTCAAAGTCAGTAGTGTCCGCGGTATCGCAAGCCCGAAGTCATTAGTGGATGTCGCCTACATGGTTTCGGTCCCATTCACTGTCAATTCAAATAGTTGTCACGTTCTGTGCTTTCACTCTTCTGTAACATAACAGAGTTCCATTTCCTTTCCTTCCTTCCTTTGTCCACAGATGGCTCTTCGTGTACACTAGAGGGGGGATGGATGGGGTTTGTCGGGGGCTGTAAAATGACTACTGTAATGGGGATAAACATGCAGATCCAGGACGATTTACGCTATCACATGAGCTGCAGGTGTTTGCCAATGGCTGGGGTGTAGCTGTAGAGTAACCAGAAGTACGAGTATAGTCAACATTTGGAAAAATGTTGGCAACATTACAGATGGGGAGCTTTGTGTGTCTCCCGCTGGTGCAGTTCCAGCCGTCCTGCACCTCCCCGAGGCACCTGACCAGCCTCACCAACACACCTGTCCAAACCTCGCCTGGTGGGATTAGTAGGTCCTCCATTAACAGCGTCAAGGGCCGGGAAAGCACATCAAGTAAAGTGCTTTTTGTAAATCATGATGTGAGCAAGGGAACTTTTTTTTCAATTCTATCTTAAAGTCAAAAGTAATGCTAATTATTTTTAAGCTTGCTAGAAGCACCCGAGCAATGTTTGTTATGTATTACATACATTCTTTGAAATTCATTCACACATTCGAAGATGAAGTCCAGCTCCAATTCATCATGTCTGCTTTGCAACACAGCAGTGTTTCAATTCTAGACCAATTAGAGGAAGTCCATATAGCTAAAGGCTCTTTTACACCAAATTCAAAAACAAGATGTAAAAAAAAAAAACTCAATTAAAGTGATTTGATTAAGACTTTATTAACCCAAAATGAGTAATATTGGATATTATTTAAATGTGTCCACTTATATGTTTAAAAATGAGATTTGAGTGAAATGAAAGCTTAGTTTAGAAATGATGAGGAATGGGAAAGCCTTTTCTGTTGGCTCTCCGTGCTACTAATAAGGGGGCAAACAAACAGCACTTAGCTGTAGGAGTGGTGTTGACAGCGGTCTATTTTAGGGTATAAAAGAGAGCTATGAGCAGGCAATGTGCTGAGGCGTCTAACATGGAAACGACACACCTGAGGAAGCTTTAAAGAAATTCAGGGGGGTTTTGTTCACCTCTGTCAAACAAGGAGAAAATCTGGAAAAAGCCACAGCAGGAACATTGCTGTTCATGGTCTCCGTCAAATTAATCCCAAATCAAAGTGCAAGCTAAATTTGATTAAATGGTGACCAGCTCATTTCCCTCACTGAGAATATAGGATTTTTCTACATCTCTTGTTGCTACAGTTGTAAAAAATAACTCAAACTGCACAAAAAAGATGGCATTCTTTTAATTGGTTTTTATAGTGTTCTACGCTGCTCGTGGTATGGAATTTTTTTTAAAATTATTACTATTGCACAGATGTGACAGATTTTAATGACTTGGATTGGTAACTGGGGCAAGAAAAACTTTAATCTCCACAACTTTGATGGTGACCGTATTACATTGGCATTTCTAATAGGTTTATATTTTTTTCATAGTTTTTAAATGATAGTATACTTTAAGTGGACACTCACTCGTTCATGATAATCTGATGGTATCAACGGTTGTCGTTCATCTCTTTTACTAATTTAAAATGGATAGATAGGCGTGTCTGAAATTTCAAATGGGACTGTAAATAAACAATGAAGACCTTTGAAAAGCAAAAGAGAGGCTATAGTGTTACACATGCAGCCATTCATTGAGTAACGTGAACCTATCGTAGCTTTTTTTTTTTCTGTTGCAGACTGTTGTGCCACGCCCTGATCTTTTTTTTCCTTTTTCTTTTTACTTGACTGGAGCAGAGTAGTTGCTCACCTAAGCTTAGTAACAGGACTTGCAGTTAGATGGCAACTCTACCATCCATCTGCTAAATGAGCTGCATTGCATAACTTTTGTGCCCCTTATTGCACAGAAAATCCATTGTCAAATTTTTTTCTTTCTTTCATCCTGCTCTTTCAAATGATTTCTTTCATCAAACAAGTGTGGGTGCCGGACATAGCTGCCCACAAACACGCTTTGGCACGCAAACACACACACGTAGGGCATTGCATTCTCAGTGGCTAATGAGTCCTCCCTCAGATGGTGTTTTAATTAACATGGTTCCCAAGTGAAAAGGACCAGAAAGCGAAATCCAAACACAGGACAGTCCTGGGTCAAATGGTATTACGTTTTTTGGGGAGTATTTGGGGTTAAACTGGGGTCAGGGTCAGCTCCCAGAAAATATTTTTTAGTAGAAACGGAGGCCGTTTCAAACTGTTAAAGAAATCAACAGCAGCCCTGACCATGACTCAACCAATGAAACGGCATTACTGAGCCAGTCTTAGTAAAATCACTCATACTGTAAGCGCACCGTTCCCTCTCGTTCCCTTTAGAATCAAAGGGCTGCCTCCCACATGCTTCACTACACGCTCTGATTACACCAAGCATGTTTTTGCCAAATCAAAAAGTCGATGGCGTGCCCAGACCGGAGCAGAGGTATTGAGGTTGACTCCTGAGACGCTCGAGCACCACGAAACAAATAAAAGAGGATTAGTCCTCAGCGTAAGGTAATGTTTCAGTGTGGGTCAGTTGAGGCCGTGCAGGTTCTAACACCAGACCTTGTCTGAAATATGCATGTATAGACAGGGGAAAGTAGGACAAAGTGCATAGTAATGTTTTCTAAATGTTTTTCCATGTGTATGATACATTAAGGAGGATCTATATTAACTGTCATGAAAAACATGATATTGTTTGTTTTGCACAGTGGACTGGAATTTCCTGATGAGGAATTTGGTGCCTTTCTTTGCAAGTCTGAAAGTATATTGGTACACAGGGACCAAAGATAGAGACTTAGCAGAGTGCGTGGTCATCAGCATATAGTTGTATCTCCAGTAAACCTGATTGGTTAAATGAGAGGCATTCAAGGCTTGTTATCACTGACTTGAGGTTGTTCCTTAGTGCTGCTTGGATCCTAGACGAGGATCGGTTTCATTTTAAGTTAAAATCTGTGTTATTAATGGATGCAGCCAATTTATTATCTAACTTTCTCATTTTAATTTGCTTAAATGGAGACCAGACCCAGACACTGGGGTAAGGCATTTTGAAAAAGCAGCAAAATGGATGCTGCTCATTAAGGGAGGCACAGAGAACAAAGGAAAACTCTGCAGAAAAGCAGAATATCTCTTTTTTATGCTGGAAAACCGATAGTTTCGAGTTATTTTATTTCTTGATCCCTAGTTATTATGTATTTTTCTGCTTACCACAAAGTTTTTTTTGTTGTCTTCTTCTGAAAAATATCTCCGTTCTAAGAATTGTTGTCGTGCCTTTAAGAACACACTGACAGATTTGTTGGCGTTAACCAGAAGATACCACACATGCTTGGCACACACTGAAACTGTGAATCACCGCTGTGTGTTTGAGATCAAGGAGGCAGGAGCCTTCAAGGTGCTTCAAAACAGGAGGGTTTCATTTTTCAGCAATGATGTATGTACTGTGGGGAACAGGGAAATTGGACATAACTGGGCATGGTATCAAGATCGACATTCTCCATTATTGTAACATTCAAGTTTAGTCTGAAAAATAAGCTTGATTTATTTATTTTTTCTGCTGCTGCTTTTCATAAATACATTTTTAAAAATAAGTATAGTAAATTGTTTGTGATGGGGACGCGCAATTGACTGGATCTGCGGGTCGGCCCAGTTAGTGAGTGTGTTTGTGACATTTTGAGAATTGTGGTGCACACAATGCTTCAACAAGTTCTGGAATGCTCTTGCTATAAGCACTCCCATAATGTTTTAACAACTTCCATGCATTCTTTGAAATCCAGTCATGCCTGCATACTTAAGCAACGTGTTTTAAATAGTGAGCCCTGAGTAGAGTCTATGCTACTGCTTAAATGTAACAGTATTTATCATTCATTCATTTGTTGTCCGGTGATCCTTGGTCAGGTTCCGGCTGACACTGGGCAAGAGGCTGGGTGTGACAGTATTTATAAAGATCGTTTTGTGTTCAGTGTATGGCTGATTTAACGTTATGTGGTTGTGGTAAACGTCTACGACTATGCCTTAAAAAGGGGACATTTTGCTGGCTGTAATACGCTTAAATGGGTTTACACCGTGGCAACGCAGGTCGGCTCAAAATCCACAATGCCCTGGTGATGCTGTCAAGACACAAGGCTTGTTGATAAGCGTCTCAAATGTTTAGTGGAGTATGTCAGCCCCTTGGGCTGCACCCCTACTCTACACTCACTCCTGGGTGTGAAAGGATAGGGGCAATGGATGGCGGGGCTTTAGCTCATAAATCAGTCATGGAGGAGAACATTGGAGCTGCGTGCATGTGTATGATTATGTACAGATGAGCAGGCAGTAAGTCAAAACCCGGAGGAAAGAAGATAACATTATGCGAGCAGTGTGAGAATGTTCAACATATCGTATCTCCCAGACATTGCTCTTTATGTCATGTTGTTAGTATACTTATAAATGTGGTTTCGGCAAAAAAAAAGAAGAAGAACAGTGGTGTTTGACTAATGCTTAGTGGAAAGTGGAATTCCTGAAGTGTCCTGAGGAGAAAATCTGGGAGGCATGCAGAAACTGGTTTTAGTCATCGGCAGGCCGACCTAGCCCCAGATGCCAAAGTGTATTAAAAACCATCCTTAGCCTCTTTCAACATATTTGTTTCCATAAAAATATGACTACCATTGGACAATGTAAACGAAAAAGCACGGTTTGAAATCCTAAAATGTAATCCTGCCCATTTAAAAAGAATAAGATTGGTCAATAACATTCCTCATCACCTTAAATCTGTCTTAAAGTTTCCATTCTTTTTCATCAATATCCAAATCCTTGACATGCTTCTTTCTGTTCTCTCGTTTCTCTTTAGGAGGACAATGAGATCCCCTCCAGTGTGGTGGTCAAAGACTCCCTTAAGACCCCACAACCAAGCCAGTATGATGCAGAATCCACCCTGGCCAACCCATCTATTGCAGGCTCTGTCGATGGCATCCGGACCCAAGACGAGGGTCTCCAGACCGTAAGCCTGTCTTCAGATGAGGATATGGATCTTTCAGCAGCACAAGAAGAATACATGCTTGAAGGTGCCGGGGCCTCTTCCCAAAGATTTGAGAGGAGGGCGGACAAGTTCAAGCGCTCCAGTCTGAAGAAGGTGGATAGCCTTAAGAAGGCCTTCTCTCGGCAGAGCATTGAGAAGAAGGTGACCCAGATTACCACCAAGATCGTGCCCCCAGAGAAGCGCGAGAAGCTCAAGAAGAGCCTCACCCCTAACCACCCCAAGAGCCCGACTGCCAAGAGGTCCTCCTTCAAGGTGTCTCCCATGACGTTCAACATCAAGAAAGTCCGCGACGGGGAGACGCCCACACAGGAAATGGGCTCGCCCGAAGCAGAAGCTCATGTGGAGATTCCTCCCCTGGGGAGCCTAGATGGCGAGATTCCCTTAGCCGAGGTGCACACCGAGGGGGATTCGGTGGTGGAGATTTGCGAGATGCTCAGCCCGTCCTCCCCGGAGAGCGCAAGTGTCGAGGTGTCGCTGAATGGAAAAGCGCCCAGCTTGGAGTGCGAGATGAATGGAGAAAGCATGGCTGGCCTGGCAGTTCCAGAGGAGGATGTGGGTGACGATGAAGAGGAGGAGGACGTAGAAGATGAGGAGAAACACAAAAGTCCTGTCGAGGCAGCAGCAGATGCCCAGATCCCCACAGCTTCGAATGCTGTGGAACAAGTGTCTTAAAAGAAATTCTATTACAACTACTAGTTCCACTTTTGAATTAATGTTTTTTTTTTCTTTTTCCTCTTAATGTTTCTAGAATTACTGAACAGCCAACAGGCTCACATGAAATCTGCTTTCTTAGATGGCCCATCCCTGAGCTTTACCCACATCCCTGCCTTTGATTATCAGCAGTTTAGGGCAAAAACCTTGCTGTTGTTTTGCATTAGCAGCCATAGTAGACATGACATAGCACCTCTTGAAGAATTCAAATTGTGGGGTCCAGGACAACTCCTTCTAAACTTTGATATTGGGTTGTCCAAAGAAGGAGCATTACAGCAACACACCATAACTCACGCTTCATCTGGTGCCCACAAGCTAAATGGGTGCACATCTCCAGGGCGCTGAACCAACTATCTTCTTCCTGCTGTATTTATCCTCCTCTGGTCCTCTGTGTTCCTCACTGACAAATAGCCTGTTTTGTTCTTTGTGCTCTTGTGAAAAATAAATCTCTGTCAATGGAGAAGCAATCCGTGGCTGGCTAAAGCAACAGGTTGCCAGGTTGTGCCTGAGTTGGAATGGGGAGTTCTTGCATTCTTAGTGAACGGTTTTAATCACGGATTGTGGCCGTTCACTAGACTTTTGAGATTGAGCAAAGAAAACCCCCTTATCTTTACTTACAATTGACTACAAAAGTACTCAAAGTGGCTCTACCTTGACTCCTGCCACACATCTACCAAGAATGCAGACTACAATTTTGGGATAGTGTCATCTAAACTGGCCTATTCTTTTTTTTTTAGAGCAAGGGAACTTTTTTTTAAATACATTTTTGTAAAGAAATGCTGTTTTCCATCCAAGGCTTCAAGCATTTACAGCTTAAACATGAGGTAAAAAATTAGCCATTATATCTTGATTGCTTGAGTGTGCTTACTTATCTGGTAGAAGTTGTATGTATGACTTTCTCTTTTTAAGACTGTTTGAGAATGAGACTAAATGTATTTGGAGCAACAATCCATACATGAAAAGATAACAGGTTTACTTAGTTTAATATTTTTAAAGAATTACCACTGTCCCAGATGTTGTCTAAGGCCTCATCACTAAGGTCCCCCAGCATTTATGCATGCTCAGACACAGGCACTCATACACTGCCATTACCCCCATAAGCTGGTTTGAGTAATTGCACTCCTGAAGCGATGAATTCCTATGTATCTGTAGATAACACTGTGAGTGTAACATGCTGGAATGTTTCTTCCTTATTGAGGAATTCCTTGCATCCCCCTCTTCTTGGGTCTTAGTTGAAGTTTTACCAGCACACAAAAGAAATGAGAAAGTTGCTTTTTAAAGGGCTACTAAGTACAATGGTCATGTTGAACTCTCTGGGGCGATCGCCATGACGTTTCCAAGAAATAATTTAGCCAGTGCTACCAGGTGCCAAGGTTCCAGATATCAGAGAGGTTACAGAAGTAGATAAAGGCAGAGGACAGCATTCTTTGGTTTGATAGATTACTCCGCCCAAGCCCATTTTTCATGCTTTTGGCCTCCTTTTTGAAAGAGAGTGAGGATCTGCACAGCCACAGGTGTCCTGCCCCTCTAGGGGCTTGTGGAAATGAGTTTGTAGTGGAAGGGGGTACAAATGTGGCTGGAAATGTGGAAGAGGGGTTTCAGGTGTTGGAAAGGATGATAAAGTTGCTTTTGGTTAAGGCATGCATGCATTTTTTGCAGAGTGGCATTGAATTTGTAGAGAGTCTGCAGTGCATTTGACCATGGGAATTGGAAGTTCTTTTCTTTTTCTTTTTACTTTTTCAAAGCTACATACAGCAGTAGCTGACACTGCAGGATAGAGTAACATCTATTTCAGCTTAACTGTTCTACCTGTTCACTAAATGAGGGGAAAATAGTCATTCAGATTTTATTTTTACACAAAGCAGTTAAAACAACATTTCTCAGACAATTTTTGTCAAGATTGAGAAAATAAATCTATTTTATTTCGAATTTGGACACAGTCTGAAAATGGACATAGGAAACTTAAACCACTTAACACAGAACCTGTTGTGAGACTGGGTAAAAACATATCTACTGATCATGTGAATACTAATTCAAGTCGTCACAAATGCTTATTAATGCTATCATGCCTTTAACCTATTGTATTAAAAATAACAAAATGGTATGTTATGCACAGTAACATTTGTTCATTATTTCAAGGTTTTAATAACGTCTTATTTGAGTAAATTTGGTGGTAACATTTAAACTTGTAAATGAACATCACTCTATATCTGAATTGTATTAATATATTGAGATCAATAGATATTACATAATGAAAACTGGTATTATAATATTAAAATGCATTCTTACTGCACATAATTATGTCCATCAGAATAATTAAGGAGATTTAAGAGTCTATTCTCATCATGACTTTTTGAAAATAGATGGTAAAGATATATTTGAAATACAGTTGTTTAGCTGTATATTTTTTGTCATCAATCAGAAAATGAGACCTATCACTTGTCTTACTCCATTTATTGAAAACCTTTTCTTCACCTGTTTGTTAATAATTAAAATAAAAAAAATTAAAAAGATAGTTTTTCTTTCTATAAGTTTACAAATCAAGGTTCGATCATAAAATAAGTGCCACGTGGGATGAATGCAGCACATTTTTGGGACGTATAAGATGGTGAAAATAAGAATTAAACTTGGCTTTTAAACAATAATTACTGTGTTGTTTATAAATTGCCATATAAAAAAAAGTTTACTAGTTACTCATAGTGAGAGAAGATTCAGAGCCTTTTTTTTTTTTCTTTTTGTGTGTTAGATTATGTTACGTTCTAATAATGCTGGGAATGTAAAAAGAAAAAAAGACATATGAAAATATATACTGTATGTTCACCCTATTTTGTGCAAAAGTTTGCTTTAGACATTTTGTTTTAGAGTTTGCTCGAACGTTCAACAAGCACATACCCTAAACTTTGTCAAGTTGTGATTTTATGTTTAACATGATCTGTGTTATTCCTTTTGTAGCCTGATCATTTAATAAACCACTCAAACCAAAGATGTCTCTCTTACATTAGAGGATTTCCTGCCACCTGAGTGTTTGAATACGTGTTCATCTCCATGCATCTTGCATTCAGACATTCAGACATGTTTGTCAAATGTGAGTGTTCTAGTCATCAATAAAGATTTGTCAACACTAAAACTGGGGTTTTTACTTGTTATTTACCGTCTCAGTGAAGAGGAGATGTCACACGTGTCTTCTGCAGTCTCATACGGCCACTCCCGCATAACCAAAGACAACGTGCAATTAAGTTTGCTGCAGCTTTGGCCAATGCAGTTGTTTGGACGTGATGTAGGTCTGAGCGCTCACCTATGGCAAACATGAAGTTATGGGTTAGGTGGGGAGTTCTCACAATGAAAGGAGTGGTTTTCGTTGCTGCCCTTGTTTGCACAGTAAAATACAGGGATTTGGAGTACTCTGCACAAAGTCAAGATTTAGTTAAGGTTTGGTGAGCCCCATTATTAGGAGTTGCTTTACTAAAACTCTAAAATAGCTGACTTGTACACTATGGTTTGATCTATGTGCTGAATTTCTGTCCAGCTTTAGGCCCAAAAGTAATATATTCTGTTTTTACTGATAAAGACTTTGGATTATTAGGATAACATGTCCATTTGTAAGTTAGAAAATGTAAATGCTGTGGGTTTGCCATCTTCTAAACTGATCCCTCAGATTTTACTTGTACCTGAAATAGGCTGGAGCCCTTGTTCCATTCTTTTACTCTTGATAGTTTTTATAGATAGTAATGGATGTGATTTTTTCAAAATCTGCTTCAATAGCGTTGTGACATTTATCAACTGTTCACTGCTATATTACCTTTAAGCTGACTTTCTGTTTTCCATGGAGGACCTACATTCAGCTGGTATGGTAGTGACAACAAAATAATATTGTAGACATAGTACTTTAATTCTAACCTAAATTAAGAAACAGCATGGATAAATGTCTGTTTTAGGCGTGGTGAGTATAAATGACTTTCTACGCACGGTGGGGCCGTTATTCTTTCAGCAGATTTGGGCTTGCTGTCTCTCCAGCTGTATTCGTGGCAGCGGCAACAGGAAATGGCACTTCCGCTTTGAAGAGGCAGCTGCCAGAGGGACCCCGAGGTGCCACAGTCTGTCCCAGTGTGGCCAGACCAGCTGTCACAGCCTTAAAAATGCGGCTGACGCTTTTTCCTTTGTTTTTTTTGTGAAGGATAATGCTGATTATCGGCAGACGGGCTATCATTATTAGCTACTGTCTGTTAGTCAGTAATTACTTCCAAATCATCATACTGACCCAAATATAAGGTCATGTTTATTCACTGTTTATTTATTAATATATTTGTATTCTCTATTGGCTGTCTGTGTGGGGGGTTATAACGTGTGTGTCATTGGATGAGAAAGTTAGCGTGGTCATCGCCACCGCAACTTTTGTGAACTATCAACATAACAGTATCAGCTTAAAGGGTTTGACAGATTGTCTGCCACCATGTGAGGCCATCGTGGAATCCTATGGCAGATGCCACAGCATAGTGGCCACCGGAAGTGTCTTATCCTGTTCTCTATGCAATAAACTGAACTTCCTATCTCCACCTTTCAGGTTAAATGGCTTAAGAAATGTTAGGAACCACCAGTCGGTATGGAATTTTATTCCACTCAATGTTTAAAAAAGTTGGAGGTTTAAGATTTCTAATGTCACCGTTTTTAAATTGCAGCTGAAACACTGTTCATAACTTTTCTCCACAAAAAGAACTGCTTTGGATAATAGCTGTATTACTATTAATTAAAGTGTATATAATGAAATTATCAAGATATTAATGTCCAGAGACATTCTCTAAAAACTGATGGGATGACATAATTGATTAAAAAGTAAAAATAAACATCTAGGAAAAGTTTACAAATATTTTTCCCAGAGGAGAGTCGTTTGTTGATATAAACTGGTACTGGACATGGTTGTGTCATCCAGATTCTGAATTTCACATAAGATCAGAAAGGTTCACTTAAAAATTGTGGATGACATTTACCCATGTAGTAAAGCAGTTTTTAGGTTTGCTGAAGTTGATCAAAAAGATTTGATAGGAACAATTTTACACTTGTTTTGGATTTGTTCATTGTCATCTTTATTTTGGAGGGATATGGAAAATCTTATCTGCAGTAAGACTAAACAGTGTATAACAATTACACCCAAATGTACTGCTCCAAAATTCAATCATAGAGATAAAGCTATTTGTTTCATTTTAAACTGTATGATTTTAATGGGTAAATTTAATATTCACATTCTTTTTTTATTTCCCATATCCATCCCAAACTTTATTTCCTTCACAAATGAGTTTAATGTTTTTTGATACCTGGAAACTGACGTCAAACAAAAAAAGTAGACAAACATTATTATATTTTTGGACAGCTTTACTTTACTTACCCCAGTTACTGTGTATCTGTAAACATTTAGATTATTCAAATTGTTGATACATTTTATCTATCAAATTGATTAAAATGTCTTTATATTAACAGGTTTTACCAAATGCCTGTTTCTATGCTTTTAACCTTCTTTACTTCCTGTGAATTAAATAAAGTTTTTAAAAAAACAACAACTTACTGTCTCAGTTCTTCAACACAAACCAAAACCGAAAAAACGTGTGGTCGAAATTAGGTACAGCCTGAAATAGAAAAATGATTTTTTCACTGAAAAAAACAATAATTTGACGCTGAAAAATTAAAATAAGTGAAATCGGGGGGTTTTACTGGCGGAGGCGAGCTGGTTTCGTGGTGTTTGTCTCCCTCCAGTGTTCGACGCAACGTCCAGCAATTTCCGTTTCCGTTCTCTGACGTACTTCCTACTTTGCTTATCGATGTATTAACCGCAATTATCAACAGAGAATTGATAAGTGTGAATCATAATTTATACATCTATACTGTATGTACACCAGATACATTCTGTGTGTGTTTAAAAATGGTATGTTGGGCTGGCTAAGTATTGTCACGGTGGCCGAGAGGTTAAGGCGTTGGACTCGAAATCCAATGGGGTTTCCCCGCACAGGTTCGAATCCTGTTCGTGACGACTTTTTATGTTTGACATTCTCAATCATACTTTTTCGTTAAAATTCGCATTGTAATATATTTTGTAATTATGGTAATCGCTTGTATTATTTATGCTTATCTATAACAGTGAAACATTTCATACTTCCAAAATATTGAATTAGTTTGAACTTTGACCACGATAATAATGGTGGTGATACTAATCTATAATAGCTGACTTAACAGAAACGACTGGATCTTGAAAATGATGTGATTTCACTTTTAAAATAAATACACTATTGAACGTGTGATGGTTCTCGCTGAAGTCTCGCAAATGTCGTCTTCTCTCGCGTTATCTAAGTATGAAGTCCTCATGGTACAACCGGCGTATCTTTTTCTTTCTTTGTTGACTGGACCGAACCTTTTATGACATTGTTCTTTTATCTTCAAACGTTTTATACGTTCAAGACAACTACATTTTGGTGATGTTCTATATATTTTTAAGTTGTTCTAGAGTAAGTGTACCCCTACTCTTTGTTGGATAATGGAACTGGCCGAGTTAGATAAATTTGACCGGCAGCGCATGCTGACGTAGATTCTGGGGCATTGTTCAAGCGGGCATGATAGTGCAGTGAGCTAGTGGCTCAGATTTTAAAACGAGTTTTGGTTAGGTATTAATAATCAGGACATCTGAAATAACGCTGTCTAACAACTACAACGTTGTAGGGGACACAGTCAGATATAGGCACATTAGTCGTATAACAAAGCATTTGGCCAGATTGCGCGTTGACAAAGCTAACAGTTCCTTATAGTTACAAGAGCAACACAAAGGAAATGCGGTCGATTGGGTTCAAAATACCAACGTAAGGAAGAGTTGTTTAAATGGTCGAGGGATACTGTTGTCTCTAAAGTCCTGGCAAAACAAACAACATCAGGTTGTTGTGTAATGCCCAGTATTTGCAGTGGTGATCGTTATATGACAACCACTTCATATTTGATTGGCGCTTGTGGATTTGTAAACGTGCTGGTAATGTTTGACCGATTTTAAATTCGCGTATAATCGCTCAAGTTTTTGCTCTAAACGCGTGATTAGTACGGCTTTCCCGTCAACGTGGTAACGGGTAGGATGAATTTGCCATTATGGCAACAATCGTGACAGGCGAAGTACCAAAAGTCTTGAATCCTGACATTAAAACAGGACAAGATAGCTAACGGCAAGCTAGAATTAACTAAAGTAATTATTGGTACAGCTTTCTTACTAGCCGATTCTGTCACACTTGACAATTTGCTTCCGCCGTTATAACGTTATTAATCTAAATGTTGACATGTATTTGACCATTGTGTCAAAGTTATAAACTATAAGCAAGTGTCGAAGAAGGGTTTCGTTAGCATTTGGCTAGCAAGCTAATTAGTCAGCAGAGCTAAAGCTACTGTTGTAGCTGCCTATCATTAAGTAACGACAGCCAGCGCTACAGGGTTAAAGTAATAGGACGCAAAGGTATCCTGGTTATTTTTTTTTACAACAGTCAAATAATGGCTGCCCCTCCAACCGAGGCATTGTTTTTGCTAAAAGATGTGAAGCCTGGGTCGAAGAACCTAAATATCGTATTCATCGTTTTGGAGATAGGTGAGTAGTCGGGTGAGGCTAAAGCACTACGTGCCCCACACAAACTCGTGCTTTTTTTTTTTAAAGGGACCGAACGTAATTTTATGTACTCAGTCTGCAGTGGCTCGGGATATTTATGAACATTTAAAAATATCCCGCCAGCCGTTTAACCCTGGTCAAAGTAGCTTTCTCCATTTTGTTTATAACCTATTTTCTTCTTTATTTCCTTTTCAGGTCGAGTAACGAAAACGAAAGACGGCCACGAGGTGCGCTCGTGCAAAGTGGCAGACAAGAGCGGGAGCATTGCCATCTCAGTCTGGGATGAGCTGGGTAGTCTGATCCAGCCAGGGGACATCATCAAGTTAACTAGAGGGTATGACTGTTCCTGAGGTTGTAAACCAATGGGTAGCTGGCTAGCACTTCCTAGTTGTTTTTAATAAGTTGAATATGTTCCTTCTTTTTTTAGCTATGCTTCTATATGGAAAGGCTGCCTGACCCTATACACTGGAAGAGGAGGTGATCTTCAAAAGATTGGAGAGTAAGCGGTCACAGGCCTATTTTTCTTTACACTTATCTCAAGATAATCTGTTTGGCATGTCCTTGTTAAAGCAGCATAAAACAACACAAACACATTGGTTTTCAAAACATGGCTTAGGACCAATGATGGAACATATCTGGTTTTTGTACAATATATATTCTGAGCTGGTCAAAAAACACCTTGTCTACCTACAATGTTATACATCTTTCCCAATTAGAAACTATTGCTTGATAAAATGAATTCCTCTTTTCTTTTTACTCACCTGTGTGCTTTTTTTCCCCTTTGAATTATTCTACCAAGTGTATCGATCATCAGATGTAATTGTGGTGATAAGTTTCAAATCTGACTGTCTCCTTAGATTTTGCATGGTGTATTCAGAAGTGCCCAATTTCAGTGAACCAAATCCAGAGCTACAAGGCCAAGGAAACCAGCAGAACAAGTCTGTGAGTAGTTGTGGACCCTTTCCGAACTTGGCCACAAGTGTCTTCCCTTAATAGTTTCAGATCAGCCATACTAGCTCTTAGTGTTTATTTTAAACAATAAGAAGAAGATGGAATTTTTTTCTAAACATTTTTATGAGAAAATTGACCAGATCGAACCAGCAGATCCCTTGGGTTAAAAAAAAAAAGGACCATCAATGTGAAATTTAATGTTTCACAGGTTACATTTGGAGATTTTTGCTCAAATTGATTTAATTCTAAGCAGAATATTCCACTAGCGTCACTCTGGATTCTTATAGGTTAAATCAGGGGTGGTCAATTTAGCCCTCGAGGCCCAGAGTCGCCCACTCCTGAGTTAAATAAATTAAGGAATTGACCTGACAATTTGAAATGACCGGCTTTTGCCATGTCATCAAGCTGCGCAGCCCTTTTTTATTTTTTGTTGTGAATGTGTGGCGTTTATCTTACATTCTAACTCCCAAACAGGGTAAGCCGGACCAGAACCAGAGGGGAAACTCTCCACCTAATCAGAATTCAGGTACTTCTGCCCCTCCAGGTCAGTGTTTATTTATAGATGCATTTGTTTCTGTGCATTAAAGTGAAATCCACCAGCAGAGTTATGCATATCCGGCATAAAATGATACTTAAGTGCTAAGGAAATATAGGATGTTTGTGTTAAGCTGGTAGACCTGTTGAAATTTGTGTTTATTTTTGGTTATTTGAACACTTTTCATTTCCCGACCCACAGGTAACGGTGCCATGCCCCCCTTTTCCGGCAACCCGCCTCCGGGTGCCCCCCGCGATCCGGCGTTCGGGAGCGTTGGCCGACCCAACGGCAGGTCTCCCGGCAACGGTGCGCCTCCGGTTAACGCAGCCGGGCCCCCCCCAGCCACAAAGTCCTCAGTTACCATTAGCAATGGCAGGGACCCGCGACGTGCCAAAAGATGAAACTGGGGCCGGGGGTGATCATGCGCTGAAACATTTTGGGAGTACCCCCGACCCCACAACCCCCCCCCTCTGCTCCACCACAGCCTGTACAGGCTTTCACAATAATGGATTTTATTTTACTATTATTATTATTACGGACTACTTGTACAGGCTAACATAGTGAAGTGTGTCTTTGTCTTGCATAGTGGTCACAGTCTACCACTCGCACCGTCAGAACCCCTACAGTTAAACACCCAATGGTTTAGTCGTGGGCAGCCTCTTAGTCCACGTTCTTGTCCTCTAAATCTGTTTGCAACTAAGCCGTTCTGTGCCAGTGTTATCTCCTTCTCACAGCAGCCTGCTCCTCTTTCACCCTACACACACCCTACTTGAACACTCGATGCACTTTTCTCTAATTTATGTCGAAGCTTAGCTGTCATTCAGATCAGGAAATCTGTTTCCACTGGCTTTTTTTTGTTTTGTTTTGTTTTGTTTTGTTAATAAAGTGGAATAAGCCTTATCTAGGTGGGAATCAGATCTTGGACCGAATGACCAAGTGAACTTCTTTAAAAGGGTCTTCCCTCTCTTAACCAAACTGTATCCGAAGTGACTCTGTAAAAGGAAAAGGGTGTTAGTTTTGAATTTTTAAAAATGTCAATTGGTAAAGTTTCTCTTCTCTCTCTGTTTAAGATGTGTTTTCTTGTTTGCCCTCAGCTGTACCCTTTTTTTTTATCAAGGTGGGACCACTTAAAAAAATAGCAAAGGTTCACCAAATAAATTTTAGAGTAATCTTGCTGCCACAGTTGGTTTTCTTTAATTTGTTTGAGGATTTGAATTACTGTTACTGTCAGCTTTTTTGTTCAATTAGTGAGAACGCTGGTTCATTTGCAGGAAAACATCTCTGTAAATGTGCTTCCTTTAGCTTCAGTTGCTGAAAATAACCATCAAATGCGCACACACTTGCTACAAAAGTACCCCGGTCAAACCCTGACATAAGGACATAGGTTGTGGGTTTGCAAACTGACCAAAGTACGTCCTTCAAAACCCTCCACACTGTGAAACGTGTCACCGTGAGAGCTCCAACAGTGATTTGCAGCATGTTTCCACATCATTAAAGTTGTTTCCATTCTTCAGCTCCATCTAGTGCCCAGTACACTACATTACCTATTGTTCAGAGTTCCCTATTAAACTTGTTTTGGTTAATATAAGCGAGTGGGAGAACTAATACTTCAGTTGAGCTTCCCCTTTCACGCGGGGCGAAGACGTCGTTTGCTGTACGTTGTCTGAAGAATATGGAGTAATTGCAACTGAAGCAATGCTTTTCACACGACAAAGCCCCCGTTTCTTCACATCCTTTGTTGCACCAAGCACCTAAACATGAGAGCCTCTGTATGTCAAACCTTTCCCCTTTACATGAACCTTTTCATTTAGTTTGCCCTTTTAGATAAAGGGATGACAGTAGCGTATGACAAATTATTAGAAGTTGGGCCGTTGTAGTTATGTAACTGAATATAATATTTTGATGGAATACAAATCAAGATACGTGAAGTCCATAATAAATTTGTCCGGATGACTAAACTAACCATTTACTTCAATGAGCTTGTCTCCTTAACTGAGAGTGATTCACCAAAAGCGCCTTTAGATTATTAAAAAGCAGTTATAGAAGACTTACCTTGTCCCTGATGTTACAACACACCAAAATATGGCTGCATATATGTCTAATAAATACCCTAAAATTTAAGATTAAATGGTGCTGTGTGGGATATGTTTGTCATTCCTGTAGGATATCTTATGTTTTGTTTTTTTATTATCACCTCCAAGAAAAAAAAGCCAGCCTTTGAAACCTTAAATTTGAACAATTCCGATGAGTGAAGACGGAAATCATGGAAAAATGGCAGTTGATGAGTGGTCAGATGATAAAAACTAGATGTCGGATACAAATCGGGGTGGATCTGATCTTTTTATTTATGGGGCTTTCGGGTGATTTCATTTCACTTATTTTAACAGAGCTGTTTCTGTTTAATTCCAGTGATTTCACATTTCTTATTTAGCATTCTTTTTTTTCTTTATCACAACTATTTTTATGTCATATTTAACGCTTTGGTAAGCACTTTATATAGTACTGTTTTAATAAAGTTATTATTGTGCGTCATAATATCATATGTAACGCCTTTTTTTTTTTTTGCTCAGAGCCTTAACTTGACAACATGTTTATACACTTTTAACCACTGCTGGGAAATAAAACAGAACTTGTGACATTGAAAGTTGAAACACTCGAGAGCTGCGGCAGGAAATGTGATGCACTCGTGTCAACAAAGACACATGTCATGAGGGGGGAACTTCCTCCAAGCTCTGGTGATTTTAAATCTTCTCTTTTTTTATTTCCATTCTGATCTGATTGAGGTTTTGAGTTATCCACCACACCCCCAGATGGCTTTTGTATTAAAATATTGTTTTTGATTTAATTGGAAGTCTACATTAGTCTCTTTAAATAAATCTGACAAAAAAAACTCGAAATTATTTTTGAAATATCATCATTTATTAACCTGCCATAAGTGAAAATTATTCTTGTGTAGGCTCAGCCCGCTGTTATGAGGTATATCTGACAGGCTTTTGAACAAAGTTTTTACCATTAAATGCTACAAAATGTCTCAGATTTCAAACATTTCATAAACCATGCGTATATAATAGTGCACAGGTGGCATTATAGGGTTAAAATAATCAACAAATTCAACATTTGCACATATGAAAGTATGATATTCCTGTGTGTAAATACAAAAATAAGTTTTAAAATGATTGGATGCATGTTTCAAAATCAGAAAATGACTTTAAATGGAATTAGCAAATTCAATTTTTTTAAAAATCCAGAATCAGTCGATAGTGGATGGATCTCTTTCAATTTCAAACAGGATGACAACAAATCTCATGACACCTATGACTCCACAAAAAGTCTGGGGGCGGGGTTGGGGGGGAAGTACTGGGAATTATGAAATACCCAACAAGTGAGTTCATCTTATTGATGGATACAGTCTCGTCTTGCTTTTGAATCTTGACCAGGTCTAAGTCTTTGAGCTGTGCAACAAAGAGGGGAAGTTTGCCTGATGGGAGGGGTGTAAAGAACTGGAGGGGACCGTTTCTTTTGCCACCGTGACAGATGAAGAGCCACGAACCAAGACGACATCACAATGACTGGTGAGTATTTTTACCTTGTAAATGAACATTGTTTATTCAGTGATTTTACTCTCTGAGCACAGATATATAAACAGGAAAATGTGCAAGCTTTAAGCACCTATTTAACCTCCTGAGACCCTGCATCCTCATATGAGGACATTTAATTTTTGCCTCTCTTTGCTATGATTCGCCTTTTTTCTCAACTTTGACTTCTTGGCCTCAGTAAACACTATCAGAGACTGTTACTGTTTTAAAAGTAACCAAATTGCGAAAAAATTTAATTAAACATATACAACTATCAGACACTACTGTTTTAAAAGTAAAATGTTAATACAGATTTTCAACCAATCATGTTCTTATTGTGTAATTAAAATTGTGTAATTAGGTCATCTGGACCTTCATAACTAAATTGCAAAAACATTTAATTAAACATATAAGCAGACATTTTGAATATACGATATACCCAGTGAGTCTATATGAAGAAAAACTACCTGTACCATTACAAAGTCCAGTTTTTAAACTTGGTAGGTCCTACTAACCCCATATGTCTCGAAAAAAGAAAACATGTACACCAAATAAAAGCTCGGCTCTCAGGAAGTTAACTTTTTCTGTATGAATAATATCTTTTGTAGCCTACCGATGGCAGGTTTATTAAACATTTTTTGCCTGATTTGTTCATTTATCCTGTCCGCAGATCCAAACACATCTTCATTTATGTATGACTTTGCCTCTATTTATGACGAGCTCAACATTTCTTACAATTTTGGGAACGAGTCAGAGTTTGTCCTTAACCCGGCAACGGAGCCCTGCCCCTCTACGTTACCGAATATCGTGACCTACGCCGCCTGTGTATTCTACATCCTTATTTTCCTGATGGCTATCCCTGGAAATCTGGTGGTGGGGCTGGTGATCGGGCTGAGCAAGCAGTCGCTGCCGCCCTCTGACCTCTACCTCCTCCACCTGGCCATCGCCGACATCCTGCTGGCCGTCACCCTCCCGTTCTGGGCCACCTCCGTCACGGTGGGCTGGGTGTTCGGGGACGCCGCCTGCAAAATGGTCACCGTGGCCCAGGAGCTGAGCTTCTACTCCAGCATCCTCTTCCTGACCTGCATCAGCATGGACCGCTACATGGTCATCGTGCGGGCCATGGAGGCCCGAAAAGCCAACCGGCAGCTGGTCAGCTGGGGGGTCTGCGCCGCCGTGTGGGGGGTGGGGACGCTCCTGTCTCTGCCCGGGTTGTTCAGCTCGTCTTTCGCCGCCAACAACTCCAGTCGGCCGGTGTGCGCCGAGAGTTACGACCCCGGGAGCTCGGACGAGTGGCGGACGGCCACCAGGGTCCTCCGCCACACCCTGGGCTTCCTCGTCCCCCTGGCGGTCATGCTGCCCTGCTACGGGACCACCGTCCGGCGGCTCCTGCGCGTCCGCGGCGGCGTCCAGCGGCAGAAGGCCATGCGGGTGATCGTGTGCGTGGTGGCGGCCTTCCTGCTGTGCTGGACGCCGTACCACCTGGCGGTGATGGCCGACACCTTCTACAGGGCCAGGCTGGTGGCCTTCGGCTGCCCCGCCCGGAGGGCGGTGGACCGGGCCATGTTCGCCACGCAGAGCCTGGGCCTGCTCCACAGCTGCGTCAACCCCGTGCTGTACGCCTTCGTGGGGGAGAAGTTCAGGAGGAGGTTCTTGCAGATCCTGGCCAAGGTGGGAGTCGCGGAGAGACCGTCCATCTCCAGAAGCAGCCGGTCTTCGCTCTCATCAGAAATGACATCGACATTCATGTGAAGCGTCACTTCAACCAATTGAGGGGGATTGGTTACAAAGTGATGGTCAATAGCTTTTTCTTTGTTTTTTGGCCGTGTCATTATTTTGTTTTCATTTGTTTGTTTTGCCTTTAGCTACCTTGAAACTCATTTCAGTTTTGTTTTTCTGTAATTTTCATCTTATTCATCTTGACAATCCATTACACTTTTTTTTTTTTGCAAAATACTTCCTCAGGTTAAGCCTTCAAAGCCGGATCCAAGACAAATAGGAAGAATGTTGGATTTTTTTCGTCTTAAGTGTTTTTTTTGGCCCCTCAACAACATATGAATAAAAAAAAATGAAATTATTTTGATCAAATTAACATGCAATAAGTCAAAAATACAACAGGGGTTTGAGCAAAGCTTTTACCACTGAATGATCCAAAAAGTGTCAGATCCAAAAGACTTCAGAAACCATATGTATAAAATATGATACATTGGGAATTATAGGGTTAAAGCTGGAACAACTTTCAGTCTTCTTTTTTCTTTTTTTTTTCTTTCTGATTAGCCGTTTAACCCCCCCAGTCTCTCATCTGTCATGTTTAGTTCTTCAAAAAAAAAAGAAAGACAAATGGCCAGCCATGAAACTATTTCAAAACATATAACCATTTCAAGAATTAACATCTATTCACGAATGCCAATGGATTCCTGAGAAAGATGACTCAGATTCACAACAATTCAGTGTTACATGGTGAAATATTTCATCGATGTGCAATCTCACATGAATGTGTAATATGAAATGACAATTAACCAATTGTCTATGAAAAAGCTATTTAGTTTTCAGTTCACTGTGCATTTGTTGTGTATAAAATAAAAGATAAATGTGTTATCTGCTGTATTTTTTTAATGTATTAAACTTTTTTATGTGACTTTAAGCCTTGTTAATTGTTCGTTTTTTCTGTATAGTGTAATAAACATTAAAGTTTGATAGAAACCTCATCACTTTTCACCTTTCCTGTTCAAAATTACCAATGAGTGACTTTCAGCAGCTGATATTTAAGTAATGTTTATAAGAAGAAATTATGACAGCTTCTAAGCTTTGGGGGAAGAAATAACAGAAGTTCTGTGACAATAGGAAAATTGCAGCATAAGAACTGGGTCAAAGATGAAAAATGTTCTTCCCCTTAATTGCAAAATTTTCTCTGAGAAATGAAGCTGATATGCTCACAAATCCAGAAGCTTTTTAAAAATCTTTTTTATGACATAACATAAATTCCTACAAAGCCAGACACCACAATCAATTCTTAAGGTAATGTCCTTGGTAACATAGCGCACAATCAATTATTTATATTTTGACCGGACAATCCTTTGAATTTCTTATTTCTATCAAAAATATCCACACGGTATGGAAGAATAAGTGTGCTGGTTTGGGATATTTAATTAAAACCCTCAACCTCTATACCACTCCAACCATTAGGTCTTGCACTAGAGCTACCATCATTCATTTTCCTTATCCATCCATGTATACTCACCTGATGAATCACTGACCATTTAAATGGCTGAAACCTGCACTGTAAATGTTCATCTGCAATATCCTGCTCCACCACTAGCAAACCTACAATCTTGTAAACCAGCTGATGTGAGTCGGCTTTGTCTTCTACCTTGCTTTACAGGTAGACCATTAATTTGCCTGCCCGAATTTGTGTTTATGACTCAATACACCAACCTATAGCTAAGAAACTGATTTAAAAAAACAAAACCTTTATAAGTGATTATCAAAAGTTAATTTAGGGGTAACTTTTTGAAGTGTATATTAGAAACTTTACATTTCTGAGAAAAAGAAAACAAGGAAACAAAAATGTTAGCGTTACTGGAGAAATGTGGTAAAATACATCAACATATGCAAATCGACTCCCTTATTAAGAGAGAATTAAGTCTATATAAGGTAGTTTATCGCAAAGGGAGGAAAAAATCAATCCATTTTGTCCATTACAACTTTTTTCCTTCTTTAACATGCCTCTAGTTTTAACCTCTATTGTTCCTCTGGTGATAAACCTAAAAACGGGTGGGGTCTATTAGCGACCCTAACACTGGAGGAAGGTTAAGTCATAGAACTGACTCTGTTTTAACACCAGAATAACTTGTTGGCTTTTATTAAGCTTTTCATGTTATGAACAAAACATCACTGTAGTCATCATTCTGTTTATTGATGTATATTCAGAAGATACAAAAATGGAAAAAAAAATATCTTGCTTTAAGTACTTGTATCTGTGTTTCATAGAAAAGTTAATGCTCACCAAGGGAGTGTAAATGACTTCATGAACTACATCTGACCTAGAAAATATGATGATGTGACACACACTCGCACATTGCTTCTTAGTTGTAAAATCCCAGATTCTACCACAGACGAAAGTGATTCCCGAAGATGAATTCACCCTTATACAGAAATATGGATGCAGTTGATGTTGACATTTTCCTCCTTGATGTTTGTTTCTGGTTAGATCGACATCTCCATCTGTCTCCAATACGAGGAACGTAGCCCTCACAGCCACATTTTGGTAACATTGAGCAATCCAGTCAATTAGTTTCACAACAATTACAGGGAAACCGTTTACAATTACTGGAAAACTGTATGATTTTGTGGCATTTTGACTCACATTTGCATATCTACTGTGAGGAAAACAGATCATAACTTGTATTGCAACCACTGCAGGCTACACAAACCTCACTCTGTGATTTCTAAACATGTTTAACCCTATAATGCCAAATGTATCATATTTTATTCATACAGTTTCTGAATTCTTTTGGATCTGAGACTTTTTGCATCATTCAATGGTAAAAGCTTTGCTCAAACCCCTGTTGTACACATTCAGATATACCTGATAACAGCCAGTAGAAGACTACACCAAAATACATTTTTGACTTATTGCACGCTAATTTGATCAAAATCATTTCTGTTTTTTTTCTTCATATGTTGATGAGGGGCCAAAGAAAGACTTCAGACTAAAAAAAATCCAATATTCTTCCTATTTTCCTTGGATCAGGCTTTAAAGGGTTAACAGGTCCAGTATATTTATGATCAGAAACCTTAATGACAGAAATTGGATCAAATCTGTCACATCACGTTAGTCTTCACGGCGACATCATATCACATTTCTCATTCAGCCATAAAGGACATTGATAATATTCCAATATTTCTCCTGGTATTTTAACATCTGAACTCAATTGCAAGGGCAGTGTCAACCTTTGCGTATGGCTTGCGAATTAATGATTTGGTCTTATTCAAGCCACCCCTAGCTGAGTGCCAAGTGTTGCACCATGTTCTACTGACCTCAGGGTTGGCTAAAAACGACACGGGGGCGGTATCCCGGTGGTGAGTGGGCAGACAGACTATGCAGCTGTCATCGTACGGCTCGCCCGGGCTGTGACTGTCATTTCTCCCACCAGACCGACTGGCAGAGGTTGGGGGGAAATCATGAGAAGGGTCGCTTAACTCATGGGACGAGGAAGGGGGTTGGGGTCACCGTGCAACTTGTTGGATAAGACTTGATGCTTCCATGCAACCAGAAGAACAAGCGAGACCAAATCTCAAGGAGACTGGGATTAATGAGGAGACCCATAGAAGACTTGTGCGGTGAAGAAGTTACGCACTACCAGAAAAACGGTTACTTTAGAATCAACCATTAAGAGAACGCGAGGGAAAGGAGTTGGAGAAGCAGCTCCGTTACTTCCCAGAGACAAGTCGAGAGAGTTGCTGCTAATGCAACATGATCTGGTGGGTCTTACCCTAAAAATACCACCGTGCTGAAGAGTGGAAGCTATCTCTGCTGCTTGATTAGCTGCTGATCAACAATTCCTTGTTCTTCTTTGGACAAAACAGGTTAGAAAATGCTTAGAAAACTTAGGAAGACTTAGTAACATTGGATACGCTACAAAGGATTTTGATTTCTTATTCATTCTCCAGAAGACTGAATGGATTATTTGATCTTTAAACAATGTACGAATAATCTTAAATGTGATTTATATGTAAGGCCTGCGTGTAGACTTTGATGCCCTGACTGGATTTCAGTGTCAAAAAATTCAAAAGGGCTTTTTTTTAGTCCCTTAGCCCAACTAGACAGATTCGGAACCCTGTTTAGGGCCTACCAAATTTGCTAAACCATGAGAAAGGCAGATGTTCAAATGACCCTTAAAAAAGGGGCAGATGAGTCAGTGCCCCCCCCAAGTCCCATCATCCCAAACAAACGGTCCAAAGCCAGCCCGGAGCAAGTCGGACAAGAACCTCGGCCCGGTCATCCCACCCCGGCTCCACCGGTTTTCGTCCGCAAAATGAGGAACGCTGCGGTGGGAACCGGCTGCGACATCCGTCTCAAAGTGACTGTGGGTGGAGATCCCCAGCCCTCGCTGTACTGGTACCATAACGAAGACCTCCTGAACATGGAGAACCAAGAGTACGGAGGGCTTTGGATTAGGGACTGCAAAGCCAGCGATGCCGGTCTCTACACCTGCATCGCTAATAATCACCTGGGAGAGGCGCGGACGAGCGCCGTGTTGGCCGTCTTGGATCTGGGCGAAGGTAAAGTCAGTAATTATGAATATAGATACAACGTTTCACGTTTACTGATGGAGACGTTTTAGCTCCTACAAGAATCACGTTACTAGGCCGGAACTGTTTTTCATTGAACAAACTAAACCAATCATTTGTCATTGTATTAAGCCATTTTATGTGTATTATGATATCACATATAAAACAATATTGGTGACCCATTCAAAGCAACTCAATGGATTTTACCCAAAAAAAAGCCCAGCAGGCCAGAATAATCCAGAGAACCCATCTTTCTTCGTCACAAGTCACCAAAACATGAGCCATTAGTTTTGTGCAATCTCTCATTTCCCTTGTCAGACATATAAAATGATAATCCAAGTTTATATTATAAAATATATATAACCCAGTAGTAACGCTATCACAGAATAAAAAATGTTAATATTTTACTGTTTTTTCGGTGATAAAATCAGTGTTTTATTTCCTATTATATGGCAGTTTATTTGTGTCTAATCATACAGTTCATTATCGTACCATCAAGTTGTTTTCAGTTATTTGTATGGCAGCACCCTAAACTCAGATGCACAAGCGTTTAATCAAGGTAAAAATCCTTTGCTCTAGAAAAATGTGTGTAATCTTGCTTTTTTCTTCTTTTGCAAATCATAAACCAGGAATACAGCTTTGCATATTTTTAAGAAGCGTAGCTGCTGCAGAATACAACGTGATGGAAAGGTCTGATATAAACCTTTCACCCAGGAAATAAATCATTCTTTAAACCGAGCCTTTTGTAAAAGTGATTCCCTGAGAATATTTTTACAGTCAGATTCTACAATCTCTCTCTTTCTCTGGATGCCCCGAAGCCCAATACAACATGTATTCTGATAAACAAACTTATTTCAATGCTGTGCATCATCTCTAACCCTGATCTAAATTCAGCAGCTCAACCAAATGGGTTGCTTTGAAAAATGGTCCTACAGGCTCATCCTGTATGCTGTATATATATCAGCTCCAGCACTTTGTCACGCTTAACTGCACTTCAGTTCTTCAGTGCTCGGTCTGAGTGGGAATTGGAAACAAGCTTGTCCATTTTTGAATTGCCATTCCCTGCTGATACGGATGTAATGGAGATACTATTGAGAGACAAAACGATGTCCTTAGCCATGACTCCTAACTACATTCTAACATCGGAAATATACTTCAGATGTAAAAAACATCTGATGTTGCAGAGAAAAGCAGTCAGTTTTTTTTTTTTTATGTGAAACAAAAAAGTGCAAATCAGGGACCAAAACAGGCTGCCATCCCAACATGATAAGAATAATGGATGGCAGTGTAAATTAGTAGAAACCATTGTGTATTAAATTCCCCCTCTACAAATAAAAACTGAATATATGATCCATTAACCAAAACCACTAATACAGATCCACAATCAAATAACCAACTGTGAGATTTGAACATAATAACCATTTAGAAAACAAAGATATCAATCTTAACATTTATTCATGATAAAATAACATTGATATTTCTCTAAAGTTCTGGTAAATTGCCTGGATGTAACTCTGAGGGACAGTGTTATGACACTAACCGACTAAATCTCTCATTCTAAATAGAGCGTTAATCTTCTTCCATGAAAAAAAACTAATCTATTTTTTTACTTAATTTAATCATCACCATGCATCACATTAAAAGAAGGATATTGCTTTCGGTTTTTAAGACAGCTGTGCTCATGTCAACATCTCACCAGTGTATTGCAAACATCACATTGGGGAACACAATAGTGTAGACGTAAACTGAAAGTGCTATTGCACCACAGCCATGTGGTGTATTATATTTTTCCTTTCTGTTGTAAATTCAACCGAGTCTTACGGGAAAACGTGCAACATTTACCTCTTGTTTCATGTTCACAACTTTTACAGTTTCTCCATACTACCTCCATACTAGTAATGACAACATAGACGGACTCAACATTTTAAGAAATGATTGCATCTTGACTATTAAACCATATTTAATGGCCAACTATTGACACTGCGAGGATATAAGAATTTTGCTACAAGTCAAAGATCTTACAATCTACTTGCTTTAGATTAAATATTGAAATGTTTTGATTATGCTAGGCAGAAAATCAGTGTATTTGCATTTAAACTGATTCTGTAATTGTGTTAACAGTGGTCCGAGCCATCAAAGAGAAACCGATTTAATAGTTGTAAGCATAGAAAAACCAACATAGTCTGATGTTATTTGACTCTTTCAGTCATGTTTTATGGCGAGAAGTTTTCCTTTGACGTTCCATTTTAACCTTTGGTTGGATTCAGTTCTCTGCTGCTTTTCCATGCTCGTAGATCCCAGCTGTCCTATCACTCAGCGGTACGCCTGAACTCTTTCTCTCTTTCTCTCTCTCTCTTCGCCTTTGAAAATGTCTCTCCATCCCGCCCCCTTGTCCACCAACTCTCCCTAGTTATTTATACAGCGGAATGTGCCTGGGCTTAGATTTTTGTGATGTTAGCAGGCCAGCATCTCTCCTGTTACACAGCAAGACATCACTGCTAATTTTAGCCAAGCCTTGAATGACTTACCCACCTCTGCTCGATAGGGAATGAGCCTAATTTGAATAATCTAACTAAGTTTTACAACGTCATGTATCTGTCCTGGTCCGGAACATTTTTACTCAATCCTATCTGTTAACAAATGGATGCAGACTTACTGGTAAACATTTAGACAAAGATACAAGGCATTTAATTTGTAAATGCATTATCGGCAGTCGGATATGAGGGCCAACATTTAATCTACTCACCATATTCAGCTGGTTGCTAACTCTTTTGAACTCGTTTTTCAGAACTTGCAACCAATAAAATGCTGGTTTATTATGAACTTAAAAATAAATGTGGTTAACTTCTGATAAATACATAATCAGTATGAAGACACAGGAAAACTGCACAAGGCCGAGGTGGACGATTCAGTCCAATACCAGATTGGGATTTGATTGAGAAAACTGTTTCTAGCTTGTAGAGTAATTGTACTGTTTGGTTTGGCCTATTTTGGGAACTTTCGCTGTAGCCACTGAGTGAACTGTGGCTGCTGTCCAATGTGTTTGGATAGTTTCCCCAACGTGTTGTCTTCCTCCAGGAGCATGACTGCAAGTGAACAGGTGGACCTAAAGTTAAACTGTGGAAACTCCCTCCATTAAGATGGAGCTTACTTTGACTTAATTTGACTAAATAAGTCAATCAACAAATGATTTTTTTTACTGTTTCTTGCTAATTTGACCAGAAATCAGAAAGTCACTGAATAATTTATGAGGCCTAAAAAAAATATTTAGATATATATAATTTAGATATATATAAATATATAAATATATAGATAATATTTAGAATAACTAAAATCTGATTTGGAATGTATAAGAGATTGCTTAGACCAACAAGTACAGATGCAAAAAGTGGTAATAGCCACAAGTAAATCTGTGTGTGAAAAGTGGAAAGCATTTGTTCTCTGTCACAGACTGGCAAAGTAAAATTAGGTATTCAGAAACATACATTTGGCACAAAAAGACAAAAAGTGAAATTTCATACCTTTTTATGTGTTCTGTGACCAATTCTATATTTGGAAATAGAGCTTATGCTCAAGCAGGAGGATCTCTTTGTTGCCAAAACCAATTAGCAATAAAGAAATATATCTGTTGGATATTACAGCCTCCTTTGAAAAATAACAAGCATTTTTGCATTTTCATTTTTCATTGCCTTTCATTGAATTGCCATGCTGCATATACATATGCACATATACACATATACGTATACGTATACAGAGTTAACATACCTCGCGTTTGCATTGTCACACTTTAATGAGGGACATTGGTGCTTGAAGCTAATAAAATATCAAACAAAGAGAGGCAAATGGCAAACAAAACCCAACCAAGTGTTTTTGGACGGGGTTTTAATCGACGCACAAGATGAATATTAGGGTCGAAGCTTGCTGTGACGAACACAAAAGCATTTTGTCAGGGAGCTGTTTTTACTGATTCAGTAAATGAATATGAAATGATGCACACGAAATGCTGTTGCCAAGGAGACGAGAAGGTGCTCTCCATTACCTGAAATTATACCATCGAAAGATCACACGAATCAGAGAGTGATATTTTGAAAATGATCACAACATTCACGGCTGAATTATTTGGTTAATTAAGTACCGCATTAGTTTTATTCACTGACTTATTTATATTTGGGAACATACAAAGCATGCTGGCAGTGTTATTTCATTTTTTAGCACCACAATTACTTATTGACGTTCAGATTATGCATAGTATTATGTACATATATATATATATACATATATACACACACATGCAATATATATATATATATATATATATATGTTTATATACATATAAAGACCAAAATAGTTGTATAAATTGCCATTGTTAAGAAGAAAGAAATTAAATGGCCATGCAATATACTGCTATATAAAGTGTTGCAGTGAGCACAGCTTGTCAATTTTAAGCAGACAGCAACACATTTGCTGTGAGAGCAAACAGTGTTCAACCAATGCAGAGGAGTGAGGAGGTCCCTATTGCAGCGGTTCTCCCCCTCACCGCCGACAAGACCACATCAGCTCATTACACCGGGTGAAGAATAAGACACAGACACACGGGGAGGATGGGAATAATGAAAAATGTCAACCCATGCTGTAGAACACTGATCTCAAGAGGGCTGGATCACTCCCACTGGTTTTTCTGCCTATCGGTGTGCACTGCCTGTAGGGTGGAACACAGCGGGGGAAGATGCTTAAACTGTGTGCTGGCCATTGTGTGGACAAGGGGGGCTCCTCACACTGGATTATATGCATTCAGCACACATTTCCACCTGCGGATGGAGGTCTATGCTCTTTGCGTTTCAGAAACGGATTTCCTCACGAGGAACTGCTGAGACACTGACTTGTTATAGCATGGACGAAAGTAGCTTCTTTCCATTTTTTTATTTGCATTTAATTTAAAGGGCTCATGCGATTGCAGAGCTTCAGCAAATAAGAAGCTGTTTCTTGTGCGGTCAAATTTTTCTGATGTCTGCAAATTTCCTTATTTGGGCATTGATTAATGGCCGGAACCCCCGGTGTATCTCGGGGAATACCCTGCTGCTGAACATAAGCCAAGACAAAAAACAAAACAAAAAAAACAACCTGTCGAGGACTTATAAACAATGGCCATGAAAAACATTCTGACTAAAGAACAAATCAGGCAAGTGATATTTCAATTTATTCTTCGATTCTTCATTTTTAAGTGTGCATCAATTTAACAACTGACAGCATATGATGCGTTAGACTCCAACATATCGATTTAAACACTAATCCTTACTGTTCAACTGGCCATGCAGTGGTTTCTCAGCAGAGGGTCAGATGCAGTTGCAATGAGTGAAGGTAGCCAGAGAAGCAGCATCCTTAATTTAGAATTAATACTATTAATATGTTTGAATATGTTCCTTATAGCAATTTGAATGATCTCTGTAAAAAATGTTTTAACTAAAAGCATCTCTCTTTAAAGAACTGCAGAAAGTTAGCACACAGTAGATTTATACCTTGTTCTTTTCTCTGTTCTAATATTGTTTAAACATTTAGTTAATGTATTGGTTTATATTTTGGTAATGTAATAAAAAAGTAGAGTGAACTACAAAAAAGAATGATGACTAGTAGAACATTTAATTCAAAGATGATTTATAGCTTTTGATTATCTTCATAATCAGGCAATCAAGTAACATTATTAGTTTGGATCAGTGACTTAATTAAGTGGTTTGTGCGAGTGTGTATTCAGAGTCTGAAACACCACTGTGAAGCATTGCCAAGTGAGCAGCACAATGAGGACCAAGGAGAGCCACAACAAGTGGTCAAGAGGAAAGTTTTGGAAAAAAGATTTGATTGAAATGGAATTAAGGGAAAAAATGTAATGAATATGACACTGCAATAGGATCGTGGAGACCACAGGGACTCAGATACCAAACAAAAAGGGTATTAATCAGAGAGAGAAAAAACAGAAACTAAATGGTAACCCAGAAGGAGCTGCAACAGTCCTGCCCTTTACTCGCAAAAGCCAAGTTTTAAAAAAAGAAAGAAAAACAACAGAAAAACCCAGGAACTTCCAATGTGAAAGAAGGACTTTTGATTGAGACTATCCATACCAAATTAGCTCTAAACCCCACAAAAATTACAAACACAAAGATCAGTGGAGTCAATAAATTTCAACATTGAGTACCATACAATCTGTGGAGTGAAACCCAAACAATTAACATTACACTACTCATACAACTATGTAAATCTGTTAATGTGTATCCACTAAACAAATCCAGTAAATGAAGATGGATGAATCAAGTTTTCTGTTGACTGCATATTAGATCTTTTATAAAGCATTGATGCAATGTATTTATCAGTAATGTGCAATATGACTAACAGTGGTCTATCATGCTTTCTCACAGCAACTGAACAATTATTTTTTTATCCACCTACTGTGAAGCAAACACCTCTTGAGAGCCGCTTCGATGCCAATGACTCAGTAGTCATGTCTATTTTGAATCCTTGTAGTGATTGAATTTAGCTAAATCTCTCAGGTATAGATGAATTGGAGCGAGGACATTGTACAATTAAGCTAATTTTCGCCTGAAAAAACTTACAGTATTCATTTTTTGTTTACATCTCAGTCCTCAAAAGCAACTTGCAGATTTGTAGACTTTAGATGGGTGTTAAGGACAAAGACCCAAAGGAGAAATTCAGTTGGTTCAGATTTTTTAATTTATCTTAGCAATAAGTGGGATATTACAAATTCAAACGAATATAAAAAACTAAACAATAAAATCAAATTAGAGACAAATTAATCAAAATTGTTTGTTCTTGGTTTTTTTTAATCCAATTTCAAATCCACTACTTCTAAGAATTTATTACTTTGCATTTGCTTGGTAAAGTTCGACCCATATACAGTCAATGACCACATGACCAAAATGAGAGACATTCATGGCTACATGTCATCATAAACTGCCCAACCTTTCATTTTTTCATTTTTTAGAACTCATACCAGGAATGATTCCATTAACCAGGAAAAGATAGTCAGCTTGGTTTTTGTACTTTCTGATACTTTTGAACAAACACGTTTTTTTTTGTGACAATTGTTTTATTTCTTTCAAAATTGTTTTATAAATGTCCAGTCTTATTCAATTTTCCGTTTTACTAAGTAATAGTCTCTACTCCTTAGATTCTGAAACAACTGAAGATGAAGGTGGAGACCAATTTGAGACCAAAGAAGAAGGTGGTGATGCTGAGGACCAGAGTGTTCAGACAAGTAATCACTATGTTTCCAACAGCTATGATTAGTGACATTATGATATTTTATAGTCTAACAACAGTTGGCATTTAGTATGTGACATTTAGATATACGAGTACCTAAAACAATGTTTTAATAAAATTTGAACAGGGAACCATTGCTGTATTTTACAATTGGTGAGTTTATATATATTTCCTATTTTACATGAAAAAAAGTAATGGACAAAGGTGCTGAGGATAACAATAAGACACATGGACTTGAAGATCACTCTAACAGGTAAACGTGCTTTATGCTTTGAACATAAAATAATGTTGATGTGTAGAGTTTAACTTAAATTTCACATTAACAATGCTATTATCAGGTTATCAGAATTCATAAGTGAGACGATTTGCTTTAAATGATCCGTTTCAGGAGCCAATCAGAAGATTTTTCAAGAGAATCTCCTCCACAAGTTCTCCCGCCACCATCTCCGAGACGTGCATCCGGCTCTCCAATGCCAAGTCGCTCTGGTTCAACTACACCTCTCAGCTTGCGTAAGAAAACGGTTGTGCCAACTGAATACCAAGACACAGTCCCAGGGGAGTTTGAAGAGAAGGTAAAGCAGTTCAAAGGTGCGTATCAAGGTAACACCCAGGATTCAAGACCACAAACTCCACTGAGTGAGTCCTCCCGGAAAGAATTTACCTTCAGACCTTCTCCAAAGCTTACAAGAGCAAGCTCAAAAGTTTTTGAGAAAGTCCGGGGCTTAGAAGAACGGAGACGAAGCCTTGATATTCCGGAAGGTTCCATCTCAGGACGGTCCTGGGCAGGGTTTAATCGTGCTGGATCTGTAGATTCCGATGATGGTGGAAGTCGGTTGGGTATCTCTAGAGAAAGTTCAAAGGAAGATCTTAGGGAAGCTCTGAAAGAAGATGCTGCTGAACGGAGGTCTATGTTTCGACAGAGAGCTGCGTCTTTGGAGGACAAACCTCGCTACTCCCAAAAAGTTCAGGACATTGAGAACAAGTTCACGGAGGAGCTACAACGCATCAAGAAACTTGTCGGAAAACCTCATCTAAAAAAATCCTTTTCAACTGAACAACTCACCCTGAAGGCTAAGCAACGCCAGCCTTTTCGGAAAATCGAACCGATTCCTCCACAAGTTCTACAAAAGCTCCAAGAGAGGGAACGCGCGCAGTGGGAAAAAGAACAAAGAGAAAGAGAACTTAGTCAAGAATCAATGCATCAACAACAGCACACACCACAAGAACGTCATCAATTCCAATCCCAAAAGCCAACAACCACTGGCTCATCAACTGTCACAGTTAGTAGACATGGAGAGGTAGCATCACCTCCAGAATCAATGCAGTTGTGTGACCTACCAGGCCAACGGTCCGTGAGAGAATTAAGTAGAGTCAGTCCAGTTACAGAAATATTTCAGAGATCATCATCACCAGCATTGCTTCAACAACAGAGGGCAGAGTCACCAAGCAGAAATCTCTCAGAAATCACGTTACGCAAGGTTGAACGAAGGCCACCGAGTCCACTTGTTCAAAGGGTATCCCGAAAACCAGAATCCCCACACATCCAAGAATCACTTGTACAAAGCACACAGAAGGATGAGACTTCAGGGAGAAAGACACCAATAGAGCTAGCATTAAGAAAGATTGAAAACAGGCCTGAAAGTCCTCTTGTACAGAAAAGAGCTGGGACTATACAAGATCTTCACCCTCAAGCTCCTCCGAAACAGTCAAAGGTTACGTTGAGTACCCCAGATGATGTAATGGAAGTGCAGGTGCCAAAACCAGCCTCTAAGATAAATGTCCCTACAATTATTGTTGAAGATGAAAAAATGGAAGAGGATGTTCATTTGAAAACAACTGAACGCCGGCACATAAGCGCGAGTGCAAAAGAGGGACAGCAGCTCAAAACCAAAGGAAGGAATCGTCGCCCCCGTCCCATGTCTCCAGAATGTGGTTTGTAGTGGTTCTTTGATAAACTCTTGTATAAAGTCATAGTCTATTGACATTTGCATGTCGTAAACATAGTTAATCCTGAGCAGTTGTTTTTTTCTTCTAAATTTTACGAGGGATGCAATAACTTCAGGCTCTTCTGTTGTTGAAATGTGCAGATTCGTCTGACGATTCCTACGTGTCTGCTGAGGAGGATCCAATGGAAGCTCCTGTGTTTGAATTTACCCTCCAAGACATTGTGTCATCTGCTGGTGCAGATGTGCAGCTGAAAAGTATCATATCTGGAACACCGATCCCAGAGGGTACTATATATCTACTTTTTGTTGATAAATGTAAAAACAGTCATTTTGTATTTCTAAGCTTTTGAGAGGCTAATTAAATCAAAATGGTCTTTCTTTTTCTGTTATAGTTACCTGGACTAAAGACAACTCTCCAGTCACAGGCATTGCCAATTACATAGTAAAAGTTGAAGGTGAACGACATAGTCTGCTCATCAAATCAGCAAAAATGAGCGATAGTGGAAAATATTGTGTAACGGCAGTTAATCAGGTGGGCAGAGCCTCCAGCAGTGCCACGGTTATAATTAAAGCAGGTAGGCCGAACTGCTATATCAGATCAAATTTGTTCAACAAAATTTATTACTGATATTTTCTGCAGGTCTTCATAATAATTCAACTATTTTTAGTAGTAATGATTCTGTTGTGCATATTTTTACTATGATAAACTATGTGAAAATTATGTATATAAACCTGAAAATAAATGTGATGTAAATTATATAGTTGCAATCTGTTGGAAAAACCAACACATTGCATATTAACAAAGGTGGTTTATTTGGAAATATATATCAATTTATACAGTCATCAGGGCTCTGAAAATAGTTTTAAAAATAGCTATTTTCAAAATGGGTCTCCCACACTGATATTGTGTTTCTCTGCTACTCCCTTACTGTTATCTCCCTGAGCAAGAAGTGTGCTGTATATTCCAGCTGAATAACCTCACTTATAGTCACCATAGCAACTAAGAGAGAACCTATAAATTGCCCACTGAGTCTCATTGGCTCACTCATTGTGAATCCACCATTGTTATTTTGTTCACATTTTGCACTACAGACCTTAATTATAAGGCTTGGTTGGGCTTTGTTTTCTGCGGTGTATGAATTCTTTCAACATTTGTGTTCTCACTGAACAGTTAAAAATCAGCTATCTGAGCTTCTAGAGGCTAAATAACTGCATTTGTGATACAGATTATTACAGCAAACTAAACCAAGAAACTAAAACGAGTCTTTTTATTTGAAGAGTCTGTGCAAGAGCCAAAGGGAACCTTGGGACTGCCAAGGGATATCAGCAGCCCAATCACATCTGACGAAGAGTATCTCAGTCCTTTGGAGGAGGCTATGGACTTTGGAGTCCCAGAGCCAAAGAAAAGTATTGATACACGATTCAGAAAACCTCCTTCATTTCTGGTGAGACTCCACAAGCCAGATTTAAATCTAAATTGCATACCACATTAGTTAGTGACATTGGTATGTTTGGCATATACATTTAACTGCAATTACCAGGCTGTTGCAAAATGCCATACTCTTATTAAAATTACTATACCTGTCTTACTGTCTTATTTCTTTGCGGTCATTTCATCAACTAGTCTGTAAATTAAAACGTATGGGTCAAATCAATCGATTACCTTCTAACATACCGTACATTTAATTTCCAACAGGTAACAATGAGTGATCAAGATGTCATTGAAGGACAAGAAGTCACCATGTCTGTTCGAATAAGTGGCCAACCCAAACCTATGCTTTATTGGTACGTCCCCTCGGGTCATCATATTGATTAGGCTCACATGACTACATAGTTTGCCTTTTGAAAATTAAGAGGAAATAATTTGTGTGAGGAGGTCTGGCACTGCATTGTTTGTGCAACATTTCCATATTTGTTTCACATGTGTGGCTATTCAAGTGCAGCAGCTACATATGATAAATATGGGCATCTTGTTGTCAACAGATAATGCAATTCATACCTCTGCCAATTGCTGAGAAACCATTGAAATATGTCAGTTTGATACACTGTTAATAATAATAATAAATTTTATTTGTATAGCCCTTTACAATACCCAAATGGTACTCAAAGTGCTTTACAACAAAGCCAAAAAACAATACAAAAAGACATACAAAACATACAGAAAAAAAAAAAAAAATGCTGTTAACAGGGTTGTGTATCAATTCAAAAGCATGGTTGGTGTAGTTGTCTGTATGCTGTTTTTTATGCTTACCTATACAGCAGTTATGGCAGTACAGTCCAGTTGAAAGACCGGTACATTACAAAAACATTTCTGTCCAGTCTCAATTGATAATGGCCTCCAAAGATTTTTAGAAAAAGAATGAAAGTTATTTTGCGCTGGGGTTATTATGCACTGGTGATGATGACAACAGAGCTGACAATAATAAGTTGAATCATTCTGGCCGCTTCTGTCATAAAACTTAGTCATAGCTTTTAAGAGACAATAATAGAAAATGAAGTACTGGCCTATGTATGCCTCCCACAAACCCTATCATCCCAGCAAAAAGGGAGCCTATCATAGAAACATTGTGCATTTGGTAATTGTTCATAGCATACGCTTAATTAAAAAAAAGTACCATGCGGCCAACTGTGTGAGTGACTGCCATCTTAATTCCACTCTTTTGTAGGCTGAGGGACAGAATCACTGTTAAAACGGGCCAACGCCATATTGTACATGAGACGGCAGATGGTACCTTTGAAATGACGATCAAGTCAGCCTTACGGTCGGACTCTGGAGTGTACACTTGCAGGATCATTAATGAGTATGGAACCAAGCAGTGTGAGGGAAGGCTGATGGTCAAAGGTATGTTGGTTTCTAATGTCTCATGAATTGTGAGAAACATGTCTTGTAATTTTTGATAATGTGTAACAATTTTCTGTGTTTTGCTTGTTGATTACTAAATGATAATTATATTGATTCATCTGTAAGATTCTCTGTCCTAAATACACATTTAGAGACACATTTAACAAACAAAAAATGCTATACTGCCATCTTTTTCTGACCATTTCTTTGTACTTCTGCTTAAGGTCATTCCTCAGAATCTTCAGAGAAAATAAATGCTACTGCTTCCTATTCAGAAATTTGATCGTTTTTGCTGTTATATAATGATTTTCATGACGTAGGACTATTTGAATGAATAACTTTAAGCCTACAGATCTATAAGATCCAGTATTTTTACCTCCTGTAAACTTTTTATTTGTAGGAGAGTGGTATCTTTTGAAAATCTGTAGATTATTTGTCCAATTTGTAGCCTTAGAGAGCTCCAAAGATCATGGCTGAACCTCATGCAGAATACCAGGTTATAGATGTAAGAGGTTTAAAAAAAATCAATCCCACCATTCAGTCCATATTTTGGTTGTAGTCACTGGTAGACATTATGGAACCTTTCAAATGAATTTATATGGATTTGAAGCTGTCATAGATATAAATATGAAATAATAGATTCATTTACATTTCTGCATGATGGATCAATATGCTTGAGCTACTATTTGTCAATTGTATCCATGTTTCTATAAAAAAAAACAGTTTAATTCCTACGATTTCATGACTGTTTCTGATTCTGGACTATGGTTTCATTTTAATGCTAATGGTAACGCAATTTCAACAGAAGATCTGTAACCAGCCTGCTGCAACTATTTCAAACCAAGATCAAATATGTAGGATTTCACTGAACACTGAATAGTACTCCTCAAAAGATTTGCTTCATCTATACTCAGCTGCCCCAGTGGAGCCAAGTTTAGCCGTCATCCGTCCCGTCAAGGACATCACAGCCAAGGCCGGAGATACAGTTTTGTTTGAGTGTCACGTCATCGGACCAAAGGACACTGATGTCGACTGGCTCGCTGATGGGAAACTGGTCCAGCCAGCGTTACTTAATTGTAAGATGCACTTTGATGGAAGAAAATGCAGGCTGCTGCTCAATTCTGTACATGAGGATGACAGTGGGACGTACATGTGCAAGATCAGCACCGCAAAAGGTTGGTACTAGCAATACATATGGATTTGTGACTTATATCTGTCTTTTCTTTTACTTGTTGCGAAAATCTTTTTTTTACTTTCAGAGGAAGTAACATCATGCGGTAAACTCAAAGTGATTCCTTCTTTGGAGCCTCTGTTCACTCGCAAGTTGGACGTTTTGGAGGTGATAGAGGGGCGTAATGCTCGATTTGACTGCAAAGTCAGTGGTACACCACCGCCAAAGGTTATCTGGTGTCACTTTGGTAAGATAATTTGCCAATGAAATCTACAGTAACTGTAGTTAAATACCTTCACACACAAAATAAGCCACTTTGGATTAGAAAAATTCACTCTTCACGCAGATGTGTCAGAAAATGTACACACGTTTCATTCCAAAGCTATCAACTGCTGATACGGACTGACGTAAAGACATATTCCTCTCTTTCTCTTCAGACCAGTCGCTCATAGAAAGTGAAGACGTTCGTCTTCTTCAGGAGGGTGGTCGCCATTCCCTTATAATCTCCCATGTGACCAGTGAGGACGAGGGTTTCTACACTGTCACAGCCCGCAATCCTCACGGTGAGGCCGAGAGCTCTGCTGAACTTTACATACAAGAACCACGGCCAGCCATCTCCTCCCAGATGTAAGATGGTGTTGTCTCATCGGAGTTTGAGTGTTACAGCTTATAGAACCATCTGACAATATTCCTTGATTCTGTTCTCTATCCCTCAAGGGCCAAGCTGGAGAAGATGCCATCCATCCCAGAGGAGCCAGAAGTTCCGGAGAACGAGGTGGAGCGCTTCACCATGCCTGATTTCATTAAACCCCTCTACGACTTGGACGTGATCGAGGGGAAAGAGGCTGTGCTCAAATGCAAAGTGGCCGGTTTGCCGTACCCAACAATCACCTGGTTCCATAATGGCAAAAGGATCGAAAGCACAGAAGACAGAAAGATGACACAGTGTAAGCGATTTGAAATGGACCATCAGCAGTCTTGTATCAGACGGGGCACTTTCAGGTCAAGCATTTACAAGTTAGTACAGAAAAAGATAATCACACGGCTCTTCTCAGGTCTTAGAATCAGGTCAATATATCTTCTTATGAACAACAACACATAATACACAGCATCCAAATGTGTCATTAAATATTGAAGAAAGAAGGGTGAAAAACCTCTAAGAGCACACCGAAGTGAGCTGAGGTTTTGACAGTTGACTGGTCTGGACCATTCGAAAAGATCATGATCATTAAAATGAAGCAGTTTTTGCTCCCCATCTACTATATAGGAATATTTACTATAAGGCTGTTACCAAACTGTAGAGTAGATCATTTAAAGGAAGATTATTCAGTGTTCAAACATTCAAGAATGTTTATAACCTTCCCAACAATGGACACTCTAGCAACCACAAAATCAGGTCATAGTGTTCAAATTGAAAAAATACCACATTTAGTACAATTAGAAGTGAACAAGTGTGGATGTTTTTCGATTAAAAATAAAAAATAACAGAGAAGCATGGCAGTTTAGCAACAGCATCTGAACAAACAGCTATTTTTCTGGAATTATTTACTTTTGACGGTGCCAAAATTTGGATATGTTGTAGTGTATACCACCACATTGGGCACAGTCCCCCCCTCATCCTTTAATTTTCTTTCACAGTTCGCGATGTTCACAGCCTGGTCATTCGCTCTGTGTGCCACGCCCATGGTGGTGTCTACAAGAGTGTAATCTCCAACAAAGTAGGAAAGGCCACCTGCTATGCCCATCTTTATGTTACAGGTAATTCACTGCTGTTTCTCTATTCTTAAAGAACTCTTTAATTAGGACTACACATTGTGTTCCATACTGTGTCCGTGCCAGAGACATTTGTGGGCTTCTAAATCCACTGTTGTCATTTAAGACATCCTTCCTGACCCTCCCGATGGCACCCCAGTGATAGAGTCCATCACTGGTAAAACCATCACTCTCAGCTGGAAGAAGCCAAGAAGGCTGGACCCTTCCATTGGTATGTAAGAGAATAAATATATATGTTCTATTTACTTTTAAAAAAGGAAATTGGACTTTTAAAAGGAGATTTTCTTGTATTGTATATTTGTTGATATGAAATACGAATGTGACGTCAAAATGTAATTTCCTTTCAGACCCTACCTCACTGATGTACGCCATCCAACAGCAAGCCTTAGGCTCCATTCAGTGGATTATCATCGCCTCTGGCCTGAAGGAGACCACCTACAACATCACAACTCTTTCTAAGAACGTGCGCTACGCTTTTAGGGTCCTGACTATCACGTCGAAGGCCTTCAGCAAGCCCTCACCCGCCACGGACCCTGTGCAGCTCCAGGACCGAGGTAGGCTTTATCTATCCAAACATTTATCATGCCACCAGGGTGGCTCATAGGTTCACTGAAATCAGTGCTTCGTTTCTTTTTTGTCTCCGTCAGGTCCCTACCTTCAGGAAGCCCCAGTGATTACTGACAAACCAGAAATCGTGTATGTGATTGAAAACCAGTCAGTCACCATCTCCGTCACTCTCAACCACGTCAATGCTGCAATCACCTGGAAAAGGTATCTGTGTCTCTGTTCCCAAGTCTTAGTGCACATTTTCTTTTATCTCTATTAAAAGAAAAGAAAAGACAGTATATACTTTTGTCTTTTCTTGACTAATTTGCATGGATGAAAAAATAGCTCTAGCCAGATAATTGCCTTATGTAACAAACAGCCACAAATACAGCATGACAGTGCATACAGGCAGCTATTTAATTCCAAGTGATTAACAATGATTCCATTGCAGTGACGGTCTATTATTAAGTCCTAAATTCCCCCTTGCCACGAGAAAATATACCCAGTGTCAACTGTCGGCATTCAGATTTTTTATACTTGTTTAAAATACATTTGACTTCAGGAAAGGAGTGACCCTGGCCAATAAGCCTGGCCTATACGAGATGACAATGCCAGATGACGACCAACACATGCTGAAGTTGCTGAAAGTGAAGAGTGCCGACGTTGGAGAGATGACGTTTGTGGCCTCCAATGAATATGGGAGCGACAGCTGCACCTTCAGTGTGGAAATGGCAGGTAGGATGAAGATCTGTCAAGAACTGGGGAATGCGCGTGAGGTCATCAGACATGGGACTGTTCTCGGGTTGCGCCCACTTTAATCACTGAGTGGCGAAAAGACAGCTGACTCAAAGGCCGGTGACTGCCTTGTGTAATGGACTGTACCAACATATGAAGGTAGAGCTTGCGGTCTTCTTTAAACTAAATTCTTAGATGCAAAGAGAGGATGGCCAAATTAATTTCTGCCAATCACAGAGAGAAGTCTAATCCATGCTCAAAGATGCAATTACTATTTTGTGTCCACTATGTTTTATTTCTTAGATTAAAAAAAAAAAAATTGATAAATTATAATTACATGACTATATTTATTAACGGTACTATTTGAGAAACAAACATTTGAATTATAAAAATCAGTCACACAGCATTCAATTTCTTCGTTATTACAACTAATTCTGTTTTGCATTTTGGATTAAGGCTAGATGTTAGCCAGTAAAGCTAAAAGCAAGAAAAGCTTGCAAAATAAAAATAAAAATGCTTATGCTGCTGTACAATATGTATTTGTATTTGTAGCTTATCATTCAAGGTTTTGAAGTTTAATAATTTAACAAACAAACATGTTTTTAAATGATTAAATCACAACCCAAAACTACCATTGCAGCCCCAATAACTTCATTTAAAAGTTAGCGTTTACATAAAAATCTGAAATTAGTTAAGAATTATTTTAAGATTTCACCACATTGGGGCGATCTCTTCAAGTGTTAGAGCTCTGATTAACAAGCACACTCTATATTCATTTGGTTGTCTATACCATACATTTAGTCAGATGTTGAGTAACTATGAACTGTACCTCTTTCATTCTTTCTGCAGCTCCACCAACATTTGAGACTATTATGGAGGACTTGGATGTTTGTGCAGGGGAGACCCCTCGCTTTGCTGTGGTGGTGGAAGGCAAACCCATCCCTGACATCCTCTGGTTTAAGGTTTTAATCCATTTTAGATATTGATTAATTTTATTTTTCTACATTTTAGAAGTGGATAAAGAGAAACTAGTTTTACAACTCTGATTTTTTTAAATGCACACGATCATATATGGAGGCAATCACTTATTTATGTGGATGGCAAAAATGCAAAAATTTAAGTTAGAAAAAAAACTACATCTAAGGAGAGGAACCTGAGTGGTGGAAACATGATGGTAGGTGATAGTTTGAATATTTTTGGCTGCCTCAGGATGAGGGGGGCTTCCAGTTACCAATGAAGCAATGAATTCAATTTAATTGAAAATGTACTTTATGTATCCTAGAGGGAAATTAAATAAATATACCATAAAACTACTGTAAATATGGGAAATATCCCTGAATGCAAACATGTTCTGATCTGACCAAGTAAATACAACATGGTTCTTAAAATCATGAGGAAAGGAACACTGTGTTGCTCTCAGACTCAGAGGATTCAAGTGAGTAATCAACACAGAACAAACAAGTGGAAGAGAGATTCAGTTGTGCACATGCAGCACTGTTTATTGATTTAAATCTATGGAACCCAATTAGCTCTCAAACATCCACAATGCATTTTTTTAGAAAATGTTTGCATGGTATTAAATGTCACGTCATATATGAATAGTTATGTAAAATCTTTGTACAAGACGATTAACTTAGGCAGGTATATTTCAGCATGTGGTTTCGGAGTTAGGGGTAGAATCTGCTTATGCTTGCTTTGTTTATTTGCCGCATCATGGAACAGTGGTTTTTAGATCGGTCTTAGATATCCTAAACAGAAAAAAGGTCATAACCATTTAAAACTGTGCTTGTAGTCTAACTCTCCTTTTTCTGAGTAATCTTTGTCCTTTTGTCTAACACAAATCTCTGACATTTCTCTCCTTGAACTGAAAAATCTCATAGGTTCACAATCTTTTAAGTCATTATAATGACTTTAACATTATTTATACTTTTTACCTTAGTGTGTTAAATAGACATTTAGTCATGAAAAATCAGAACTTTTTTATAAATCATTGTTCTAACTTGAAACATTGTCTTACAGGGTGATATCCTGTTGTCGGAGAGCAGTCACTACACATTTGTCTATGATGATAATGAATGCTCCTTGGTGGTTCTAAACGCTCACTCAGAGGACTCCGGGGTGTACACCTGTACAGCTAGAAACTTGGCAGGATCTGTGTCTTGTAAAGCTGAACTCACTGTTCATGAAGGTAAAGAGCTATGTCACAGGTGTTCAGACAAAGTAAATGAGCTGCTTTTGTGTTTTGCAATCAGTCCAATTATTTGGATTGCATTAAACCAAGTGCAGTGAATCAAATTAATTATATATATATTGAACAAATGATATTATATATAATATAATCATAAATTACAGCAGCAACATATCACAGAATAGTTATCTAATAATAATATCTTATCTTCCTAATACTTATATTATTCTAGCTAAACGTAAACAGGATCCGATGGATGATCAAGAAACTATTCTACGGAAAATGCGCAGACTCACCGACCACTATGACATCCACAAGGAAATAGGAAGGTACTATAAGATATTTTCAATCCCACAATAGCATATGATGCCATATTATGTACATCTCTGCTTGTAATGGTGTCATGTCTCTATGTTGGTGATCAGAAATGTCACTTTTTTTTACTAAAGCTGACAACTGTTCCTCTTGGTGGCTGTTTCTAGGGGTGCATTTTCTTATGTGAAACGCGTGACCCAAAAGGCAGACAAGACAGAGTATGCTGCAAAGTTTATCTCCATGCGGGCCAAGAAAAAGGCATCTGCTCTGAGAGAAATGAACCTGCTCTCCAGGCTTGACCATGAGAGAATCCTTTACTTTCACGATGCCTTTGAGAAAAAGAATGCGGTCATCATCGTCACAGAAATGTATCCTTAGTATACAGCGACTGTCACAGCTGACCCAATGATCTTTCAGAATCTTTCAAAAAAGAAATTTGAAATATTTATTCTAAAAATGTAAATGAAATAGACTGAAATAAAAAACAATATCCTTAATCATTTTAAAGATGCCATGAGGATCTTCTTGATCGTTTCACCAGGAAATCGACCGTAATGGAGTCTGACGTAAGCCCTGTGTTTAATTGTATGGTTTCAGCTTCAAATGGATGTTCAGATGCATACATCGATGCAATATTTGTACTTTAATTCATAGATTTAAGCCATTTCATGTTCAACAGGTACGTTCCTGTATAAGACAACTCCTTGAGGGAATGGACTACCTTCATCAGCTAAACATCATACATCTGGACATTAAGGTAAACATTGATAGGTTCTCTCATTATGACGTTTTGTCTGTTCATACTCCTTATCAAAGGGTTTCTGGTTCTTTCATCAGCCTGATAACATCCTCATGGCAGACCCCCATAGCGATCAAATCAGAATCTGTGACTTTGGCAATGCAGTTGCCATAACACCTGATGAGGCTCAGTACTGCAAGTATGGCACACCAGAATTTGTTGCCCCAGAAATCGTCAATCAGACTCCCGTTTCCAAAGCAACAGACATATGGTAAAGTTTCCATTTAGCACTTTGTTTTTCTTTTATTGACGTTTTCTTGTTTGATGGTTGAAATATATTTTCTGTTCCTTTTCTTAGGCCTGTAGGAGTTATAACGTACTTATGGTGAGCAAAGAAATATGTGATAATTTTTTTCTTGTTTCCATCACTGGCCTTTAACAACCAAAATATACATATGCAATTTTAACTATTTGTCTCTATTTTCAGCCTGACAGGAATTTCTCCTTTTGCTGGGGAGAATGATCGCAGTTCAGTGCTAAATATCAGGAACTATAATGTGGCATTCGAAGAGAGTATGTTTGCAGACCTATGCAGAGAAGCTAAAGGATTCATCATAAAGCTGCTGGTAGCAGACAGGCTGTGAGTAAAAATACTTGACCACCATCAGCCGACATCTGTTTGTATGTAGGATCTCACACAACACAAAAAAACATAAATTGCTTCAATAATTAAAACAAAAGACTTAGACCATTTTAATGTTCTAATGTTGACAATTAAGCTATTGCTGCTAACTCAGAGATGCTAATTTGATTTAGTCAGTTTTAAAAAGACAAACAAAGGCAATCGGTTTGACCCCGTCATATTAGATGGATTTCATTCAGAATATGCAAGTAACTAATAAACTAATTATATGAAAATTACCTCTGATTAAGGGAACCATTATATGTCAACTATGAACATGTGTTCATAACATAAAATAGTGTGTCACATCTTCATCAATTTTGGTGACTGTAAGGTCACCAAAATGTCAGAAAAACTATTGCGACTTGCATATTAATTTTCCAGCGAGATGTGATGATGTCCGTTTTCCATCCATAATGAAAACAAAAACAATGTATTTTTTTTTATGACAATACACTTGTCATTTTAGGAAATTTGTCTATATGAGAAAAACTTGATAAACATTGACAGATGACAAAATAACTATTTTTAATGAAATTCTAATAATACGAATACAAATAAAGGACACCCAAATCTTTTATAAGATAAGATATGGCATCTTATATTTTCCTATGTTTTTTTTTAGGAGACCTGACACCCAGGAGGGTCTCAGACACCCTTGGTTCAAGGTAACAAAAACCACATTAAAAACAAACTGTTTAGTAAATTACTGAATAACCCATCAATCGTAATAATATATTTGATTGCTTCCTTTAAAATAAATATTTTTATTTATTGTACAGATACTTAGCAAAGGAAAGGCCATAAGTACAGATGCCCTGAAGAAGTTTGTGTCTCGCAGAAAATGGCAGGTGAGGAGTGTCATACCTATCTTCCTTGCACAACGCTTGCTACTGAATGTTTTGTGATAATAAAATTGTAATGCTAACTGTGTTTTTCTCTCCACTTTTCAGCGTTCGATTATCAGCTATAAATCAAAAATGGTCATGAGATCCATACCTGAGTTGCTGAATGATTCCTCTAGCCATGTCTCAATTGCAGTTCCAAGGCACCTCAAAGAAGGTTCCCCTTTGCCATCCTCATCCTCTGATTCTGATGAGGACATTGATGAACTTCCCTTTATTCCAATGCCACTTAACGTGGAATTTTCTGGATCAAGAATGTCACTGAACGACATTCAGACCAATGAACAAGAAGCAGGAAAGCAGAATGGAACAAGCGGATGGTCTGGATCACCTCCTCAAGCTGCAGAACCAATGGAGAGCGACCTTAAAGAATCAGACAAAGAAGGTATTGAAGTAGGAGGTAAAAGCCACCTTCGGAAAAAGTCTTCCCAAGACAATGACAAGGGATCTTCAGATGAAGAAGCTCCTGCAGATTTGCCCCAAAAATCAGAGCTGGTCAGAAAACCACTTAGAAGGGGTTCAAGCATGGAATCTGACAAAACAGAGGTAGGACGGCGAAGAGGAGAGCTAAGAAGAGGCGGTTCAGCAGATAGTGCGTTATTGCTCAAAATTACACCCGAAGAAGAGACTGCAGATGAAAACCCTCAGGATAGTCGAAGAGTATTGAAGAAAGCAGTTTCCATGGAATTGCCAAGAAGGAGCACCAGCCCAGGAACTGCTAAGATGAGTCAAGAAGACTATGCACTTAAATTGGAACTGATGAGACAGCGTCTTCTTCGCGGTGGCTCTGTGGATAATAAGATGAGTGGACTGAGAGGACCCCTGCTGGAAACTTTAGGAATGGGAGATGAAAAGCGTGCAATATCTTCAGATCGCTACCCACGAGTCACTCGTCTGGGTCCACCTCCACTTACCAGAGCTGCTTCTAGTGAGTTTCCAAAGGACGATGTTCCTAAACCTAAAGTTTTACGTAAAAGTACCTCTTTCAGTCAGGGTGATTCAGAACCAATACCTTTACATAGGCGGTCAGGAGCACCTCTGGAGATTCCAGTGGCACAGGTAGAGGACAGAAGGCTCAAAGAAGCAATATCCATGTCATCTCTAACAGAACAAACCAAGCTAGACTCACGTCCAGTGACTCCCAGGGAACCTTCACCAAAACCACCAACTCCAGAGTCCGTTGTGCAAGAAAGTCCTACAATAACAGAGGGCGAAGGATTTATCATGGAGAGGGATATAAAGCTTGATCAAATTACAAATGAAAAAATGGATGGGCTCACTACAGATAGTAATTTTGATGAGAGATCAAGCACAAGTGGATTTTCAGAAAGGGATATGAGTATCTCAGAGGAACCAATAGCTGAATCAGAGTATATTGGCCAGAGAATTCCAACACCTCCTCTCATGGCCCAAAGCTCTAATATTACAGAGGAAATGGAAGTGGAAGAAGAAGCAGATAAGTTACAAGGAGAAAAATATTTCATGAAAGAAAAAGAGGAAAGAGTTGATGATATTGTTAAATCAAATGTTACAGAAAATGTAGTTACTGTAGAGGATGATGAACGGATTGTAAAATCCACTGAGATGACCATACCCCCAAGCTCTGTTATGGTGAAACCAACGGAGGAATTAATTCAAACTCCCGGAAAAATAGCATCAACATATGTAACACCCTCCCTTCCTGCACGAGTTGTTCTTCCAGATGGAAGGATGTCAGCATATGCTAGTATAATGCAGACCATAATGGTCCCTGCAATACAGCCTTTGAATGAACAACCCTTAGGGCCCTCTACACCCATTGATGTCCCAGCCACCACATCGCCTTCTGTATCAGTTGAATCATCTTTACCAGTGAAATTATTGTCCGATTTACCTGCTTCAAAGCCACTAATTGTGTCAACCACAGAGCACCCTGCAGTGTACTCCAGAGTAGCATCACCAGAAATGATCACAAAGGAACCCAGTCCACCAAAGGTACTTATTCCACAGTCTACATCCCAACAAGAACTCTCAACAGGAGCCGATTTGGCTGATATTACCTCAGAAGAAGTGTTTGAGTCTCGCTTCAAAAAGCGTGAATCTTCCCTCTCAAGAAGTTTGAAATTTTTGTCACGGTCAAAGAATGACGATAAATCCATTGCGACATCATCAGACTCAACTGACCCTTCTGAAGAGATATATAGACCTGGGCCAATTGGTGCACCTGTGGAATTGGCACCAAGGAGACTTGAGGAGAAATCGAAATCAGTCCAGGACCTTCGTGAAGCTCAGAAAGACCAGGGCTTCATGAGAAGGCTCTCAATGCGCTTAAAGAGAACTCCATCAGCAGAGCGTAAGGATGACACATCAAAAGAAGATGATTCAGTTGCTTCAAGACATAGACTTTCTTGGACTCTTGGAAGAAGAGGGTCTCAGGAGAAGAAAGACGTGGAGATGATGCGAGTGGAAGGCGGAAGTGAAAATGATGAGAAAGAGTTGAAGAAACCTAATGAATCACCAGTGTTAGCGATGCGCAGAAAGATTGAGTCAACAGTGGCTGGGATCTCCACAAGAATTCGTAGCTATTCAGAGGAGAGGAAAGCTTCAGAGGACAAGGAAACCAAGAGGACACCTATTCTTTCCATGCTTCGTCGCTCAACATCGGAAAGTCGAGCTATGAAGGTGTCTAACATTCCTCAGAACCAGCTGGCATCTCAGGCCAGTAACGGTGCCTCATCTGAATCTCTTGATTCCATGTCCAGCCTAAAATCAGAAACATCAAAGGGTATGGGGGAATAGCTTTTCTTCTTAACTCCATATGTGACCAAAGTACACCAATGACATACCAAGATTTCTTATGAAATGCATTTATTTTTTCTCTACATCAAAGGCACAGAGGTTGAGCGGAGATCCCGCTGGGATAGATGGGGCCTGACTAGAGGGAGGCGAGATAAGACGGTGTCACAGCCTGACATACCGACAGCCATCTCCAGAGACAATAGTTCCTTACGTTCACGGCAGTACGCCAAACTGGCCTCTGGTATGTATAATAGTGTATATCAATTCATGGCTTGACAAAGGAGTAGCATAAAGGTAATCATAGCATTCATGAAGATTAATCAATATCATCAATTAAACTTTGACATTTAGCTCTTGAAAAGTGTTAAAGTCCTAACTTGCCTGCTTGGTCTGTTATGACACACATTAGATGCAAGCCAATTGTTGTTTTCTTGTTTTTTTTTACGACCAGATTTTCCTCCAGTTTTCCATATCAAGTTAAGAGATCATGTTCTACTAGAGGGAGACCCTGTGACACTCAGCTGTCTTCCAGCAGGCAGCCCCCATCCTCACATCACCTGGTTGAAAGGTAAATATTTATTGTCTCAGTATGGCATGGATACATAGATAGATCTTGGTTACATGGATCCATACTTTCAGACTTTTCTCATTAATTTTCATAATAAACACACTGTTATGGTGTTTTGTCAGATAAGAAGCCCCTGGAGATTGATTCTAGGATGAATATGATTTCCTGCCCTGATGGCCGACAGCTCCTGATGATCATGCAGACCACCAAAAAGGATGCAGGGGTCTACGAATGTGTTGCTGTAAACCCCTTGGCCTCTGTGTCCAGCTCCTGCACAATATCTCTTGCTCGTAAGACCCAGAAAATTGTTCTTCATTAAAGAGATTCAAACCACATTTTTTCAAGACCTGATAGAGCTACTATACCATGCATGGTTTTGTCCTTATTGTTATATAGAGTAGTTTTCTTAACACTTATTGGTAATATTTGTTTTTCAGGGTTGCCTAATCGTCCTGGGACCCCTGAGATTCCTCAGAAGTACAACAACACAGCATTGGTGCTTTGGAGGCCCTCAGACACCATGGCCCCCTGTACATATTCACTTGAGAGGAGAGCAGAAGGTGATTTAGTCTTATTTCATTCATATACTGTCAGGTGTTTTAAAGAGCAAGATAAGTGTAGGCAGAAAAATAATGGCGATTCAAACCATATGAGTATCTTGCCCAACATTTTGATATTTTGTAATAGAGTTAAAGCACATTTAAAAAAATGTTTTGGACGGTTTCTAACAAAGACGTCTACCTTAAAAAACTGACATGAATCATAGATTTAAATCACTGTAGAAAACTCTTCAATCCTCTTTCCCCAGGTGAAAACAATTGGCTGATTGTTGCCACTGGAGTCGCTGACTGTTACTACAATGTAACAGACTTGCCAGCAGGGGGCCCCATTAGGTTTAGGGTGTCTTGTGTCAACAAAGCTGGCCAGGGACCCTACAGCAACCTGTCAGAGGCAGTAAGTTTGGATTCCTCAGGTATGTCAAAGTCACTTTATTTTTGTTGAGGATTTGAAATAAATTGAATTAAATGCATACTTTATAAATCAGTTTTGAAATTCTTATTCTTTTTTTTTTTTTAGAAACATTACATTTAATGTTCTGCAATGCTTTGTGTGTTAACAAACTATTCATTCAAACTACTCATCTTAACAATTGAATAATATGCATTGTTGTGTACAAATATTTAATTCAGTCTGTCATTTGCATTTCCCCTTTTATTGTTGACTATTAGAACCAGCTAAATCCACTAATGCTGTCGTGGTAAAGACTGTTCCTGCAACTGCTCCACCTCCCCCTGTGGTAATGATGTCATCAATGAAAGTGCCTCCCATAAAACCAGCTCCTAGTAAATCGACGACGGTGACAAGTGGCCAACTTGCCCCCCTCCAAACCTCTACCCCTGTCTCCTCTGTGGCTAAATCTGCTTCTCCGAAAAGCATCAAGCCAGCTGCACCAGCGAATGCCAGTCAAACTGCTTTTACACAGCCAGTTAGCAAAACCTCTGCTGAACAGGCTCAGGCCGCCGCAGCCCCCCAAGCTGCATCAACCAAAGCCAAGACCTCCATTAGCATTAGTGTGAGTAAACCCCAAGCAAAGCTGGCACCTCCACCTGTTGTTCTACCCAAACCTCAGAGTCCTGCACTTGCATTCCCGACCATTTCCAGGGATCCCCCTTCACCCGTTCAGTCCCCTGCTCCTACCATTGGGAAACCGATTTCATCTTTGCCAATGTATGTTCCTACCGCGACTGCTGTCACTCCCCCCTCTCAAGCGACCCCAACAGCTACATCCACAACACCCTCAGCTACTACTGTGACCATTTCGCCACCAGTTGTGGTGGTGCAGAGCTTGACACCAGTTGTGCAAGGAGGGGACAACCGCAGTACCCCGTCCGGACGGGCCACGCCATCTGGACGGGTTACACCATCGGGACGCAGGACGCCTCTGGGAAAGCTTGGAGAGGGATCTCTGCGTCAGGGAGTTCCACAGAAACCGTACACATTTATGGATGAGAAAGCAAGGTAATGATAATGGGGGGAGGGGTAGGGGGATTCAATTTTAATCATCATTTTAAACCTCTGACAGATTTATTATATATTTACTGAGTAAAGATCTAACACAAAACTTAGACAAGTGGCAAAACACTGTATGTTTTTTTTTAACTGACACTACTCAATAAAGCACTTCTTCTTCTATGGTCACACAATTCCTGTTGCTAGGAACGTAGCAACCTTTTTATAATCTCTATCACTAAATATTGGATATTCCCATCTGTTCATGTCTATCAAATCGACTTATATTTGGAGATCGTAAACATGAATGTTATGATTTTATGTCCCTTACATCAACAAAGTTAACCACTTAAGTTCAGTCTTTAGATAATGTTCTCCTGGACTGAAAGTGTTTCCTTCCCACCTAGGGGTCGATTTGGTGTAATCAGGGAGTGCCGCGAAAATGCAACGGGCAACCTCTTCATGGCTAAGATCGTTCCATATGAGGCAGACAACAAGCAGACAGTGCTTCAGGAATATGACATCCTGAAGTCCCTTCATCATGACAGGATCATGGCTCTACACGAAGCCTATGTCACACCACGCTACCTGGTACTGATCTCTGAATACTGCAGTGGGAAAGAGCTGCTCTACAGCCTCATAGACAGGTGAATCTGCATTTGAAACAGAATCTGAAAGTTGATCTTGCTTGATACGTATCCAAAGTAACGTATGAAGATATTTTAGAAAATAAACAACCTTCTCTTGTGGTTTAACTATCTATTCTCTGGTATCTGTCAGGTTTCGCTACTCAGAGGATGATGTGGTGACTTACATTGGGCAGATCCTTCAGGGTCTGGACTACCTCCACACGCGCCGCATCTTGCATCTGGATATCAAGCCAGAAAACATCATAGTCACCAACATGAATCTCATCAAGATCATTGACTTTGGAAGTGCCCAGACATACAACCCCCTCTTCCTCAAGCAATTCAGCCCTCCAATTGGAACATTAGAATACATGTGTAAGTGTTCAAATCATGTCCAAAATATACACCGTGTTGAATATATGCCATTCAAAAGAAATAACTTATTCATTTCTAATATGCCACAAAAAAGGATACGCATTTCCATTTCTTCTCATTTTAGCTCCAGAGATGTTAAAAGGGGATGTTGTGGGCCCTCCAGCGGACATCTGGAGCGTGGGCGTGCTGACTTTCATCATGTGAGTGCTGCTTTCACAGCTTCCTCCTTTGCTTCATGGAGAAATGTATTTGTGTTCTTCTAGTGTAATGCTGCATGCTGCTCTCATTTCTTTAACAATGTATTACTCGTGAGTAATAGTTCTCTGGGCTCTTTGGGGATGTGAAAGGTTGTTTTTATTTTTCATATGGCCTGCTTTTTCTGTCTTTCTCACCTATGAATCAATCCTTGTTTCTTGTAAATACCTTGCTGTAGTTGTTTTAACATACCTCACAGCTTAATCAATACACAAAGGGATTTTTCTTTCAATGTTTTTTCGACGGATGTTCACTGTTTACATCTTTCACATTATCCAGGTTGAGCGGCAGGTCTCCTTTTGTGGAGAACACTTCACAGGAAACTGAAGCCAGGATCCAGGCTGCAAAGTTTGACCTCTCTAAACTCTACCAGAACGTGTCCCAAAGTGCCTCTCTGTTCCTGAAAAAGATCCTCTGTAGCTACCCTTGGTAAGTATAACGTTAAAATAGTTGTCTAGTTACAATTCAAACATTTTATTGCGATCATTCATATTGTATCAGGCTGATTCTTTTCAATCGATTTGACTCTGCTTCAACAGGGCCCGTCCATCTATCAAGGACTGCTTCAACAACTCGTGGCTTCAAGACGCATACCTGATGCGGCTCCGCAGACAGACCCTCACCTTTACAACGACCCGTCTCAAGGAGTTCTTGGTCGACCAGCAACGCGGTCGAGAGGAAGCGGCCACCAAGCACAAGGTCCTACTCCGGTCCTACCAGAGTTCGCCACAAACTCCCACCAGCCCCGTCACGCCAGTTGTGCCAGCACCACCCTCCACATCCGTCACCCAGTGAAAGCAGACTTCCAAACATCAGCTGACGGGACTTTGCATGGGACAAAGATCCTTAGAACCAACCAAACACCTGATGAGGACGGTCCCTAAAGGTTTCAGTTGTTGAACTGAGTCAGAAGGACTTTTCTTATGGAACCAGAAGTGGTTAAGACATCATCTGTCTTCCCCTCTGGTTGCTAATGAGAATCAAGTGAATGGCTTTCAAACTTAAAGAAACTTTTAGAGAAGCTTTTTAAGCTGTATATAAGCTAGAAGGATGATAATTACAAGTTAGTACCTCAAAGTTAGTAATTTGCATACATTTTGGAGACACATTTGTTTTTTGGAGTATCACAACTCAAATTAGAGAAGACACATCATTGTGTCTTTTTTAACTGCCATGGAATTTTGATAAAGTATCTCCTTTTGAATAGAGGTCAAAACAATTAAATTCACGAGAAAGTGAAAAGTACAAACCAGAGTAAATTTGAAAAAAAAAAACATTTTTGTTGGTACACCTTTACTAACCCAGTTTCAATTAAATTACCGACCAAATTATTTTAAATGTACACTGATGTCAACTTTTGGTGGTTTATAATCGTTCACAACAAATATATTGTGTGCGACCTGAATTATTATTTGTTCTGTAGCGCCACTATGATGGTCAAAATTGTAGCAGTCCCAGAATTTTAGAAAACAAAATCTTTTAAGATATGTCTTGAGATCAGAAAATACATCTCTGGCTTCATCACAAGGGCTATTACAGTACAACAGACTAAATTTGGGCATTTCCGCCTAATGCTAAGTTAGTACCACTACATTATGCTAACTGGCTGACGATGGTTGTCTCATTCTCCAAAGCAAAGATTCTGATTTTTTTTCTAGATTTGTGATCAGATCCTCATCTTGGAGCTTCCTTTGAAATATATGTTCTGCTTTCAACAATAGTGTGAACAGCACAAGTGTGTCTGTACTGGGCTCCACCACAAATAAGCTTGCAAAAGGCACACTAGACTCAGTTTTACTAAACGTTTCCATTTGAACCACTGAGAGACACTGAGTGATAAGCATTTAAAATAAACTCTTTCAAATACAGGGCTTTTCTTTTGAGAAGATCTCTGAAGAACATACAGAAGACACTTTAATACATTTATGCAGGATTTTAATGTTCAACTTTATCACTTTACAAACCCACTGGTGACACTAGGGGTGCCTTTAAGTGCCCTTAAGGAGCTGTTGTCTAAAACTCAGTATAGGATCGGTTGATGAATTATGTCGATGAGGATATTACTAAATGTTTAGCTAAATGTTGTGTTTTATCAGTTTAGCTTCCATTTTCATGGCTAATTGCTTTTGCTTGGGAAAAGGGGTTGCTCTGTTTTTGTAAAATACAATTTTGAAAGACTAAAATATTATTTTTCGGTAGTCATAAGAATACATTGTTTTAAAAATCCAGATTTCCTCAATTCAGAGGCACATGACTCTGGGTTTCAGGTTGTATAACCTAACAAAATGGTGTCCTCGGTGTTCCAAACATATTTGTTGCGAAAATGTGCAATCTCTGTATGCAGAGAGAAGAATCAAACAAGTAACATTTCCTCTTACATGTTTTGTATATATGTTATATTAACCTAAAAAAAAAGAAAACAAGAGACACACGCGAGCTAATTTTGGTTACATTACTTAATTTAAGCCTCCTTCTCAAGCCAGGACTGCAGGGGCTTTGTTAAAATTTTTTAGGAGGATTGCTGGTCAGTTAACAAGATATAAATATGGTTCCACACTTGGGTGAAAGAGGCTTTAGATTGAGGTTGATTTCATGTTTGGGAGATTTGACCCTGATGTCAAATGCCGGCATTGACATGGGTCACAACAAATGCTTTTAAAATCCAAATGGGACATAAAGACCCTGTAAAAGTGAAGATTTGAGCTACTTCTGATCGATGAGTGGCATTTGGAGTTTGTGCATTAACAGTCACCCTGAATTAACACAGGCAATTAAGGACATTTGTAGACCATGTCTGAGCCCAAAAAATATTTCCTATCTGTGAAATAACAAATATGTTGTATTTCTGAAATATGATCAATAGAGAAAATATCCAAGATGTAAATTCCAGTCTTTTCATTGGCACATTAAATAGCTGAATAATGGTACTAACATTATGCTAATCATAAATCAGATATGTATTTATGTTATCGCCACTTCATATATCTAAATTTGACTGTTTGCCTTCCCTTATGAGGGATTGGTTCTTACAGCAGCATGTGAAACCATTTTTCAATTTGTTGCTGTCACATTCAGTGATGTAAAGCACAGATTTGTACATTTTGGAATTGTCTAAAGGAAGAATTCAGCGACATGAAAGATACAGATGAGACTTTTTGGGTGATGTGAAGCTGAATCATACATCAGATTATGAGTTGTTTGACTATATTTATACTGACTGGCATATATTCCCAGTAATTTGATGGCATTTTAAAACTAGTTTTACATTGCTTTTGCTCGTTAAAGGCTACCTTTTTTCTGCAGTTCTTTGTCTTTTTAGCTCAGCCATTTTCCTATGCAGAATCCCATAAGGAGTAACATTAATGAAAACATGCAAGATCAGCATGAGAGTGAAATGTTGCTTTAAATTTTAAATGTTTGTGCAATACAAGAACTATCTCTTTTAATCACGGAAAAGGAAATAGCAGCTGTTTCAAAGCAGACGACAAGTCTTCTCCATATTTTGTATTTGAATCCAATGATGTTTTATGGATTGCGTTGCAGTGCCTCGTGATGGATATTAGAATGTTAGAGGGAAAAAAAACAGTTATATGAATGACTTGTTCCTTACTTTGATTCTATGAATGTGACTGCTTTGTGTGTGTGTGGTTTTGCTAAAGTTGTTTATTTATTGAGTGACTGTATTTGTTACGGCTTCAGCTTTTTATTCGCAAAATTTCAGAGTCTGGCATGGAAACGGCATGGCAGGTGTTAAAGTTATGAACAATAAAGGAAATGTGAAAAATATATGGCTTTATTATGACATAACAAAGTGCTTTGATTTGCAAATCTCATTAAACCCATGGTTTCTTTAAAAATAAAATCGAAACATTATGAAATGCTAAACGTGACACATTTAGACTGTTTAATTCCAAATTTAGCTATCTTGGATTTCATGACAGCACCACATTAATAAAGGCTTGGACATTTTGTAAGCACCTGTATAAGGGGAAGGCCAGCTGCTCAGCCTTTGGAAGTGGGATATTATCTTGTTCTATTTCTGATAAATGCTGCACAAAAGTCCTCCTATTTTTTGTTTTTCCTGATATGCAAAAAGCTTAAGTTGATGAGAGGTCAGTCCAGTCACCAGACTGTACCAAAAATAGCCTAGGTGTCGTAACAGAAGAAATATGTCTTACTAAAAAAAGATAAGACCTTCCCTAAAAAAATTCGACCAGGTGCAGGTATTTTTGTTACGCCACAGTGTGGCATTCTTTGACTACCAACCAATAAGAATTATTCCACTTTTAAGAAAGACTTTTGAGTAAGTGAAAGTATGAATTATGTACTGCTAAGTAGGGCTGCTAGTCCTGTTGTAGTGTCAAGTGGTTCATCCTGACCTGGATCTGCTGTCCATGTCATCAGAGGCTTGATAGAGTTTACCATCAAACCAGAGAGCAAACAGGTGGTAGGGGGCAAAAGGAGTTGACCGGTCACCATCTGGAGCTTCTGACTCTCTGGTTGGATCCTGGCTGTCCTGTAACACATTTATTTAGTCATATATTTTAAACCTTGTTCTGTTCAGTATTATGGCATCAGAACTGAAATCTACGTACCGTGCTGTGCCGAACACATTTGTTTTGGGGACCTGAATGAAAACTTTCCATGTATCCAATCATACAATAGCCTGACAGTGGGACAAGGAAGAGGGAAGAGCAAAGAGAAACAAGCTATCCCGAAAAGGACAAAGATCCTTTAGACAGAGAGAGAGAGAGAGAGAAAGAAAAAAAAGACAACAAAACCATACAACCAGCTGCTACATTTGCAAAAAGATATGTGGTCTCTTGTGGGTAATCCAGATGGATAACTTTAGGAGCACCTGCAAACAAACACAGGCGTTGATGTGCACAGCAGCTCACATTTAGCTTCTCCCTCAAGGTGACACAACACAAAGTCCTCTCACTTGGTCACAAAGTCCTTTTATGTCCTCCACCTGAAACCTTAACTTGGAAAATTTCCCTTTTTCACCATCAAATTTCCAGATCCATGCTGGCAGCCGTCCACAAACCATAGCAAAAGAAACGTTACAGTTATGGGCATACTATTATTATTTTAGAAATTAGCATTATTCTGTTGGGCTGCATCCACTTGTTTAACAATGGGGCTTGTATCCTGCAGACAATGCCAAATATGTAGCCTGTATGTCACCTTAAAGAATTGATGGTGCCTTTTCCAATGTGCAATTAGCTAGTTTCATAGGCACTAAAATACCTCTATACCATCAGTGATTAAAACTTTTAAACTCAGTCCATTTTGAACATGACCAAAAGAAGACAGTGACGATACTGAGTCATACAGTTTTGTGTTTACAAGATAGAGCCATGATCTCCATTCAGAACCAACTAGTAAATATCTCCTTTACGACATCTAAATCTCTTAGAATTCGTGTAGAAATTGACTATAGACTGTTATGCCTACCTAGTGTTTCATGCTTTACTTCTCTGCCTGAAACAAGGTGAAGCTTAATTTCAGTTCCATGCTCCTAAAATCTGGAACAGTCTTCCCGAAGACGTGAGACAGGGCCCAACTCTGACAATGTTTAAATCCAGGCTGAAAACATTCTGTTCACCTGTGCATATGGAAACTGAATGTATTTTATCTGCACCCTCAACTTTTTAACTATTTTTCTAATTGTTGATTTTTTTTATTTTCTTGTTTCTTGAAGCACTTAGAATTATTACGTACACGAAATGTGCACCAGCAAACTATCTATAGGGGTCTCAATACTGAGGAATATATATATATTTTTTTTGTTTTTATTGACAGTGTATCAACAGGAAATGTCCGGAACTTCCTTTCTTTGTTTTAACCGGTTTCAAGGCCACCCCGACGTCAAAGTTTATTGAAGTCTGTGGGATCTCAAAGAGTCACGAGCAGGTTGACATATACACGTTAAATCTAATTAAATTACTTATGGCAATTCTTTATTATTAGAATAAAAAAAAAACAATTTAGTCTGAAAAATAACCCAAATAGGGTGGTACTATGAAAAATTATGACCAACGAGCACAATACAATAAGCTCTACAAAGCTACTTTGTGGAAAGCATCACATCCTGCAATGTAGCTTTAAGAAATCGGCTTCCTTGAAACCGTCAGGTCCCGTGTTAGCATGGCGAAATTGACGGAACTGCAACAACATTGCAACTTTTAGAGAAAACTTTTTTTCTGAGATGGTTTAAAGTCGTCGCATGCTGAAAAAAAAAACTATTTCCGACGCTGTTTGTTTACGTTTCTCTTCGTTCTGCCCGAAATGAGCGTTTGCTGGGAGGGAGTGGCAAAACATAAACACTCTTTTCGCCCGTGGCCCCTCGGATAAATTGGAGTCGCTAACGGCGTCCTTATATCTGGATGTGATGGGTGACTCGTCGGCGATAATCACGCAAATGAGGAGAAACGACGAGGAGAACGCGCCGCGTCGCGAGGGTGGTGAGTTTGTGGGAAAGAAAAAAAAAAGTTTGCGGAGCTGCGCGCGGCGGCATCACCGGACCGGACAGTGAACCCCGCAGTGAACTTGGTTTCACTTGATCGATTGTAAAATATTGTAGACCTACAGTTAAGTTAAGCTAAGTTAAGCTACTTGTATCACAAGTAGGCTACATGGCGTAAAATATGACACGCTAAGTTTAGTTCCGCATGGCATTTCTTATATTGGAATGAAATTGAAATGTCAGACTTTATATGTCTCTTTGAAGGGGGCGTGTTCATGTACTTTGACAGTTAACTGTTTTGTGCTCTGATGCATATCTTTACTTAAGTTGGACAACAATTAAGCCACTCTTTACTTCGAAGATTGAAAAACGTGACCTGGTTTACTTCGTCCGTTTGATTTGCGGAGGCTAGAAGAGTTGTGAAGCCTTTCTGCTCGTATGTGAAACACATTGCCATTAAAACAAAATGAGATATTTTTCTTCCTACAACCCTGACTCAGCCTGCTTGTGATGATTTAGAGTCTTGAGAAATAGTTGTCCAAACTTTCAACGTTTTTCTGTGGTGTTGCTTTCCCAGCGTCGGACCGTTTTCAAAGGAATGTATGTTTGTGGGGGGAATTTATTTTTCTTATAGCATAAAAAAACATACCTCACCTAAGGAATAAACCAGTGATTCGTTAAAGAAAGTAATGGAATAAAAAATGTATTGAATGTCACTTTTCTAAAGGTTTATTCAGTATTACACAATTGTTTATTGGTTTAACCTGTTTTTGTGACTGTTTTGCATTAATTTCTTTCAACATAAAATAAAAGCATCTTTTGGCCCTTTGTTACAAAAACAAACAATTTATTTTAATTTCATTGGTCATATCTGCAATTTCTAAATATATCAAAGACAACAGTCTGACATACATGAAATAAAAATAAAAAGTTATTCATAATGGCACATTCTTTGGAAATAGTTCACATTCTCAATTCGGTTTTTCACTTGAATCAAAAGATGTGTAACCTCCACCAAGAAGTGACCCATCTGGTGTCATGTCAGCAAAACTCTTTGGGTACTGCCTGATGATATTTTGAACCACAGATAGGCACTGTGCACGAGTGGGATTAGCTTCATACCTTCTCATTTCATCTGCAAGTATTCGTACCATCTGGCGACGTTCCACTGGTTTAGGTCTCTTGCCATCTGCAATTGCAGAACGAATTTCTTGTGGCATTTGTTCCCAAGGCACCTGGAATGTTTCTGGCCATGTTTTCAGTATCTGAGATCTGGAAGGTCTGTTGCTTGGCTCGCAGTTCCTTGCCTGGTTTGAACATGATGCAATGGCCGATAGCTCTGATGAGCTAGAATGAGGCGGAGTGCATGATAATGAAGACTCAGGTGCACTACTCAGTAGTGTTGAAGTTGGAATGGCTTCTAAATCCAATAGAATTATCTCAGTTTCTAAAAACAAAGAAAATAATTAGTGCACAAAATTGGTAAAAAAAATTTTTTTTAAAAAAGTAAATCACATGTGATTTACTTTTTTTTTTTAAAGTAATAGTGCATCCGCACTTGAATGGCACACTGAACTAGCCATACATTACCTAGTTTGAATGCATCCAGGAGTTTACGGCGCTGGATAACAGGTAGCAGATCAGCAAGGTCTTCCTGTTGTACATATTTTAAGTCTTCTTTTGACTCTAAGCCGGAACTCTGAAGTTTCAAAATGATTTGCCACTGGGTCTCTTCAGACAGATTTGGCAAGGACTTGCAGAGGATCTCTTTGATTTCTTCACTCAAGTTCTCCATCATTCTGGAACAGAGGGAAAGAATGGTGAAGAATTATCAGTGGTGTGCCGTGGACAGCGTACTCAGGCAAAGGATAGTAATCTAGCAAATTCTCCTGATTAATACAGCAGTAGCTTCTCTGCATCAGTGTGAGGCTGTAAACACCCATGTAATTAGTTGATTGATTAGTTTTCAGTGGCTGAGTATTGCAGGTCCGAAAGAGATCTTCAGTTTTCATGACTTCAATCACATTTTGTGTACTCACCTTCAGAAATCCCAAGTGTAATCAACCTCTCTTTTAGTTTGAAAAGCAAATGCGACTGGCTTATTTCATGTATATCCTGAAAATCTTCAATGATTGTCTGGATGACAGAGGATGGAAGCAAACATTTTGCTTGCAATTTCAAATAAAATAGAGCTAAATTTGTAAAGAACTGTGATTCATCAGCAATTTCTGGGTAAATCTCTTTTTCATCACCTGCATCACTGGGAGGATCAGTCAACATATCAGACTGATCTTGTTCACTTTCATAGGAAAAACTAGGATTCACAACGGACTCAACCAGATTTTCCTCAGTACCATTTTTATGTTTCCGACTCATGTGTGATGTGAATGTTGATAAGACTGTGAAGCTCTTGCTACAGTGTCTATGAGGACAAACAACTGTTTTCCCCTCTGTAATGTGTGTTTTCAAATGAGAGTAAAAGGCTGTCAAAGTCTCACACCTTGCACTGCAGAAATCAACATGACACGTTAGTTCAACTACACCAGACAAAGTAGGCCTAACTACACGTTTGTTATGTCTGTAAGTGTGAGACTTAAATGTTGGAAATTTTTGGAAAGTCTGACTGCAATCTGCTAAAACGCACTTAAAAGTTAAATTAGGTGTATTTTTATGAATCCTCATGTGCCTTACGTATGCCACTATTGTGGCACAGTTATGACAACAGATCTGACAGGGGAACATTATTACTGCCTGTTCCTTTTCATCAAGTCTTGATTACAGTAAAATATGTCAAGCAGGAAAAAAACTTTTGGCTGCTTTTTGGTGCCGTATCAGTCTTAACACTGAAATTTTTAACCTTAACTGAGGTACAATGTTAAGATTATGGAAAAAAAAAGCCACAGCAGGTGCAAAACAGTTTGAAAAATCACAGAGTTGGGATAACTGACGTTAGAATATGTCAAGCACACATTGACAGAGAAATAAACTAAATTTATAAAGAGTCGAGAAAGTCAAGATTTTCACAACAAATCTTAAATGGAAAATCAACCCTACAAGCCAAAAGGATTCAAATGTCTTTTTTAACTGAACTAACTTAATTCCATTAACTAATTGTAAAACACATTTCATTAAGAGTTGACACAAACAAAATAAAATTCACCAAAACTGTAGCCTATACTCCAGCCTAGCTAGACAAACTCCTGAGCAATATATAAAAAAATTCTTGGCAATATAAATAAAATAGCAAACCCAGAGGAAAAGAAAAAAAGATTTTGATTCACATACCGTTAATTTCTTTAGATGAAATACTGGATCGTTGTGATGAAGACAGATGGAAGCATGTGTGTTCTGAAGTCGTCTTCTGGAAAATTTCCGGAAAATACTGTAGTATCCCGTTATTTAACAGCTGCATACCGTTTAATGCATCTGTCCAGTTGCTACAAGTTAAAAAGCCCACAATGCATTGCTTACTACAGTAATTTACTGTTAAACATGAAAACAGTATTTTAGTGTTGAAAAATGGCTGTAAATTTACAGCAATTGCTTACAGTGTGTGTTCGAGTGATAGGGACAATTTTCCTTGTTAGACTGGAGAAAAGGTTATCATACTCTACTGTCCACATCTTTCTCCAATTGCATTTTTTTACGAGAATATCTTCTCAAGCAAACAGCCAGTATGTCACAATCAATCTTTTATCACGATTTCTAACCAGGATTCTTCGTAGGAACAGAGAACATGGAAAGGTAGAAACTAGCACTGAAATTCATATCATGACCGGAATGTGTAAAGTAAATGTTGTTGTATTGATTTATTTAGAAATAATTGTCTCAGACTATAAACTGACTGTGAGCACACATTGTTGTCTCATTCATCTCTGTGGGATCCTGTTATGGACTGGTGTTCAGGGTGTAGCTCGTAATACTTATGTAAATGCCAGATAGTTTGGTTTTCCTTCATTTATTTATTGTCATTATTTCACAGGATTATGTCCCAGCATGGGATTAATTAAATGACAATACAATTTCCTTTTGCACATCCTTTTAATATGCAAATTGCCTATGTTTCAATTTCACTCAAAAACGTGTAAAACGACCTACAGTTTGGCCTATAATATATAAGATGATATTTAATTTGATTAAGCTGGTTTACATAAGAGCATAGAACTTGCTGCCTTTCTATTTAAGCCTTTGCAAAGATGAAAGTCACTTCACTGAAAACATAGCTGCTTTCATCTAGTTTCACATGAACCTCCTTTTTGTTGAAGCTCAGTTTTCCAAGCAAAATATGTCTCTTATATGTATGTTTTCAAAGATTTGGTCCATGCAGGCATCTGCTGTGTGATTATCATTGTAGTAGGCAAACAATGAATGGTCAGATGCACCCCCACCTGAGGCAACATAGGAGTTATCAAAGGTAAATAACATAGTAACAGGACCTGTATCCTTTGTCTGGATTGAAGACCTTGGTTTCAAAATGGAATTTCTTGGACTGACAGGAACGCAGAGCAGAATGTTCAGTTGGGCCGATCAGAATCACAAATCAGAAGTCCCTTAATTGACCAAATGTACTGAGTACACAGGTTTTGGTCCTGATGGACCTGGACCTTCGTCCTGCTGGGAGGGGTGTGAACCGGGACTGAGCTGGGTGAGATGGGTCCCCTACTATCCTCCTAGCCCTCTGCCGGGATCTTCCATCGTCCTTGGACGAGTGGGTCTCTCACTTGAGGTATCTGGTGATGGTAGTGCCCAGGAACTTCACAGAGTTCAACACCTGTTGATGAGAAGTGGGGGGTGGAGGGGAGGTTGTCTGCGGAAGTCCATGTCCATTTCCACCGTCTTGCAGATGTTGAGGTCCCGTTGCCCGTAAACCATGCTACCAGCTGCAACACTGTTTCCCTATATGCTGTCTCATCGTCGTCCTTGATGAGGCGCAGGACCGTGGTGTCATCCACAAACTTGACCAGCTTTATGGATGAGTGGCTGGGGAAGCAGTCGTTGGTGTACAGGGAGAACAGGTAGGGAGAGAGGACACAACCTTGTGCGTCACCGGTGTTGGTGGTGAGTGTGGCTGACTGGAACTTGCCTATTGGTGAGGAAGTCAGTGACCCACCCACAGATGGGGCTGGGAACGTCTAGCCGTCTAGGAGGAAGGTGTTGAAGGCCGAGCTATAATCCACTGAAGAAGGGACTCCGCCGGTCCAGGTGCATCAATATGTGGTGGAAGCTGAGGTAGATGGCGTTGTCAACAGAGCGATTTGCTGTGTAGCCAAACCGTAAAGGGTCCAAGAGGGGGTCAGAGATAGGTTTGAGGTGGGACAGAATGAGCTTCTCCAAGCTTTTAATGACCACAAAGGTCAGGGTAACAAGTCTGTAGTCATTCAGGGACATTATCCTGTCCTTCTTTGCAACTGGGATGATGATAGATGTCTTGAGACCAGGTGGCACATGAGATGTTCCTTGTACATTACATTTTAATATGTATGACCATGATTTTAAGTTTAAACACTGCTCTATGGTTAAGCAATTTATACCGACAAACAGCCGGGAGGTTATATGGTCCTTCATTTGTGTACTTCCTTTCGCACCTTTGAAGCCATTTAGATTGTTTACACAGTAGTTAGCTTTGTGAAAAAACTTTAAAATTCTTCCATAACTACTGTCTTTATGACCTATTCAATTAATACGTATTTCAGTGATTCTATCTGAGGATTCCTCCCTGCAACTTTGACTTGAATCAATAAACTCACTTTTTTACCTTTATTGATATACCCATAACCAAACTAAAGGTGCCGGATGTGGAGATGAAAGGACAAGAGGTACAATCAGTTCAGAACTTATCACCTCTTTGTTGCTTTTGGTACCGCCAACCCATGTCAGAAGGTGGCAGTACTGCCCAGTCAAGAAAAACAAAAAGGCCAACTGGTGCTATCGGCTCAATTTACATTCTCAAGACAGCAAGTCATGAGACCAAAATATGGCCGCCATCCAGAAGTGAGGGGCCATGGAGAAAGGAAGGAGATGGCTTAGTTTCACGAGATACTGCTAATATTAAGGATACCAGAAGGTTAAAAATGTTGTTCACACTTTCTCTTGATGTCTATCTACACAGCAACACAGTCATGTTATGCTGCATCTCGAAGATCTTCAGCTCTTGCATCTTTTTAAAGATTGGGAATATAAACCACATACTGTAGTGCTTGTTGGAAATGTTTAAAACTGAACAGACCCAAGAAAATATCTTCCACTTTGAAACTGATTGCTGTTGGTCACTGCAGAGCGGGTTGCCAGACTATAATTAGTATCAAGTGTCAGGGTGCCGAAAAGTCGGTCGTGGGGGGCCTCGTTCTCTCTGCGTCTGGATAGGAATAGAACCCGTCAAGCACACCGACCCTCGTTACCCATAACAGTCCCAGATACATCTGCTTTGGACTAAGTAGGATGAAACATGCTGAAGTGGCGTGAGGTCGTTGCTGCCTCCAGAAAATGCTGTAACCTCATTATCAGTGTATGATCCTCTTGGACAAGAAAGTGTGAGGATTGTTGCAGCAGAGTTTGCTTCTTAATTTTCCGCTACCTAATTATAGCGCACGTGGTAATGATTAATCTAAAGGATAAGGATCGTGAGTGTGAGGCAGCTAAGGTGAACGAGCTGCATTTGAAAAATTTCACCGAATTTTTAATTTGATCAAAAGCAAAACAGGGTTTAAAAAACTTTGCACCACCCTTTAAAATATAGCTGCAAGGCCAGTGATTAATAGGAAGCACTTACTAGTTAACTGTTTGTGTCAAAATGTTGTCTCTAGCCCAACATACCTGGCTGACAACCATACTGGAGATCAGGACACAGACCTCCTCTGTGACATTGGACTAATTAGTCAAAACTGTTAACTGCATCAAGTTTAGGTGTGTTGTTTAAAAAAAGAGGGGTCTTTTCTAATTATTTGAACATGACACAAACTACTGAGTTATTATGCCCATGTCTCTTTTTCTGTGACCAAAACAGCCACGAGTGCCTCAGAGAACCTTTCATATCATCACTACATTAGCGGGTTTCAGACATGCATGTGTCAAAAGGTCCCTGTGTCTTATTTTGCAAAACCATATTTCATTGCTTTCCGTGTTACTAACTGCTGCATTCCAATGTATCGAGGAAGTGCTTAGACCCTGGTCATGTTCCCGCTTTATTTTTAGCCAAGTTGGTGACAGGCTGTGGAAATGGCTATCATTGTTTTTTTTGCAGTCACACCACTTTGGTTCTGAATGAAATATCTCAACCACAAAATGGTAAATTGGTTCCTTAGCAGTGATTCCATCCCGAGCTGTAGGTTACTTTCTTTTTTTCCCTTCTTAACAAATGTTAAACCTGTTCAGCATTAACATCAGCGTGCTAACATTATCATTATAAGCATGTTTATATACTGTATGTTAATGTTTTAAAAGGTAATTAAAAAAACAATCTCTTCTGTGCATAAGCTATACTTAAGCAAATAGCCCTGAGCCAGCAGTCCAATTCAGAGACCCTTTGTGTTATTACAGTTTCCTAAAATCTTTGTGTTTCAGAATTTCACTGACTCCAAATGGAAAGACCAAATGTTTTACCTTCAACCACGTAGCCATTCCGCTAGGCAGGGTACACCGTGGACATGCTGCCAGTCCAGGGGCATTTTAGAGTGTTCAGTTAACTAATCATGCTTTCTTTTGGACAGTGGTAGGAAGCCAGAGTACCCAGTGGGAACCCAGCAGAGCTTTGTTGTAATGCAACAAAGCTCTGCTAACCACACCACCATGCTGCCCTACCTGTAAACAATTTTATATCAATGATCTTTACAGCTGCTGAAATATCATAACCACAATTTTATATTCTATAACTGTAACAGCATTTCCTATCTAACTCGTACTTCTCAAACTGGTAATCTGTTAGATGTCAAATGGCTAAGATTATATTCTCCTTCCAATTGTGCGGTATCAATGACATCACCAAATGTTATCCATGATAAATGGAATTCATCTTTTGTACTGGTTTTTTGACAAAGTTTCCAGGTTTGGCGCTAAACTGATTTATCCTGGAGCCACGTCTGTCTGTGCAGCCAGAGATTGTGTTTATCTTGACATTTGCCGCGTTGGTGTAATGGTTTGGAAGCTTTGGGAATGACCTGATGTTGCAGAGTATACAGTGTCGGTGGTTTAATTTAGTTTATCTTTTCTATGGATGCAGTATGGTGTTGCTGCCCACTGTAAACACGTCAACGAGCCAATCCCTGCCTTAGATTGAGTTTTATAAACAAGGATATCCTTGTTATTGATTTTAGTGGCATTATGCTGCATCCAATGCACACATATGTGCTTGTATGATATAGAATCGCATCATTAACTGTCAAGAGTTTCTCTGGCAGTCTATTTTAAGCACTCTGATGTGTCATATGAGCAGAGGTATTGCACTGGGCATCGTGATGTTTTTTAACAAGCTTCAAGCTACATGGATCACCTGCCCAGCTCCCTCACACGTGTTCCACTCAATAAACCTCTTTCATTTTGGAAGCGAGAGAGTTATGTCCCAACAAGCTTGTCCTGACCATCATAACTGCCCTTCTGTGCCAGGGGCCGCTCTCAGCTTTAACTGAATGAAGCACTCAACAAGCCAAATGCCTCATAGAATATCTCTCTAAAGTAGGTCAGACTGGAACTTGGCCGTACAGTTAGGTTAATGAGGTTTGAAGGACTGAATATTTCTGACTTAAGACGTCATCCATGGATGTGTGCTGGAATTGAACGCGTTTGTATTTATTTGGGAAACATTTTATTTATCAGCTGAATCTTTTAGTTGGATAGTGACATAAACTGAAAAGGGGAACAACATGTTCCTCAGTTTCATACAAGAAAAGGATGCTGTCAAGTCATCTGTTGCACTTAAGCAATTTCCCCTGATTTGAAAACTTCCAGCTTCCATCAGAGAGAACACAGAATGACGTTTTAATACACAGCTAATAGACCCAACAACGATATATTTAAGCTAATGTTTATCATGAAGTTAGTTTGAATTTGACAGGCTTTGGGACATAGAACATTGTTCACACAAAATTTGCATTTACTGCCTTTTTTTCCTTTTTTTCCCCACAAAACAGCCATCACCCAGTGCTGCTGGTTTTGCACTCCTCACGTTTCAACCCAAAACTGGCCGATCCAATGTACAGCACGTACCCAAGAGAACGATATGGTCGGGTGCCAGCGCCACAGTAATGCTGCGGTTGACAACTCTGACGGGCCATCAAGGCTTCCCTAATTTGTCAAGAGTTTTTTCTCTCTGTGTAAACAGTGGCCTTCACCACTCAGGTGGCAGCTGATGGGATGTTGGGTTGTGTGAGCCAGCTAGTGTTCTTACTTGTGTTTGGGATGTAGTAGGCAGGCAGCTGCACGTGGAACAGGCTATTTATAAGGCTAAAGCAGAAATCCTGTTCTTGTGTAGTCTTATGCTAGTGTGTTGTGCAAAGCATGCAAAGACAAGGTTGGAAATATGTGTAGTGTGAAAAAGGTATTTAAAAAAGATGTACAGGTAATTGAAGTACAAAGGTCACAGACAATATTAACCATTCATATATTAGTTTTAAGTTCTGTTTATTTCTATTTTGTGTTTGTTATGCTTGCAAGTTAATGCGAATGTTGCAGAGAAAATGATACGATTTTGCAGATGTACCATTATAATTAATATCTAGTAACTTGTTTCAACTCTTCACCTGTTCCTAGGTTAGAGGATGGTGTGCTATAAGGATACACATGAAGAATCTGTTCAACATTATTCTTGCATGTTTATATAAAAAAGTACTCAACTAATCCATGACAGAATGTATAACTTCCCTAAGGAAATGTTGCTTCTGTTTATTATTAAAGGTTATCGATTTAGCAAGTTCTCAATATTTAAGACAGCAACATATATGAAATATAACTGTTCCAATATATCTTCTACTGACTGTTTTAGCACTGCACCGTCCACCTGCACCTTTCCATGTGACCAAACCACTGGACGAATACATAAATTGGTCATGCTTGTCATTAAGTCAGTGATGAAATACGGTTAGTTTGTATCAACTCTCTCTCTCTCTCTCTCTCTCTCTCTCCCTCCCTTTTTATTCAGGATCCAGTGAAGTTGCAGCCTCAAAGAAGCCTCACAGCAGAGGACTTCTAAGCAGTCTCCTCTGCTGTCTCTGCCACAAAGACACAGTTTTTCCCTCTGCGAAAAACAAAAACAATGCCCCCCTCTTGGTGGAGGAGAACGGCTCTGGGTCAAAAGTAGGTCCGTCGCTCGCCCCTCTCCGCGGTGTCTGCTTTCTCCCCTCCCCTCCCCGCTCTTCTTCTCGAACAGCATGTGGTCAGCATAATTGTCAGTTGTCTGATGAGTGAAACACATGCTTTCGTGGCCCAGAGCTTTTCATGTTTCCTGAAGCATTTCTCGCCTGCTGTGACGTATGGCCGTGGTGAAAAGTACTCCACGTTCAGACATCAATCAGGGAGTCACCAGAAGGACGGAAGTGGCGTAAATGTTCCAAATTGTATGAAAGCACTGAGTGGCCGATATCTAAGCTTCTACCCTTGCACCACTAGGCAATACAGACTTTTAAAGGCCCAGGCCCTCTGATTCTCAGTTGGAAAGCAGAATGTAGTCACTGCTATACAGACATTAAAGCATATCAACCTGTCCAATAGTCATGAAATTTAAATGAAAGAGTTAAAGTATAAAAATAACTCAAATAAAGATGCACTGTCTGAAAGTCAGCTTTGCAAGCCAGCTGTTTATTAAAGGATTTAGAAGTAGTGGAGAAGCTTTCTAAACCAATGACCGATCACTATTCCTTTACATAAAAGCTTTGAATAACTGGCAGTGTCCCCATCTGGGTAAAGCAAGTGTTATCTGGGAAAACAACATGTCTCCTGTTCGTCATGGCCTTAAGATCAAGTGCTGAAGATGCTCTCAGGTGTCAGTTTCGAGTTTGTGCCTTACTTCAGCCTTTTATAGAGATTTGATATTCCAGAAGTTATTTGTCACGTCTTTCCAAGTCCCCAAAATAAATTGCTGGGTGTCTGGCAAAGGGAGGGTCGAGTCGAGCGCTAGTCTCAGCTTTGGTTGTGACAACCTGTCATTTCAACGTGCAACGCTGCTCCGGTTGCTGTTACTCTCCCAGGCGGGACGTGATCTGAGTGACTGCCCCCCACCAGTGCTGTGAATATCCACTCCAAATGGACCTTACTTGCCAGTTGGACTCTGCAGGAACCAATGCATGGAGTAAAAACTGTTAACAGTAGCTGTTGTGAGAGACCGTTTCGCAATGTATTTGGAGAATTCGGAACAAAGAGAGGGGGAGCTGTCGGCTGAAGTCTTCCTCGCTGAACAATGTGCCATCCCCAAACTGACAGAGGCTGCGGGTTTTAGCAGCCCTTTAAGCCAAAGTGCTGAGCTGGGAATAAAGGTCCTCGTGGAATACACTGAGCAGACTGTCAGAGAAGAAATGGAGCCCGCTCTCCTCTTTGTAGAGCCTGGCAAGTTGAACTTGAACTTGGCAGAAACCTGTACGTTTTGCGTTCGACATGCAGAGAGTGCCGAACAACAGTCAGCAAGTCATGGATTTTTTGACTCTGTCCAGATCCTCGATGACTGCAACTCTGCGGGGTTAAGCCGACCATTTGTCAAATGTGCTCAACACTGTGAGTGTTTTAAACCTTGCGAGTCCTCTGAGTACTGCGCTAATCATAGCTTAGCCTCTGAAAGGAGCCTTTGCTGTGAACACTGTCCAGAACAGCTCCAATTATTTCCGCAATGCAAGTCCACTGATGAGTCTTCTGACTGCGAGCCAGAGGAATTAGAAGTGGACTTTAGCGGATTAGGACAGTGTGGAATGTCTTGTTTCATACCTAAATGCGTAGATCACCTCCAGCTACAACAATACGAGCGTCTGGGTGAACAGTGTGACTCCTCTGACTCGGAGGAAGACACATCTAGCAATGGGCCCTCCAGTTTGACACAATTCATCTCCGGCTCGGTGAATTCCCTGGACGGGGCTGCCAGTCTTTGCGAGTACGACGAAGCTCAGGCTCAACCCGAGTACACGGACGAAGATTATGATGTCGATGAAGACGATGAAAGCTATGAAGCTGAACCGAATGAAACAGAGTTCAGTGACGAAGAGGACACTCCTGCCTTGATTGATTTAGAGGAAAATGTCGACTTTGAAGATGATTTTGGCGAAAGCATCCCGTACGCAGAAGAAAACTCTCAAGCATCGACATCAGACATAGCCGAGAACGTCGACGACTGCGAGGACGAGGCCGCCGAACCGTGTAACTCCGAGAACGGCGCAGAGTTCTGCGCCGAAGAAGACGGCTTCTCCGAATGCTCTTCTGTGGAAAGCAAATCCTTTAAGACCTGCCTGGATGACAGCTTTCCATCGGATCCATTCTCCGATTCGTCAGAGGAATCCGACAAAGGAGCTCAGGAAGATTCCAGCGACGAGCAGATGCAATGGGAGTCTTTTGAGGGGGACGAAGAAGAGGCACAGCAGAGCGATCTTAACCAAAGCACCGAAGAGAAAAAGAACCCCCCCCCCGTTGATGTCGTCATCGAGCATTATTTCGATCTATTCGACAGGGAAGACTGCCATGGACACATGTTTGCACAAAAGCGCAGTTACATCTCCTGCTTCGACGGCGGCGACATTCACGACCATCTCTTTCTCGAAGAAGAGACACAGAAGCGGAACACCAAAACTGTCCACAAATTAGGAGACGGAAACGAGGAAGCCAATACACAAGAAACAGACCCTTGCTCTAAAGATGCGCCCGAAGTTTCAGACGAAGAAGATTTAAGCCAGGAAGAGGAATGCTGCGACTCCAAGGGTCCACCTGATGACTGCTCTGTGAAGTCAGAATCCTGTTCAACAGGCGATGAAGAAGAGTTCCTCGCATTTTATCCAGGGAGTAGTGATGATGCAGAGGACGATGGTGCAGATTATTCATTTGATGTTAATATTTCTGACGACTATGATGAAGAACCTGAGTTCGTCCCGTACTCCAGCGAAGAGGAAAGAGTGTTCCCCCCATCTGCCAGAGAAATGTCAGTCGAAGATGACGCTTATGAAGATGAGGTCTCCATGAACAATGAATCTCTTGGAGAAGTTGCCTCCTCGGGCGAGGAGACTGATAAAAACGCTGGCTGTGAAGAGAATGACAAAGACGAGCCTGAGCTCAGTCACTTCCTGTCATGTTCTGAAAAAGAGCCGTACTGGGCCCTGATTGATTCTCAAGAAAGTGATGGATATTGCGAGCCAGGTGTCGAGGACTACTATGCATATGAGATAAAAAGCTTGCAGTCATCTGGGAAACGGGCTTTGAATCAATTCATTTTGGGGGGAGACTCAAAACTTCCCCCGTTCAGTGGTAGAACTTATGACCTTTCGTCACTGAGAGAGGCAACCGGACAAACTGCCGAATCGGAAGAGGAGTCGGATTCGAAAGAAACCTCAAAAGACCTAAGACCGCCGGTAGATGTTATCCACAGCGTTGTCTCAAAGCACGCTAATGATGGCACACAAAGCAGGGACTCAGAAGAGGAGCAGAGTGACGACGAATCCCTGGAGCTTTGCGAATGCGAGTACTGCATTCCGAAGGCGGCGCAGGTACCGTACTGGACACTCGTGCACCACCCGTACTGATGATGTACTGAGCCTGTCGGGACGACATAGAATAACTCCCGATCTAGTTCTTCCCGTCCTATTTTTACACGTTGCTTTTTTTTTCTCCAAAGGAGTACCGTGTCAAACTCCAAAGCTCCTCCATTATGTTCACGTGGCAGCTTGCTCTACACAGACAAACACACGCATCGGTGTCACAGGGCAGCATGCCTGGCGTTACCAGCTTGTTTTTAGAAGCAGAAGCACATTAACAAGCCACAATCACCAACCACTTGTTGAAGGATGAGACACGATGTGGTGATACTTACATGCTCCATCAACATGGCAACAGCTGTAGCATCCAGAGTTTCCTGTAACCACTCACCGAAACACCACAACACAACTCAGTCTATTGAGTGAACTCTGTCTTACTGAGCTCTGCAGCATATTGAGATGGTATATGTATGTATGTATGTATGTTTTCTTTTATTAAAAAAGTTATCTTTATCCTCTTTATGCTGTTTGGCATTTACATCTTTGGGTTGCTCTTGCTTTCATCAGACATTTTTGTCTTGATTCTTTGTTCTTTGTTTGTTTGTTTGTGGCCAGGTTCCGGCAGAACCACTGCTCTCTGAAATGAAAACACAAGACGCAGGGAAGATCTGTGTAGTCATTGATTTGGATGAAACTTTAGTGCACAGTTCATTTAAGGTAAGTTGACCTCTGTGACCTACTTTCTCATACACTGAATTCATTTTCCCGAAGCCGCTTTCTTTTAACAAAAGCTGGCTTAATGGTCAAAATAATCTAAACAAGTGGAATTAAGATTTTGTATTTATTTTATAAAGTAGCTAGCACTATTTTCCACCCAGGTTACTGGCCTAGGTGCATATGCATTTCTTGGACATATATAATATAAATATATAATCCACCTTTAAAGCATAACTCATTTATTTACATAATGATTTTTCCACAGATTTAAAAATGTTAAACAATACATGTTTATTTTTAATAAGGTGTGTGTATTTATACATTTTATTTCTGGAGTTGGTAATCTGTTCTGGTTGACTACTATAGCTAGACGTAAAACATGATAAAGAGCCTGTGATTTCCACTTTTCTACAGTCAAAGTCAAATTATATACAAAAGTACTAAAGTTAGATCAAGCACAACCAAATTAAGAAGAAATTACATGAACAGCCAATCGTTTTCTTTAATTGTTGATCAGTGTTGATAATCTGCAAAGAAGATCTTTGTCTAGTCCCTTCGAAAAGATACTGATTAATATATAAACACTGGTAACTATGTAGATTCAGTCCCATGCACTGAAAAGAAAATCAATCATTTCACTTTGTATTAACAGGAAACCAAGATATTTTTTATTTGAAAGTCACTCGGCTTCTCCTTGCAAACATGCCATTTTAGTTGTATCTTATCCTATGGTGGATTGATGATTTTAGTTGTTGTTAGGCCACCCTGGATTTGTTTGTGAACCCAAATATTAAACTTTAGAATTCAATTAATTCAGTAATTACTTTTTGTCCTTCAGTTTGATTCCTTTTAAGGAAGCACACAGTAACCAAAGCTCCTAATGTCAAAAGGCAAGGCTCCAGTATCACGGCAAATTATGTAATGAGGAGCTTGCATGTTTAGTCCATCCCTGGTCACAGTCTGTCCCTATAGGATGTAATTGGATATCAGCGAAAGCTGTACGTAAATAGGATCAGATTTGGTCAATTCCCTGAATATTGTAAAAATCTTATTGAAAATGTATATTAAAAAAATCAATGTTATATATTACTCATTATTATTCACACTTTAGTAGACTTTTTTCCTCCTTTTCTAAAAATGCTCTTTAAAATAAGCTTCTTAGACCACTTCATCACTTAGTTGTCACCACCAGCTCCTCTCACTGGCCGCCTCACAGCTTGAGACTGCTAGTGTTGAATAGCTAAAGAAAAAGAAAGTCAGTTTGTATTACAACGTGCGGCAAAGTTGCACACCACTGCTTATTCAACAGTTCAAGCTTGTAGTGAAAATAAATACAGATAAATAAACCAAAAAATATAGCCAACAAAGATTTTTGTTTTGTTTTATTAGTTGTTGATTGTGGGATAATAACATTAAAAAAATGTTTACAGAGTGTTAATGTTTTGTTTTCTTTCAATTACTACATCATTTGTATAAGATGTACAAAACCAAAAAACTCCATGCTCTGTAGTCCAGTGACATTCAATATTTCTTCAGCTATGGATAAACAAAGTCACACTCGGTCAGCTACACATTCAACACCAGGTGGATGATACAAGCAATTATTACCTTGACACATATACCAAGAATAGCATCTGGTAGCATGATTTACTACTTTAGTTGTTTGTGGAAAGCCAATGACCAATGAGACAAATGGATTTTGGTCTCATAGGTCAGAAAACCAAGAGCCAGATGTAAAGTTTGTTCTAAATACATGAATTAGTGCCGATCTTTTTAATCGTAAAAATCTAGTATTAAATTATATGAAGTTTCGATACGTTACACTGACACTGCCACGTGGAAATAACCAACGTTTGTTGCAAGTGAGAAACAATTCTTTATGTTTCAGTACAGTTAGAAAAACCTGTTCTAGGTATCCAATTATAAATCTATTAAAAGGAACAGCCTGCAAATGGGTCGGGTTAAAATGTGTAAATACAGTGTAAAAATCTTTGTGTACATGCAGAGGTCAATATTTAGAGAAACACTTTTGACTTAAATTGAATTTTTACAGCTTTATTAGCAATTAGAGTTTAATATGCAGTGGATTTGTAATAGAGTGGATTCTGTTGATGGCAGAAGATTACCATTAATTGACTGCTTTTACCGGTAAGCCAAAAAAAAAAAGAAAAGACATGACATGGGCGTATAGATTTGGTGAGTACTTAGCCAAACTTAGATTAATCTAGTAGGTCCAACAGTTTGATATTATCGGGATGATATGAAGAACCAGACCAGTAGATTACTGATCCTATATTGTAAATGTTCTGAAAAGAGATGGGGCCCAAACACTGGTATTGGTGTTGGTCAGTGTAGAGTCAGTGGAGTCTTACCTGTACAATTTTAAATTGATTTTGATCAATCATTATATTAACAATACAGTAGCTTCATATTCATTGCATGAATGTGCAGCCTGTTTCAGAGGTTGTAGAACATGGACTTGCCCTCTTAGGTTCCTCCATCTTTTTACCCAGAGTTAGCTTCTTGTGAGATTAATGGTAATGGCTAGCCTTTAAAACCTATTTAATAACTCACCGAACATTTAGAAAAATGAAGATCCGTCTCTGTTGTGCGCTGCACTGACCCCGCATCAGTCAACACCAGTCAAAAATCATGTTATAGTGAACTTTTTTCTCTGGTTTTCACCTTGGTTTATCTGATATGTAATGTCTACATTACATCTACAGGAAATCACTGAATACCATATCTTAACATTTTAAATCCTGATCCAAGAGAAAAGTAGTAGAAAAGTGTATATTCATTTTGTAGCCAAATATCTATCTCTCTATATCTTTCTTAGTTTTTTAAGTCATTGCTCAGAATCATTTGTTGGAGCAACTGCAGAAATCGAAACAGGCCAACATTCAACATGAAAAACACCATGTCAAAATTAAAAAATCATGTTTAGACTTTCTGTTTACGACCTATGTTAAGCTCATTCTTTCCGGCATTACCTCACTGCAATATAATTTAGGCCATATGCCTTTTTATAGAACTTGCTTCCAATGATACGACCATATGAGAAGCATATTTCAAATGTTGAGAAAGCCCACAGTAAATCAAACATTTTTTTTAACCATGTCACTATCTGTACTCCTCGTGCACTTTTAGTTAAGTGAATACTATGAAATTATTTGCATTGCCTTTAATTTCTTTTAAAGAAAAATAATTTCCATGTCTTAACATTTCAGAATGGTTTGACTTTCATGGGCATATGTTCTGATATATTGTTTGTTTTTTGCTTTTGTCTTCTACAGCCATTGAACAATGCTGATTTTATCATTCCAGTGGAGATCGAAGGAACATTACACCAGGTAGCCCCCCTTACATGGTTATGTTATCATTTGCACAGTTAAAGATATATCTCACATCATGGAAGTTGCTCATACTTGCATGAGAACGTAAAAGAGAGCATAAACAACACAAAGTCCTATTTTATGTCCATTTCCCGCTGTTGTAATCAACACCAACCAGGACCAGAATCTGTAATATTTGCCAACTGGCTTTAACAAGTGTGCTCTTTATGAGCCATATAAACCTTCCGACATAAAAGATACAAGAGTATAAACTCTAGTTCCAACGGACTGACAGAGCCGAAGCCTTCTCTGTTGATGACTCCAAGCAGCAGGTGCCTATTTCAGTGGCCTGACGAAACGAGTGGAGCCAAGCAGGCTTCTCAGAAATCGCTGGCCATCAATCTCAGACCGTGTCGCACATTATACCCTGCTCATTTCGAAAGGCAAAAAGAGTTTTCCATTTAGGCTTTAACTCTAAACTGCAGTCCGCTGCCCCATGACCCCTCCCGAAGACAGAGGGGTTTTGCTTTACAAAAGGGCCTGGGTCTGTTTCAAGTAATCCAGGATAGGCTTGTTAAAGAGGGGACGGCCTATTCGGGATGACTTGGCTCAGAAACAAGGCTGATAGCATCCTAGTGGAAGTAGATTTAAGGACTAAGATAGAGGGAAAAAAACATTAACAACCTCCTTTTTCATAAAATTTAATTCATTTGATGACAGAGCTGTTACATTGAGAGTGTGTTAAACATTTATGTGAGTTAGCCCATGTTTCTGAACAGTTACATTGTGATGACATCACTCATTTTGTCTTTTTAGGAACTGTGTTACTAGTGGATTTTATACTCCTTTTTCTGTCTACACTCAGGTTTATGTACTAAAGAGACCACACGTTGATGAGTTCCTCCAGAGGATGGGAGAATTGTTTGAATGTGTTTTGTTCACTGCAAGTTTATCCAAGGTCTGTCTTCACTTCCTTCACTTGAAGCACAAAGCGGCCTCTATTGTTTCAAAATATTACGCCCCGGATAACGTGGTGGCAGTTTAATGTCTGTTTTATGGACAACCTTTTACCTGAAAATATATTTTATAGTAGCTGCCAGGTGGCTGCACATTTTAACCTCTAACATTTACGTCAAATTGTGTTAAGTTTAACTCAGCATAACATGGCAACTGATCAGTCTTTAATGGTTGACACCCCCTCCTCTTCAGTATGCCGATCCTGTGTCAGACCTGCTGGATAAATGGGGAGCCTTTCGGAGCCGTCTGTTCCGAGAGGCGTGCGTCTTTCACAAAGGGAACTATGTTAAAGACCTGAGTCGTTTGGGAAGAGATCTCAACAAGGTTCTCATCATAGACAACTCCCCAGCCTCCTACATCTTTCACCCCGAGAACGCAGTATGCCATTTACGTTCATTTCTCCGCACTACGCCGACATCTGTACTGGGAACAAATCGAAAGCCAACCTTGAGATGGTTTGAAATTTGATGAAAAACCGGGAACATACAACAAGTTAGAACATGTGCAAAGACAGACAGAGATGCAGGATACCTACAGACAAGTCATATCTTATTCTCCAACTGACTAAATCACCTAATGTCACAATCCATCATACACTTCAGGAAAACATTCACACTATTAGACACCTCACCGGTGACAGTGGCCTCTATAGTTTATAGATATAGTTTATAGTTTTTTATTGCATCATTAATGGCTAACCCTAACCCTAACCCATGCCAATTTTTTTCTTTATATAACTTACAAATAGTGGAACAATTATTGATACCATTATATTATTTATTCCAATTATAAATTGGCATTTTTATTACATTTTTTTAATTATTAGTTTTGGCTTTTGCATTTGGTTTTGTGCCAGTTTTTTATGCATTTGTTTTTATTCGGTAAATATAACTCTTGTAGATACTGTAGTAGTAACTTTATTGTCCAGTTTATTTAGTGTTTTAAGGACACACCTGGCTGAGGACTTTTAGGCTAATGGTTTTTTGGGTTGATTATATCTACAAAACAGCTTTTATTTTTGGCATTTTTTAAATAGATTTTACAACAATGACATAGGAGAACATTCCTAAATCCTCTTAATAGGCTGCTAGTAACAAAATACCTAAAGGCACAGTAAACCGTTTCTTTGCTTTGCTGTCTGCTAAGTGTGCACACAAATGTTCATCACCTGGGTGCCTTTTTCATGCTCAAATGATTCATAGGTCAGTGTAAAGGGACTCGATACACAAAAAATCACATACCCCTCAAAACAGGACTACAAATTTGTGAAACACTAGCCTGTCTGCAAAAAAACTTCCTCAGAAATCTTCAGAAAGCCTTGATAACTATGGCTTAAGATAATAGATAACAAGATAGTCTGGTTCCTTGGTGCAAAATACATAAAAAGAGGGTTGGCTTAAGACTTTTCCTCAGTAGTGCATGTGTTATGTAGGCATTCACATTTATCAGACGCTTTGTGCCCCTTTTATTTTAATAACTGTGGCTGTCTTAAACCCGCAGGTTCCTGTGGTATCCTGGTTTGATGACATGTCAGACACCGAGCTCCTCGATCTCATCCCCTTCTTTGAGAGACTTAGCAAAGAGGACGATATCTACGACGGTCTTCAGAAGCACAAGACCTCCAGCTAACGGAGAGCTAGACGAAGAAAAAATCACCTGCGAATGTCTTCGAGGGGCCATGGAGGCTTGTGAGCCGCGGGCTCCTTAAGGCTTCCCAATAGAAGGACCACACAGTGGGGGAGGGGGGGTAGGGGTGAAAGAGGCCTTTTGTTTCATCTAATTTTATCACGTCGTGTACGATACATCCAATCGTCATTTTCTGAATGCTGGATGGCGCATCAGCATGAGACGACATGGCCTCTGTGGATGTTTCGCAGTGCAGCGCGTTAGTTGTTGTCGTTACGGGACAGCGCTGACCTTTTTGCAAGCGTGCTGCAAAGCTACATAGTGTGAACAGTTGCTTAGTCCTCTACAAATAGTCCTCTACAAACGAGCTTCCATGAATCCTTTTAATGTCGGCCTAATGCGGCGTTCAGACAGTAGCGCTATTTGACGCCCTCACACAGAAACAACATGGAAGAGTTTTTTTTTCTTGAATCCCATTGGATAGCATCAGTCAGGCAATTCTGGAGATGTTATGAAGAAGCAAAATTTTGATGTGATCCAAACGACGTGCTCGGTGCCTTTGGACGGATTTAAGCAAAGTTTATCACATTGCCTGGTAGGGTTGTCAAAAGTATTGATACTCAAAAAAGTATTGATTCTAAAATGTTGTATCCAGATACGATACTCATTTTCAAAAGTATCGATACTACCCAACACCCTCCCCCCCCGCGCGCGAGAGACGCTGACCTGCTGACGCTGCGTCCCTTCTCTCTGATTTATTTATTTATTTACGTTGTTTATGATCATTAACATGACGTTAGCCTTGAATTGCTAGCTGCGGCTAATGGCTCATGATAACGCTTCAACATTAATCAAGTACGTCTGGCTGCAGACTGCAGGAAGCCAAGGATGGATATCCAACTCCGCCCACATCCAAGTCGGCCATTTTGATTACGTCACCAATAGGTGAAGAGATCCCAGGCAAGAAAATCCTAATTGCTTCATGGCAATATAGACATTAATAGTGAAATTAATCTTGCAAACACTGATTGCAACTCTATACATAATATTAGCTTAAAATATTGTACGTTAATATGTTTGTACAATAAGTCCAAACAACTTTAACCAAAAAATATTTATTTCTGTAAATGTATGACTATGCAATTCTTGTTAAAAACCAAATAAACAAAGTTTGAAAAAAAAAAAAAAAAAATATTTATTTCTCACAATTATGAAGGGTGGAGGGTTAGAGTTAGCCCGTATTAATGCGGGCCACCGGCCATAATAACATCAGTAATAGGTAACTTTGAAACGAAACACACTAACCTGTCAAAATTCAATTAAATTTTGGGGTCTTTTTTATCCTTGTGGTATCGAAAATGGTATCAAGTATTGAATATCTTCCTGAGTGTCGGTATCGAGTTGAAAATTATAGTATCGTGACAATCCTATCGCCTGGCAGCGTGCTGTCATTGGGTATAGCCCTTATTCACTACATCATAAGTGAGTAATGATATTAGCACCAATTCCTTAAATTCCGACCATCTACACAGGATGGTTATGCTATGTACACCTCTGTTAGCGTCAACAAACTAAACCCCCTGATCAGGCCTGTCACACACAGACCAGTGCGCCATCATAGAGGCTGAAGCTATATTTGTAAATACAGAATATCTCTGATTTCATGAAATCATTTGGATTTGATTTTAATGTTATTTTAATAAATGCTGTTTTATGCTTTCACTTGCTAGTTTTATTTGCCAACGCACCGCGCGGACTATCAATTATTCATCCGTTTTCTACGCACAGGAGGAGGCTCTTATCTGCCTTGGTGTCAGAGATAAACAGGTGATGAAGCAAAGCTTTAAACCTCCTGATGGTAAACTTGAATCTGAGCTGTTACATGTAAGATGTTTTTAAAGTCAGGTTTTTAGACGTTTATTCAATCTAGATGGCAGACATGTTCCAGAAATGCATATGTTCTAAATTTTGTGCCTCAATTTGAATTGAAATGGTATGTATTTGTTTATTTGAGTCGAATTGGATCACTGTGAGTATTTGTATTGCTTTTAGTTTTGACAGAATATGCATTTACAATAGGTGAAAACAATTTCTTCTCTTTAATAATGATTTCATGACTTTTTTTTTTACTGTATGCAACAAGAGTATTGTGACTCAAGTAAAAAAAGAACAAAAGCAGGCTCAAACAAGAGAAATTGCTACTGTTGAATGTTGAGACTGAAAAAAGACACCAGGCAGTATTTTCCCTGCATAAATAAAGCATGTTTTATTGAAATGGGTCATATTTCACCACATTACTTCACGCCACACCATGGAGATCTAGAAGGACGAATGGAAAAATGGAACATGGAAGACATTCATAAGAAAAAAGCTATCCTCCACCACCTTGCCAACCTTTTACACACTGGAAATGGCATCTTAGTGAGATTGATAATCAGATCAGACAATTTTTTAAACCTATTTCTGTTCTAGTCTACCTCAATTTTGGCCCAATACACTTTCATTGCAAGCCCCTTTCTGTCACCAAAACATGAAAAAACGTGTTTCCCATCAGAGTGATGGAAGTAGAGATTAGTTGTGAAGTTTAATTCACTTTTACTTGAATGACCAGTGTACGTCATGAAGTTTATTCATGATGATATTATGATATATAGCAGTCACAGCAGCCACATAAAACCATGCTCTGATATATGGGACCCCCACACTTGGGTTTGAAATTCAGATTATGGTTTGTGCTTTGCATTAGTATTTTGCCTTATTATTATGTTTATTTTTAATCAAAAGCTCTCTTAACAGTTATAGGACTATTACAGTCAAATTATCAAGCTTCTAACATGGATTGTGTGAATCCATTAGTTTGTCTTTACAATACATCAGCCAGAAATGTATCAGCAGCTTAAGCGTTTGACAGTAAGTCCTTTATAGTCAGAATAGTAGAATTCATGTAGCGCATTATTTACACTGAAACTCCAGATTGCATGGTTAAAAAAAACAAACATCCTGTAATATATTTTAACTGCTTTGACGAACCTCTTATAAAAGAAAGGCAAGTTATTAAGCACTTACATGCAGTATTGTGTAAAAGCCTTGAGCAAACCTTACTTTAATTATATATTGCATGAAAAAAGGAAATAGTTGCAATGACTTAATCAAACGTGCAAACATTTATGGAAATACGACATATATAGGCAAAGATAGCGTTTGTACAGATACAACAAGACTGAAAGGCAATATTTGGTATGGCCACATTTTCAGTCTTCAACATCCTCAACCCTGCCAGGCAAACGTTTTGTAATTTCTTAGTCAGCAGGAATAGTTCTCGAGGCTTCTTGAAGGAGATCCCAAAGCTGACTTTTATTGCATTCTCTGTCAGATGACACTGATTCAAAAATGTTGAGGTCCAGGCTCTGGGAGAATTCATACCTCCTTTAGATCTGTAGCCACTGGTAATAAGTCCACTTCTTGTGTAATTTTGCATCGCTCAGCATTTTTCTCTCTGTTTCCCTTCCATGGGAATGACTTCTTGAAAGCGACCCTTTCATGAAGACTATTCCACATGAGTTCCTGACCAACAATAGAAGGATCAGTTGATGGTCCGCATGTATATCTCAGGTCCTGTGTCAGGTTTCTTGTTTTTTATATATTGTTCTTCTTCCTTCTACTTCTTTGTCTGTCACTTTCCCAGTTTCCTCAGTTTTTCTAAAACACACTCAACGAACAGCATTTTTGGGAGTCACTGCGTTTCGGCAAAAGCTCTTTTTTATGCTAATCGCTTTACTATTTTTTTCTTTTTGTAGAGCCAATAAAGGAAAGGGTAATTTATCATTTGTCTTTGGGACAGACTTCTGTGTGCAAAAGGGTCCAGAGCAGCTATGTGCCGACGATCTTTTCCGCTTGATGCCATGTTTGTGGATAAAAGATCCACATGTCAGTTTTAAGTGGCTTTGCAAACTATATAATTGAAAAAGCAGGCTGGTATAAGAGGAGAACACTGAGCAGCTATTGCTCAAGAACACTTTAAAAGATAACAAGTAAGTTTGGCTCTTTGGAAAGCTATATATATATATAAATAAAGAAACGAGGTGCACCTCAATACTTTTGCACAGTTATAGACACTGCAAGAAAATCTGTTACAACCCATTTTATGGCAACTTTTCATAGATAGTGTATAAAAACATGAGCAATGCCACAACTTGAAAGCATCAAAGCGTCAATCATTTCATGTACGGTGGATGTGGGGTAGATAAAGGAGTTCTGTCATGGATCACCTGTAGATAGAGCAAATAATAAATGGCACAACATTAGCTAACAGGAGAGAACAATGACCTAAGACCAAGTATTATCCCTTTTTTTACCTAATGAGAACTATTCCCATTAATATATTTAGAGAAAATCCTTCACCTTTCCATTTCCAGCAATCAACCCTATGGTGAGAGACTCATTCTGCTTGTGGTGCACATCACCTTCTGCTTAAAGGATTTTTTTTACAACACATTCACTATCTAGGTCAGATGATTGAGCTGAACTCTGTCGTTTAAAGCCAGCATAATAAAACTAAAAATAGTTCACTCTCCTGCAACCCGGGGTTCTTGGGCTGCGTGCACTGCGTTGCCTGACCTACATACCCATTGATAGAGTAAGATCATAAACACCCTGTGTGACTTATAGAATGCCGACCCCCTGGAGGTGAAGCATTTATTGTATTTATTGCCGTGTGTTACATGTGCAGCGCCGAGTCATGCAACACACCAAGGCAATTCAGAGGAACTCTGAGGGGGTCTCTTTTTCTTTTTTTTTACTTGTTTGTTTGCATTTTCAATCCGACTATAACCTAATTGCTTTATAATTTTGATAAGACACATTTTCTCCGCCCACGATGAAATGCTGTGTTTTTATCTTTTTTTATTATTATTATTTCTTTTTTTTTATATCAAAGTCTGAGGACTCAAACTTTATACTATGATGTCGGTTCCATCTAGTGGTTAAATTCTGAAGTACATCACTTAATGGTAAATTAAGTTGTCAGTTTCTGTAGTTTACATTTATAGATACCATAGCAATAGTTTACAATTATCTTATTCTATCCAATGTATAGATGATTCTATCTATAATATAAAAGGTAGAAAATCCTCCTTAGTTTGACTCTCAGGACCTGATATAGAAAAAAATGTAACCTTAAATGCACAATATTATATTATGTAAATTCATATTTAGCTAAACTAAACTAGATAAAGACAAATAACACAAACATAAAAAAGTACAGTCAATACCTTAAAAAGCCATATCTTAAATGAATAATTTTCTCCAAGATTTTTTAAAAGATTTCTTTATTTTTGACTCAGAGCTTGAAAGGAATTTGTTTATTCACTACTCTCTAAAGGTGTGAAACCTTAAGCATTTTAACCACTATGAGGTCTGGCATTTAACTGGACTACGATTTTTTTCTTTTCCAGGCATTCTGTTGTAGATTTGCTGCTCGGTTTTGGATTAACACATTTTTAGCCAAGCATTAGCTTTCAGACGGACTGCCTCATATTTAACTCTGAAAAACTATCTAAAGAACGTTGTTCCAGAAGTCTGGTGGTTTGCTCGGATGAAATTATTACAAACCTCAGCTGTGTTAACATGTTCTTTGTTGAGAGAAGAGGCTTCTCTCCTGGCAACCCTTTCAAACCAGCCTTAACTGTTCTGTCTTTTGGCAGGGTTTACTGAGGCCAGCAGAGTCTGAGAGGCGGATCTTAAGGTTTTTGTCATTTTTCGGAGCGTCACATGATCTAACCATGTGGTAAACTGCCTTCATTATTTTCTACCAGTGAATAATCCTTATTGTAAAATGCTGGACTCCAGATTGTTTGGGAATTGATTTAAAATCTCTCTGAGACTGATGGGCAGCAACTATTTCTCCTTGGCTTCTTGGTATTGGGAGCAGATTTTTTCAAGAAAGTGAAACTACAAAAAGTCCTATTGCAATATTTTTTTATTTGAGCACACACTTGGTTTGTCATCCTGCTTCTGTTATATTGTTTTGTTTTTGTTAACCTTATAATACCATATGCATCATATTTGAGACAAGCAGTTTCTGAAATGAGACCTTTTGCCTCATTAAATGTTATGACTTTTGCTCAAAATCCTGTTGTACACAGTCATATATATATATATATATAAGACTGGGAAGAAGAATACAATATATAGTTATTTTGATTCATATCAGGAGAATAAATCATGAATATTAAAAAATGATTTCTGTTTTTTTCCCCCACATTTTCTTAAAGAGCTAAATGCAGACTTAAACAAACAATTTTGTCCCTATTTTTTCCTGAATCAGGCTTTAAAGGGTTAAATATTGTGAATTCATAATCATCATCATGTTTTGCGTGTGGTTAAATGAAAATACCTGACACACACATTCTGGAATACATTACCTGCAGAAGGGAGAGTCAAACTGGGTCCTTTTTAAACATAAACTTAGAGACTTTTTTTTGAGAGGTCAGACATTGGAACATTAATAATCTAACTGACCCTGATCTAGTATCTGTGATGTTTTAGTGTGTAATTTGTTCTGTTGTGCCTTGTGTACAGTCACTGTGTTTAAAAGCCTAACTAGGGACAGGCATTGAGAAATGGCCTTAGCTAAAATATTGTAGTGTGACATAATTCATAAAACATCCTTGTCCCTGTCAAATAAACGAATAAATAAATAAATGAGCAGCTTTTTTTTTTTTAACGTACTCACGACTCGAAGCTGGGCTGTGCTCTTTGCTTTCCCAGACGTGAACTCCACCACCCCGCTCATGTCCGGGGAGGTCTGCCGGAGGGTCAGCCTGTGGACCGTGCCCATCCTCTCCAGCCGCACCCGAGAGCTGGGCTGCAGGGGGTCCCCGTTGAGGCTCCACACGGGGGATTTCAGGACGGGGACGGAGACCTCGCATTCAAAGCAGGCCTCGTCGGGGGCCAGGACCTCCACGTCTCTCAGATCTCGAACCATCAGCAAAGACTGGGCTGCGAAAATACACACGAGCAAAACACAACAATGTATTGTTTCCTCGAATTCAAACAGATAAGTTTGTCCTTTTAGTATATTCAGGAGTCGAACTGTAAAACACCCAACCTGACACCTACTGGCAGAGACACAGAACTCTGCCTGTTGGAATTTTCATTACGCCTTGTTGGTATTTTAAAGGTCGTGTTTTACCACTCTGAGGTGTTGGTTTTGGAACGCGGGTGCTCTGTTTAATGAGAACCCTTTTTGTGATCGTACAGTACATTTACACAGAGTTTAGTCTGACTTTGTCTTGCAATTAAATCTAGACCTAATCAGTTTAGCAGGGGGGAGGCCTGGAAGTTGAGATTTTTACTCTTAACTGAATAAAAATAAATCTTTTGTCAAAAGAAATGTTCTGTTTATGTGCTTTTAAAAGATAAATTGACAATGTATAAATAACACCTTTCTGGTGTCAACTTCTTTAATGGAAAAATAGCTTTTTTCAGTAAATTAAGAGTCTAATTTCATTTGCATATGAAATATTAATCTCCCTCAGCTGGAATAAACAGTACAACAACATAGTCTAGATACAGAAGCAATCAACAATTCATTAATATTTAAGAATTTGCTCCTTTTAGGTGCCGTTTTCTGAGTCTGATTTCAGTTTCCTGCTGTGTTTGAATGATTTCTTACCCTCCACTGTCAGTTTCGAGGAACATGTGAAGTCCCCGACCTGCACACTGTACGTGCCTTCATCTTCCAGCGCTACCTGCTGGATGATCAGTTTGCGATAGCAGCCTTCACTGCTTATCTCGAAGCGCTCGGAGGGCAGGATGACATTGCTTCCCTTGAACCAGCGGATACTACATCGTGGGTTAGATACTGTGCAATCCAGGATCACACGGCTCTTCTCAAGGACGGTTTTATCCTGCAGAGGCTTTACAATGTTGACAGGAAGCTCTAAAAAAGAATGAGAAGAAAGTTTAAATCTATGACAGGGTGTGTAGCTCAATGATAAAGCAAAACATAATGTACTTTAGCTTTATATATTAGAATACCTCTTTTATTCACTCAGTGTAGTCATTATTTATATTCAACAATAAGCTTGTATTTTGCCATAGATGTTTCAGATTTTAAAAAAAAGAAAAACTGGTAAAATTTGTGAGCTGACATGAAGCATATACTAAAACATCATAAAGGAATCAGGGAGCAAATGAATAAATGGCAAGAAAAAGTCAAATATGTGATTTGTTAATTCCTTTTAACATTTATTTTAATCCAACACGTGTAGAAAGGAAATTCTATCTGTATGTACTTATAAGCCAATAAGGCATGGACTTTAAGCAACACAATGCTAGTAGAGAGTATATACAACTTTACAACTTGCAGTTTTTGGTGACAGGTGAGGGTGTCGCCTTAGGTATAAAGGGAAAATGGGTTTTGTTTTGTGTTAAAATTGGTTAGAAAAAAATTTAATCTTCATTTGTTTCCTAAGAAATGCGAGATTGCAAAGAAAGTCTGTCTTTCAACATCTTCAAAATGCAATATTATAAAAAATAAATGTAGTAAATCTATGGAATTTCATAGTCAAAGACAGTATAGGAAGAAAATATCTGGAGATTCAGGTTGATGTAATAGCTTGGATATACTCTTGTAAATTGTTGCATCAGAACCTTTGGTATGGTTTGCCTCCATATCTGTGAGGATGAGGGAGTGACATGTATACCTATGGAAACTTTTGGTACCATAACTGAGACATCTCTTTAACAGGACAACCTTTTTCTACATTCTACATTAAACATTATGCACTTCAAAACAACAGTGCATAAACGTCAATGGGTCACTACCACATTTTTCTTTGTGAGGTGAAGTTATAGATTTATTCCTTCATTATACAATCAGTGTGGTCAGTAAATACTTTGCACAGGATTTCTTTTGTGCTTTTGTTTGTACAAAGAGATTTTTAGATGCTCCAAAGCGCAACAGACCAGTGGAAGAATGCCATATTCTCTGGTGCATCCCTTATATTTTTTATCCTGGTTGTGTGAATCCGTGTTAAGCACAAAAACATAATTAAACAAAATAACAGCAGAGATGTCACATATTTTGATTTGGCCTCTAATCCTGTCAGTAAAAATCTGAGCTGTGCTTTAAAAATAAGCAGCAAGTAAAGAGATACTTCTCACCGATTTTAACACAAAACAAAAAATCAACTATATTTCTTTCCAAACATTTTACAAAACTATTACAAGTTTGATACTCCAACATTCGTGGAGAAATTATCGATGCCAAAGGAGGGCCATTTGAATATCAAATGATAAATAAAAATGTATCCCACTGTTTTCCAACCACCTGCTTTGAATAGTTTTTATACCTTCCACCTCCAGGTAAGCAACAGATTCAACGTGTCTGGCAACAAACTTGATCTCCCCAGAGTCCTCTGGTCGCACATTGCACATGAGAAGAAAATGTTTTGTCCCTGAAATCAAATTTTGAAAAAGAAATAATGCATTATGAAAAAGATAAAATTCTCAAGGTAATGCTAAACATCTTATTTGCTTTAATTATATTAATTTGATCGGTGTATTCTTCTATTGGCAGAGTAACATGTTGAATATATTATATGAGATATTTTATAAGAGCAAAAAGATTCAAACCCAAGCTGACCTTCCTGGCGGATTTTGATGGTGCTCGTGGGCTGTATCCGCTCCCCGTTTTTGTACCATTCCCCTGTCACGTCCTCCACAGAGATCTCGCAAACAAAAACAGCATTCTGGTCTTCCTGGATTTCCAGGTCTTCCAGGCCTTGAAGCACCAGCAGCTCGCGCTCTACAAATAGATCAACAATCATCAAAATTTGAGTTCACAAGAAGTACCTGTTGTGTTTTTCCCTTTCTTTTAAGTTAGAAAATGCAAACTGAGAGGTTCAGCTGTAGTACTTTGCAGCTATTAACAGATGGCAGTGTTGTGCTACACTAAGGCTCAAACCTATCTCCCCACACAGGCTCTTGTAAGATTTTTTATTTGAGAAAGCAAAATCATATTTTCAATATCTTACTAAATTAAATTATCTTTACTAGAGTGATGTCATTACTGATAAAACCTTCAAGATCTTTCACCATTAGTTGGTTAATAATCTTAACAAACAAGTTAATCCCAGCAGTATAATTGAATATAAAGTTGTATCTGATTTCTTTTATGAATAATGAAAATATTCTACAAAGAGAGTAACTGCAATTTTTAACAAATATCTTAATTTTACTTTTAAAAAATCTGACTTTTTACAATTCAACCTATGAGGGTGCCTCAAAGTAAAATTGGAGGTTCAGTGCAAGCCAGCTCAGGTGTTGTCATATAATAAAGCTAACTGATAATGGTTTTCATAAGCCAGAGACAGATTTTGGGAATTTATTGTTGCAGTTTTTGGAGATAAGAAACAAAAAAAGTCCTGGACTGATTCGGCTAAACACAGCTATGGCTAATACTTAATAAGCCATTGCCAATTTATCATGTTACATATTACAAATTCAGAGTTGTATTGCTATAAATGATTGAATCAAAGTTTGTCAAGTTAGGTAACGATTTTAGTTATTTTTTCCTTTCAATATAAGCAGTGCTAGTGAAAACATCTATGGTTCTACAATATTTTCTTAAGATATACACTACGAAAGTAAGTGGTTATCAGTCATTTTAACTTATTTTTCAAGAGACAGCAGACAGCCATTGTGGATATACGACCCAATGAGAGAGAAAGAGGTATCGGAGGAGTCTATTTTCAGTCTATGCTTCTCTGGCTGAGTGAAGCTGGTGGAATCTGGTTGCTACTCCAATGGTTTGTTATGCTTGGCTTTTAAAGAGAAAACTTTCAACTTCTATCTTTGCCTTTCAAGCTGGCTATATCTCATATCACATCCTGTATGATGAACTGCAAAGGCTTCGGCCTGTGATTTATAGTAATGGAATAGCCAACTTTACCATAAACCTCCACCGTGCAGGACGTGGAAACCTCTCCGGCATCGCAGGTGTACAGGCCAGAATCAGAGACGTGGCATTTCATGATCTGAAGGAACCTTTTCCTCCCCATTGCATAAATGCGCAAGTCTTTGCTGGGCTTCACCTCGGCCCCGTCCTGAAAAGGTCGACACGTACACAAACAGGCACAAAAAAGCTGAGAAATCCACTGTACTGTTGGACAATGTTAAACACAGTTATCAAAATATAGTTGAAATAATATAAGAGTGCAAATTATACTTTAATCTTGAGCATAAAATTCACTCCAAATGACATTTTTCATAACAATTTCACAAAATTTGTTTGGGTATCAAAATCTTTGCTGTACAAAATCTAATACAAAAAATATAATGTGATAATGATATACAAAAATGGACTAATATACATATGTAACATTTCATAATTGTCTCTGCATGCTTATATATATATATATATATATATATATATAAAATAATTTGTCATGTTTTTGTTTTAAATTGACATGAAAGTGACTTCTTTTTTAAAACAATCAGAAATATGAGTAAAAGTTAAATGAAAATCCACAATTTACTTTCATCCATTTCACATCGACGTTATGTCTGGACAGTTCACACTCAATAGAGATCACTGAGCCATCGGGGAATTTTTGATCCTCCAGTTTCCTGAAAACGGTCACTGGAGGCTCTGGCGAAGGAAAAAGGGGATTTAGTCAAAGAACGATAAATCTTGCTTTTTTTGTCTGGGTCATTTTTGTGGGTAATGTGCTCGGACTAATGTGATGACATTTTTCTTTTTATCCAGTTGTCATTCTGTGCTTTTCACCCCCAGCTCAAAGGGATGAGTGACAAGGCATGAAGCGGATTATTTTATAAGATGAGGTTAAAGCAGCACCTGCCCGAAAAGACCGCGCAGAGCCTTTGCTTTTCATTGGATCTTTCAAGGCTATTTTGTGTTTGTAACGTGAGCCTGGATAAAGGCAACGGTAGCAGAGCTGTCACTTTATTCTATTAACATGCCTTCGGTGGTTGACATTTGGCCCACATTGAGTGGATCACTTCAGCTAGCAGTCTAAGGTCACAACAAAATCTGTACAGTAAAATTGTGTCTCGGTTTAACTGCCTAAGCATTCATTTTCGTACCTCTGAACTCAAATATGCAGATCTTGTTACAGTGACATTATTTCCTTACTTACTTATCTCATCGCTTGGTTTTGCAATCAGAAACATATCTGAAAATGTCTGGATGTGTCCAGTGTTTTTTAATCACATACCCTTCACGACTAGCCTTGCAGACGTCTTCTGATTCTCTACAGAAAACACAAAGGTGCCAGTGTCTTCCACTGAAAGGTTAGAAACAGTGAGGCTGTGGACCTGTCCTTTGGCACTCATACGGAAGTGATTTGTCGGCTTAAGCTGAATTCCATTTCGGATCCAGGTGCCCGGGACGTTGGGATGGGAGAGCTCCACCTCGAAAGAAGCGGTTTCTCTCTCAATGGTTTTAAGGTCGACCAGGCCCCTTTTGATTGTGATTTTTCGAGCTGCGGCAAAAGAAGAAAAAAGAAAGGCGAAAAACTCATGTTTGCTAAAATGAATCCAAGAATGAGACTTTCCATTCCATAGTATCCATTTCTTGTACATAACAGGCTTGGATTTGCAGTTAAACAATGCATTCCGGCACAGATATGCAAGCTGATTTTAGCCATTTGAGTGCTGGGCTTTACACAAAAGCCAGCGTTGAAACTGCCAAAATTTTTCATTTATTCTACCGCAGACCCGCATTCCCAGTGGAAAAAAAAAAAAAAAAATAGTGTTTATTTTGGAGACCTGATGACAACAACCTTAGGTTTGAAGGCCAGGGAGTAAATTTAGATGCAGTGAGAGGAGATCCAAATTCATAGGAGGTGCCAACAACAGCCCGAAGTCCTGACTTTCCCCTGCCCACCCACACAAGTGTTGAAAGAACAGCTTTTAATTCACCCACGCACATGCGGATAGCAGAACTAAGAAATAGAAACAAGACGATTAGGACGTCTTAATTACTGCAGTATGTTGGTTTTTATGCTGTGTAAAGCTCTTAATGTATTAAAGTAGTTGTTCATTTTAACATTTGGCATTAAAAAATGTGGAGCAGCATCCTCATGTGTTATTTAAACACTAATACCCTCAAATCTTAAAGAAATTATGTAACTTGATGAGCCCATTTTTTACAATGCTCTTAAAGCACCTGAAATCATTTGTTTGGCCCCGTCTCAGAACAGACACGCACATTTTTGTGCGCACTTTGGGCAGCAGAGAGACGTCACCTGTCGGTTACCATCACGCGCCACCTCCTCTGCGCGCACTCCAATTTCTCCTACTCAGAGATTGCCATTTGCCCTCGCAAAGAAAAAAACAAAAAGAGGCCGCGCGAGAGCGGGGAGCTGTGGGTAAACAGCAATCAACAAACACGTGGACACTCACGCTCCACCGTGAGCGGGGCCTGCGTGCGGTCGTGCAGGGTCTCGCAGCTGTAGGTGCCCCGGTCAGACACGGCCAGAGTGTGGATGGTCAGACTGTGTTTCAGACCCTTGTGTTTCAGGGTATATTTGGCGCCGGGGTGGATCAGCACTCCCTGTCTCATCCACTGCACCTCTCCCGAATCCACGCTCACTTCCACCTCTAGAGTCGCCTCGCTGTACTCTTCTGCTACAACCGGCTTCATTTTCTTGGTGAATAACACCTGTTGCTCTTTTAAAAAAAAAGAAAAAAGAGGTGTGGGATCACTGGAAGGTGGGTCAATGATTTGATACTTCTACTATCAAACCAGACTAAAACAGAACAGTGAATGATATAGATAAGAAGTGAGTCACCATGGGAAGTTCAAGCATGGAGATTAAGTCAAATTTAACCCTGTAATGACAAATGTATCATATTTGATACACACAGTTTCTGAAATGTTTTGCATCTGACACCTTTTGCATAATTAAATGGTAAAAACAGATATACCTGATAACAGGGGGCAGAAGAATACACAAAAAATAATCTTGGCTTATCGCATAGTAATAAATTATTAATATTAAAAATTTATTTCAGTTTTTTCTTTTTACATATTTTGTTAAAAGGACAAATAAGGAATTCAAACAAAAAAAAAATAATGTTCTGTTTTGTTTTATTCTTGGATCGGGCTTTAAAGGGTTAAGGGTAGAGTGACCCTGAACCATTGCAAATGTATCAAATCAGTGAGCAAACTGTCCCTTTTAAACAACCAAATTTTCTTTTCTAGCATGTGAACATGCTAAGTACCAATGTGCAAACCTCTTCAGTTTCTGGCATTAGTTTGAAAGTGATGTGGTATCAATGTCAACATTGTCAGACACAGTTAAGAGTGGAATTATGTGGCGATGACTGCAAATAAATTCAAATTGGTCGCGATTGACCCAGATTCATTTTTATTAACACGTGAGGCTTATGAAAAAGGGCAACGGGAACTCACCTTGAACCTGGAGCTCTGCCTCTGATAGCGTCCCCTCTGCATCTGCTGTCACTCTGCAGCTATCTGAAACCAGGCAGTTGTTGATGCAGAGTGTGTGGCATAGCCCGTTGCTTAAAATGACTGCACGCTCATTCAGAGCCACCGGCCTGCCATCTAAGCGCCAAACCAACTTGGTGTCCGCTGGTGACACCATACACTTAAATACCGCGTCCTCCCCTTCGCAGATGGTGATATTACGAAGCTCGGCAACAAACTCAACAACACGAGGAACTGCAAAAAGAAATTATACAAGTTATCTAACTTTAAATGTTAGCATTGTATGTGCATATAATCATGTTATGTTCTCATTGCTTCATTTTTTAGCAGTCTTAACCCTTTAAAGCCTGATTCTAGAATAAAATAAACAGAAAATTACTTTTTTGTTTGTTTGAATTCCTTTCTTTGGCCTTTTAACTAAATATCTAAAAAGAAAAAACAGAAATATATTTTTAATATTAATCATTTATTACTATGCGATAAGTAAAGATTATTTTTTGTGTAGTCTTCTGCGCCCTTTTATCAGGTGTATCTGATTTTGTACAATAGGATTTTGAGCATTAAATTATGCAAAAGGTGTCAGACGCAAAACATTTCAGAAACCGTGTGTATCAAATATGATACATTTGGCATTATAGGGTTAAAGCTGGAAGATTGAATTGCCTCACTTTCCACAGTGACGGTGGCTGAGGTCCTGTCATCTGTGGATTCACAGGAATATTCTCCGGCGTCTTCCTCCATTAGCTGGTGGACGGTAAAACTTCGCTCTCTGCCTTGCGCCCGAATCGTGTAACGGCGACTTAGAGAGATCTCTTTGCCGTCTTTTAGCCACTGGACATCACCTTTGGGCTTGTTGACCTCACAGTGTAACGTCAAGCTCTTACCCTTCGGAGACACCATATTCTCTAGTCGTCTAATAAATTTCACTTTCATCTCTGAAAAACAAATACAATTTGGATATAATGTTGTAACAAAGACGGCAGAAGAACGAATTTGGATGTAAATGTCAAGTACTGAAAAGGGACTCTTATTCTTCTTACCTTTGACTAGAAGACTAAAATACATTTCATCAGTGCTAATGTCACAGACATATTCTCCCGAATCGGACAGCTGCAGGGGATTAATGGTGAGCTTGTGAGTATTATCCTCACTGGAAATATGAATGTTGTCCTTATTCAACAGCTGGCCGTCTTTCAGCCACCGGACATTAGCCCTCTCGCGGCTCACAATGGCACAGAGTGTGACGCTCTCGTTTTCAAAGGCCGAGATGTTATTCCTTGCGGTTTTATTCACGAATTTCGCCGGTGGCTCTGAGAGAAAAGACAACAGTTCGTAAAACTCCTTGTGCACATATGCCATTCCCCACAAAAGCAAAATAAATCTCACACTGTGTCTTTTAATCTTACCTTGCACTTCCACTATTGTTACCATCTTGTCGTCAATGGCGTCGCAGGTGTATTCTCCTGAGTCTGAAGGCTGAAGTCCGGACAGGATAAGCTTCCTCACAACGTCGTTGCTGTGAATTTTTACTCTAGTGCTTGATTCCAGGGGCTCTCCATTCCAGAGCCACTTAACGGCTGCATTCGGACGTGACACCTCACACTCCAATATCAGGTCGTCTCCCGCCACCAGGATGTGATGCTCCGGATTGCCTGAATTTCCAATGATCTGAACGGGAGGTTCTAAACATAAGACAATATTGTCAATTAGCGATTCAACATGAATTGTCAATGTTATATTAACTCGATTTCCTTTTTCAGACATCTTCTGTTACCTTTGACAGTGATATTAAAGATCATCTTATCGTCCACAGCATCACAGGCATACTCCCCCGAGTCTTCGAGGCCAGCGTTTAGGACAACCAGCGATCGAAAAACCCCTTGCTCTTCACAACAGTACCGCTCAGTATCGTCAATCAGCCGATTATCTTTGTACCAGCTGACCGAGGCGTTGGCTTTTGAGAGTTCACACACCAGAATGATATCATCTGAGACTAAGAACTGTTTCTCTGTTTTCGCATCTGTTTTTCCAAGAATTTTTACTGGCAATTCTGCAATGAAAACAAAAACATGAGAGCAGAGAAAATCTTTTGAATCTTTCTTGAATTCAATATAAGAAAGGAGGGAGAAAGAGAAAAAAGAGATATTTTTCTCCCATGTTAAGGACTTTACAGTTCAATTCAGCTCTCAATTGGCTAAGACAAAACATAATAATACCCAAGTTAGTGTAGACATTGCAAATTTGAAAATCCAGTTTTTGTGATGAAACTAGCTTTTGTGAGAACTTTCTCTGTAGAAAAGATTAAAGTAATATTGGCTTTAGCTACGTTTTCTAGTAACCAGACCTAAATTATAAAGAGATGACTGCTTCTCTGATTGGAGTCCACTGGATTTTGTGTTGGGAAGTATCTGGGAATTGGTCCTTAGTGGTTGCATTACGACTGAAAAAAACTTCTACAGGAAGCCTATGTGGTTTTTAGTTCCAATATATCTGATTCTGTTAAACTTTTAGTTAATCATTTTTAAATGGAAGCATGGGTAACCCTGCGTTGATGTAGACTAATGAGGGCGTTGGAGAAACTAGGAAAAACTGAGAAACTGGCAAATAATCCAGACAGTTATCTTCAAATTGCAAAGACTAGAAGTTATTTTGCTGTTCACAATGAGTTAAAGCTTCAGTTTATATGTGTAGTGTTCTATTTGATGGATCCAACATCTGCTGGAGCTGTTAAAAATTCATTCATTAAAAACGCAATAAATGCATCTTTTGATAACCTGAGTTCAAATCTAACTTAGTTTCTAAAAAGCCTTTTTTTTTTTTTTTAGGCACCATCACATTGATTTAAAATGAAAATAAAACGATTGTAGACTTATTTACCTTGCACTTTCACACTGAAATCCATTACATCGTCTTTGGCATCACAGACATAATGCCCGGTGTCCTCCACTGTTAGAGAGTGAATGGTCAGTTGACGCACGACGCCCTCTTCAAGGATAGTGATACTTCTACAGTCCCCCACTTCCTCCCCATTCTTCTTCCAGGTGACTTCAGCATTAGGTCTTGAAACCTCGCAGTCCAGAACCAGAGTCTCCCCGGCCACTTTTTCTACTCTGCTCGCCATCTTTCGGGGACGTATGAAGCGAACAGGAGGTTCTGTGAATCGATAATAAAAAAACGTTTTGAAATGTACATAATGCAATAGATAGCATCTTTTCTCGTGTCTTTTTACTTATCTTTTTACCTGCAATGTTCACAAAAAACGTCTTGGAATCATCTGCTGTGGCACATACGTATTCTGCTGAGTCTTTAATGGTAGTTTTAGGAATAATGAGTCTTCGGTAGACACCGTCGACCTCCAGAATAAGGTTGTCATTCTCCTCAACCTCAAGTCCGTCTCGATACCACCGTACCACTGCGTTGGGTCGCGAGATCTCACAGCTCAGTACCATCCTCTCAGAGGTTTGCTGACATAGCTCCATTTGCGACTGACTTGGGGATATGATTTGCACTGGAGATTCTGAAAACCAGATTTATTTTGGTTGAAATGATAGATATATAATTCACACAAATGGTGGTTAACGATGACTTTTAAAGACTGGCACTGTTTAAGACCTTCCTAAACCTAAATATATGGAAATACCTTAAAATTCCACTGGAATTCTTTACCTGTAATACTAAGGTGGAAGAATATTGAGTCATCAGCTGTATCACAGACGTATTCTCCAGAATCTTCTACTCCGCTAGAGAGAATCTTGAGCCGTCGATAAGGACCTTCTACTTTCAGCTTGATGTTCTCACTCTCCTGGAGCTTTTGGCCATCTTTAAACCAGCTCACGACACCATTGGGACGAGATAGTTCACAGCTCAAGATGATTTCCTCGGGGACGTGACGGTCAAGATGGACATCCTCCTTTGGATAGACAATCCTCACAGGAGGTTCTTTAAAGGAAGAATATGACATTGAAATGTATATTTTTACTATTTAATTCACAGTCAAAGTAAATTTAAGTGCCTGTGAGCCATTTTTAAGTGATATGTAATTAGTAATATGACATGTTAGCATGTTATTATTACCTCTTACGTGAACCTTGAAGATCAAAATGTTGTCTCCCGCACGGCACATGTATGTGCCTGTGTCAGACAGCTGGGCCGAATGTATAGTTAGATTTCTCTTGGTGTCCTTGGCTTGCATTGTGACATTACTGTTTGGTTGTATTTCAGTTCCATCTTTGTGCCACTGGACAATGCCGTCAGCCCTTGATACCTCACATGACAACACGAGCTGTTCGTTCTCCACAACGCTCTGAAAAAGCTCCTTCTCAGGGACATCAGCAAACGTTACCGGTGGCGCTGTGGGAAACGACACAAGAATTACTCGAATTGTCTTTTGAGGGCGGAACTCAGTGTTTGAACCTACGCATGCAGCAGCTTTAATGTCTGGTTTACGCTGAACATGCAGATCTGAAAGTGAGCCGTCGAGGTCACACGCGGGATAATCATCAGTGGTTGTTAATTTTGCTTTGAAGCAAAGTGAAAACAGTATTTGAAGCAGTGAGCTCATCTGGTGCCTTTAACATGAAAGTAAACGATCAAAACTACATGCCACCCTCTGGGGACACTATTCTTAGATGAACGGCATTTAAAATGAAAGGCGGCCATAATGATATTAGAAAATTTAGAATGAAATCAATTAGGATGACTATGATGCTTTGATTTCCTAAATATTAGAGACTACGAAGGTGTGAACTAGTGAAGAGGGAAAATATCTTGCCAAGAAGAAAGCTTAGAATATCACCTTTCACCGCCACACAGAAATCGTTGGAATCTGAGTCAACATCAGCTTTACAATCCCACACCCCAGAGTTTGAAGACGTGGCCGACTTCATGACCAAAGTCCCCTGACTGCACTCTGATTCAATCTTTGTTCTTGCTTCTGGCAATAATTCTACTCCCTCTCCTTGCCAGCAGGACTGGATGGCTGGGTCTGAGAACTCACACTGCAGTTTGATCAGGCTGTCTGCTTCAAGAAACTTGTTCCTCTCAGCCTCTGGAACAGCTGAGAATCAAACCCATGCTATAGGAATTCCAGTTAATCGAACAACGACCAGACAGTAAACATAGTTTTATGTTGTGCTAAGTAGAATTGACTCGGTCAGGGGTAAAGAATGTCAGAACATGGGCAGGATGAATAACATCAGAGAATTATTTTAACGCGTTAGTACATACTTTTCCATTGACAAACAGGCAGACAGAGCACATTTAGAATTAATTCGCTGATATAACCGATGGCTAAGTGTACCCGGCCACTAGTTAGCTGTCCAAGCTAATGTTGGTGCTGTCAGGCATGCAACATCTGGAAAAAAGGGAATGTGAATTATTAAAACAACAGATAAAAACAAGGCATTTGATGAGCAGCTTGTCCGTGACCAATCATAAGAGTCATACGTCACACAACACAAAGTGCTAAGTGGCTCAAAATTAAAGCTTTGTTCAAGTTTTACTCCTGCTGGTTTCTCAGAGACGGATTCCAAAACACTTTTAAACAATCCTATATGCTTATTAGCATTATGATAACCTTGAGCTTCAGATAATGGTGATCAAATTTAGCATTAAATGATCAATTTTGATAAAGCTGACTCATCATTAGTTCTTCTTTGAGGACATGTTTAATTAATAATTAGTGCACAGTATAGTAGAACATCAGAAAAATGCCTAGATAGTCTAATAGCCAGGCATTACTTTAAAGTTAGTAACTCTGATGAAGCTCAAAATATTTGGATCACCTGCAACATCCACCTTGAATTCTACATGGTCATCTGCAGCCTCACAGCTGTACACCCCCGAGTGCCTGACTTCTGCTGATTTAATAACCAGCGCTCTCAGTTTCTCCTCTGTTTGGAGCTCATATTCGCTCGTCGAAGGTAGCTGTTCTCCATCTTTTTGCCAGTAGACTTGGGCCTCTTGCTCTGAGACTTCACACTGCAGCTCAATAGGGAAGCCTACTTCAACCATTTTGTTTCTTGCAACCTCTGGTAGTGCTGAAAACTTCACTGGAGTAGCTGGGGGGGTGTTATGAGATTTTGTGTTAAGCTAACATAATGCCATTTTATTGAATTGTGTGATGCATATAAAATATTTTAAGCAGCAACAAGGCCTGAGTGTCAAATGTAATTTCTGGTGGCACTTACTGATAGCATCTACAAAGGTGCGACAAGCTAAATAAAGGCATGCTAATATGTCTCAGAAATTTGAATGCGGGAAAATCACCTTCGACATCCACCTGGAATGTTACAACATCATCAAGGAAGCAACAGCTGTAGAGGCCAGAGTCAGAGACCTTAGCTGAGTGAATCATTAACTTTCTGAGGCTGCCATCTCGTTTCATATCGAGGCCTGTTTTGCTAAAAAGCTCCACCGAATCTTTAAGCCAGGTGACCTGTGCAGTGGGATCAGAGACCTCACACTGGAGAATAATCGGACAACCTTTTCTAATCATCTTGTTTTTTTCTGATAGAGGGATTGATGTGATGGCTGATCGGCCTAAAAGAAGAGAATAACAAGCGTACGTATAAGAGATGATTCCATACAGGTGAATGCACTATCCAGCCACTCATCTATCTCCTCATGGTCACTCAGACCAAATTACACTTTTACCACTCACACCTCAGAGAAAGATATATGTCGAAGGAAAAGCATATGAAGCTACGAAAGTTAGTGATAAATCACCTTTTATGTCCACCTTAAAGCTGACTTTGTCATCTGATATTGAACATTCATAGACACCGGCGTGTATCTTTTCAGCTGAGGGGATGAGTAAGGACCTTGTCAGACCATCTGACAGTATTTCCATATTGCTTTGAGGCAGGAGTTCCCTCCCATCCTTTAACCAGTCGACGTGAGTAGAAGGATCGTGAGACAGTTCACAGCTGAGGACAAGAGCATTGCCTTCTTGGATGGACTTGTTCCTGTCCTCCTCTTGTAGCTCTGAGAACTTCACGGGTGGTGCTATAGGTTTTGGATATTGCAAAAAAGAATGCCTTAATAAACTTCACAAATGTGGCTTTGCAATGTAATTAGATAAGTAAATCCTGAATGAGGAAATGTATATGTTAACGCCAACAATACACCAGGCACAAGACATCAGAATGGTGCATTTCACAAGACAACAAGCACAGCAAGGGACATTAGTACAACACGAATGTCTTGAAGACGACAATGAAGAGCCTTTCACATGACACTGTAAATTCCACAGTTAAACAGTTACATAGACAAACACAGGACAGGTAAGACAAACAAGTTTACAAGTAGTGACTGAGTAAAGACACAAAGAAAATGACACACAATAATCGTAAGAAACTGTCTTGTCAGGGTTTCAAGATTAGATGGGGAATACATTTTAGTAAACTGACATGTGAAGTCCTATTTTTGATCAAGTTGCACGGCAGACATTAAAAGAAAGCTTAGGAATCTACCTTTTGCAGTTAGGCAATAAGACAAAAGTAAGATAATCACTTTGTGTTAGCGCAATGTAAGACAAGGAAAATGCAAAAGTTATTTTGGGCATCACCTTTTACTTCCACAGAGAACTGGATGTCATCATCCTTTGACTCACAGCGGTACACTCCAGTGTGAACCCGCTCAGCTGATGGGACTACTAGACTCCTCAAATTCCCCTGTGACTGGATGTCTACTCCACTGTGAGACAGAAGCTTTGTTCCATCCTTGTACCAATTGACTTGTCCATTGGGGTCTGACAGCTCACACTGCAGAGCTATGGGAGAGCCAGCTATCACTGTCATTTTCTGCTCAGCCTCAGACAAAGCTGCAAATGTCAGAGGAGGAGCTAAAGAATTAAATGTAAAATAGAATTGGTTAATGAGGGGTGGTGTTGTCAGCCAATTTCAGAGAAGCAAAATTCAGAAACATCCGTATGACTTCATGATTTTTGCTATGATAAAACATATACATTTAAAAAGATTATTACACATATACTGATATAACAGTTAACGACAATTTAAAGTGCTTAAAAAAATATACATTTTATGTGAATATAATATATCACATATAATATGTTTTGTCTGTCTCAGGAGCACTGAAGGTCTCAAGTCACTGGATAACCACAACCTCAAATGAACAAGTCAAACATTCATAATTAATTTAGTCAAAATAAAGAAGCATCATCTAAGAAATGCTAACTAAACATTGGCAAGTGTGAAGAGCTCTACGAAAGTAGACATTTTGAATGTTTCCGGTTTTTGAGCATTCAAGTATGAGTTTAGAATGTACAAAACATCAAGAGTGATTTTAGAAAATCGTCTTGACACCCATTCATCTGGCAATGGTTATTTTCACACTATTTATCACCGGAGCAAAAAACTGTGAAATCCCAAAGAGCCAAATCTCAGTAAACATGCTAAATGTGTAAATCAACAACTGAATGACTGACGAAGAAAAGAGGAGTGTGTCAGTGTTACTGTACAGAAATATGAGATATATTTAACAACATAAAGGAAACAATTGCCTTAATAGAGTGGTGCTCATGGGGTGGAATGGGGAATATAGCATTTTTGCTTAGTTTTTCAAGAATAAATGACAGTTTTAATGTGTAATGTGATTTTGATCATCTGAGGTTATGTTTATCTGGCAAGTATTAGACAGGTTTTTATGTCCTGCTTTTCTAAATCTCATGACTTCATCCTGTGAAGATCTCTTATGATTCTACACCTGAGTAATATTAGAAATATTTATGAATGTACACACATTTTCTATCTTTCCAACTCTAAATATTACATTTAACCCTCACTAAAAATGTATTTGCATATAAAAGAAAACAACTTTTGTCACCTTTAACGTCCACGTGAAACTGTATTTCATCATCTGTTGTCTTGCAGATGTAAATCCCTGCATGACAGAGCAATGCTGAGGAGAAAGCCAGTGTTCTCATGGAGCCCTCTGCCATCATATCTTGCCCGGATGCGTCCCGTAGTTTTATTCCATCCTTAAACCAAGTTACTTGACCTTTAGGATCTGATACCTCGCATCGTAGTGTTAAGGGCTCACCCACTTCAACAGATTTGTTCCTCTCAGCCTCACAAAGTGATGTAATTCTCACAGGCGGAGTTGGGGATGCTTGAGGTAACATCAAGAGAAAGTTTCATCACTAATACTGACTACAGCAGAAACACAATGCTTATTAAGATATCAAAAGAACATAAGCTCAAGGATTAGTCGTGCCAAAGAAAAAAATAAAAATAAAGTACGTTAAAATGAGTCAAATAAATATTTACTCAGTTATTAGTCATTTTATCAATTGGTATCTTTGGTTAGGCCTGAGATAACTAAGCCTTCAAATCAGGGTTTAATGCTAATATGTTTCAAGGTTTTTCATCAGTAATATTCCTTCCAGACCTCCCAAGCACAATTTTACTTTAACCACTAGTGAAGTTTTAGTATGGACAAAATTCTGGTGAGTAAATGTAAAAACCGCCAAAATATCAAGAATTGCGAAAAGCAATCTTTTCATTTTGCACAATGTAAACATTGTGCCCGTCCATTTCTTGTTTTCATACTGCTAACCATTTAAATCACCTTCAACATCCACCTTATTTGCAGTGACTCTGTCACTCCAGTGACTGTTATTGGTTCTTGATTGACAGATCTCCTCTGAGTGGACAGCTGATGTCTGCTTGGTATTGTATAAGTCTGCAATCTGGATGCATGATCTTTGAGCATGGCCAACTGTACTGTCCTCTTGTTCTCCTCTGGTCTCCACTGTTTGATGGATTTGTGCTGATGGAACTGTTGACTCCTGACTTGTCTGACACAGCAACTCTGAAGGGTTTGACAGGGCCTGTCCTGTGTGATAGGACTCGTCCAATTTTAGATCTGCTGGTAAGATCAGATGCACTGGTTGGAAAGTGTCTACATCTCTGGCTCGACTGGACAGTTCCTGTGGTTGAAGGGAGGCTGAGTTGGAAATGTCACAGAGCTTCTCTGACTGGACAGTTGATCTCTGTAAGCCATCACGTAACTCCTCAGATGGGTCAGTTGTAGTCCTCAAAGTGTTACTGGGCCTCACTGAAAATGAACTCTCTGTTTGTGGGCAATCTAACAGCTTCGTTGAAACGGTAGCTGGTACCTGCAAGGGGCTGTATTGCCCCTCTGATTGGACAGTAGTCGTCTTTAAGGACTTAAAGGAATCTTCTGAGTTGACATTTGAGGGTTGTAAGTCAAATACCTTCTGTAGCTCCTTTGACTGAAAAGAATCAGTCACCGAGTAGTTAGAAAACATATCAGATTTGACTGACAGATTCTGTAAGGCATTTGAATAGTGCTTTGACATACTGGCTGATATCTGTTGAGGGATACCTTGCTCTGATTCAACAGATGGAGTGTTTGCTGACCTATGAACCTGCTCTGACTGAACAGTTAGTACCTTGGGAGTGGATTCCTCTGCATCAGTTGCGTTTTGCATACAGTTATACCAGTCAACAGTCTGTCCAGCGCTCTCCAGGCAATAAGAAACCTCTCCGGATGGAGCATCTGTGTGTGGTATATAGTGGGTAAATTCCTCACCTTGTGATTGTGTGGACTGTTTAGTGTGATGGGGCATGTCTGATTGCATTGTTGTTTGCTCTACAGAGTTACAGCATGGTTGAGATTGGGCTTTTATTTGTCGGTTGTCATCAACCTCATTTCGCTGTATTACTCTAACACAGTCAGGCATAAAATCATGGGTTGAGGGAGAAGATGTCATATGTCCAGCATGGTCTTCACATGAATCTCCTCCCAAGTCAGCGAAGATGTCAGAATTGTATTTTGAAGACATCTGGACTGCTTGAACCGAACAAGCCTCTTCTGTGGACCTGTTCTTCTCTTGATCAGAGGAGAGCCATGGCGATGTAGCTATAAGCATTATGATGTACACAGAGAAAGGTTTTCAGTTGTTGGTGGTCTCAATACTTCCTCTCACAACAGAATTGCACAGCAGAGTGGGTTAGCATGGAGTTATGGGTAAATCCATTGCAAAGACAAACAAGAGGGTCGACCAGGATTGGTCTGAAAGTGAGCTCCAATATGCATCCCCTTTAGGTTGATTCCTTTTGCCCTACCATCAATGTGTCCTACATCCTTTAATCCTAAAAAAGTATATCAATTACTGCTCTTTGCAAAAGAGTTCGTTGTCATTGCAACGGGCGAGGTTTGGGGCGGCAATGTGAATGAGAGGGCTCTGGAGATGAATAAGACATAAGATGGATTTAAGAGTTGCAAGTTACAAGCAAAGATGGCTGTTAGAATGAAGAATGACATGACAAACACAACATGTATGTTAGTATGACCAGCAGCTACATGTGTAGAACACAACCAAGTTTGATTAAGAGCTGAAAACAGCAATAAAATGACCTGTGACCAGGATGACAATGTGATACAAAGCAATGGTCTAAAGGAAAAAAGATTCACAGATGACTCAGATAACTGAGCTAACAGTGAAATAAACCACTATTGTTAGTGGCATTTATGTGCTGGGTTAACATGGATGACTGATGTGGAAATATCAAATCACCTTGGACATCCACAGTGTATTGGGCGGATGCATCAGCTACCACACCAATCTCGTCACCAAAGTGACACTGCCTTGCTGTTTGGACAAAGCCAAAGAGAAAACAATGAGCCGGGTGATAGCTTCACTCATGTACCTAAATTCTTGATTCTTAAATGTGCGGGTACAATGAAGGTAAACACCTTTCATGTCCTCAGTCAACTGTGCACCACCAGATGTATCCCAACCAAACCTGCAGTCGCCAGATATACATTCTGACTGGATCGGTAGGATTTGGTTGCTGCTTTGTGGTTTGTTGACTGCTTCCCTTTCAGGGAATATCTGGGTTCCATCTTTATACCAACAAGCTTTGGCAATAGGATCTGAAATCTCAAATTGCTGAACAATTGGGCAGTGTACTTCAGTAGACTTGTTCTTCCCATCAAGGTGAAGCAAATTAGTTGGAGATGCCACTAAAAAGAATCATTGGGGGATAATTTCAGGAAAAAAAAAACTAACTTTAAAGAGAACCTGTTACAGAAATGTGCATATAACTACAACTAAAAGATATAGAGAGATTAAGTCTTAACTACCAATTGAAAACACATTCTCAAATATAAAATCACCTTGATTTTGTACTATTAATTGAACAACATCGTCTGCTGTTGCACAGTAGTACGCTCCAGAGTTTGAAGGATGAGTTGGTTCTATAACAAGGGTCTTCTTGATGCTTCCCATTTCAAAATCAGGCTCTCTATTCATATAGGAGTCAGTATCCATCTGGCACGACACCTGGGAATCACGGCCTGAGGTTTCACAGGGTGGTTCAGTGGGTTTGTTTGCCTCAAGCGGCTGCATCTCCACAACCTCGGGTAAGTGCGACAACGGCAACGCCGGAGCTAAAGATAATGATTCATAATATAACTGGACTGAACATTTCAAATTTACACTCTGAAGAAAGGAATTACATGATCGGCTTCCAAAAACATGGAAAAATCTCCCATTTCCCAAATTCACTGAAAAATTCATTGCCAAGAGTCTCATTTATATATTTTCATTTTGTAAGTATAGATTAATTTAGCTGTGTTAAGGGCACAATTTCACCCTCACACAAAGCACCATGTAAACACATTTGCTGATTATAAAAGTTAGTTGCAAGTAGTCTCCCAAAAGCTCTACGAGTTTCTCTAAATGTAAAGCAATTTAAGTAAAAAAAACAATCACCTTTAATATCCACAGTGAATTGGAAAGTGTCATCAGTAGTTTCACAGCTGTACAGCCCTGAGTGCAAGAGCTCAACAGATGGGATTATGAGTCTCCTGGTTGTGCCAATACTCTGTATATCCCATCCTCTCTGTGGGCAGAGCTTTTTACCATCTTTATACCAGCAGACAGGCACAGTGGAGTCTGTCACATTAACCTCCAGCTTCAAAGGTTTGCCCACTTCAAGTGACTTGGCCCTCTCATCATCATAGATGGTGGGATACGTCACTGGTAGAGCTAGCATTGGGAATTCAGGACAGCTAAATAAGCTCAAGGCTGTAGAAAATTGATATCTTACAAAAATGTAACTGCTGAGCAGATGATAAAAAGGGCTTAGGAGACTCAAAGCACAAAGAGAGCCACAGCGGTCACAAAACAAATGAAATCAAACAGTTCTTTGTTTGAAAGAAACAGTTTTTCAAACCACATAATTTAAGCAAGTATTGTTAGTGGCACCTAGAAAGAGGGCGTTGTGTTAAAATATGAACGCTTAAGAAAAGAAGAGTTCATTCACCTTTGATATCCACTTGAAACTGCACAGTATCATCTTGTGTGGTGCATCTGTACAGACCAGAGTGGCACACTTCCGCAGACTGAATAACTAATGTCCTTGTGTTGTCCACTGAGTGGATTTCTGTTCCAGAGTTGGATATGAGCTGTGTTTCATCCTTGTACCAGCAAACTTGGGCCTCAGGGTCCGACACCACACATTGGAGCACTATAGGGCAGCCGACTTCGATCGATTTGGTCCTCATGTCTTCAGGAATAGCTGAGAACTTCATTGGCGAAGCTACAGATATGTTTAAATTGTATGTCAATCTTAAATCAACCACATGCCAGCCATTAAGATCATGGTAATCTGTATACTGCCAGCTGAATTGCTAACATGCTGTAATCTTCAGAAAGATAAAAATCTAGCGGCAGATTTCATTAGTGCCAAGAAAGAAGGCAACAGAGCACATACAACAGACAACACACAAGAGTCTCATAAGAGTTAGTTGCTTTTCTATGTAGGAGCTTGTTAATATTTCACATAATTTAAAGTAAAGAAATCACCTTTGACGTCCACACTGAATGTGATGGTGTCACCCTTTGTCTTGCAGCAGTACAAGCCAGAGTGGGCAATTTCTGCTGAATGGACAATCAGTTTCCTCACCAAGCCATTAGTTATAATATCTACTTGACCTTGAGGATGGAGCTTTGAACCGTCTTTGTACCAGTGGACTTGGGCAGAAGGATCTGAGAGCTCGCATTGTAATACAATTGGGCAGCCTGTTAGGATGGTTTTGTTCCTCTCAGCATCTGGAATTGCTGAAAACCTCACAGGTGGTGCTATGGATATTTAGATATTGGAACGGTTTGTTAAATTATGAAACAAATCTTCATTCAATAAGATAACATGCATCTTTTTGACATAGAGAAGATGACAAAAAGTGCAAATGACATCAACATGGTTAGTCTCAATGAAAGGCAATAACGGAAAGAAACCCAAGACACTCACCCTCTACTTCCACATTGAACCGGATAACATCATCAATGGCATCGCAGCAGTACACTCCAGAATGTGAGAACTCAGCTGACTGGATGACAATTCGTCTCATGGTGCCCTCTGATTGGATATGAAGCCCCTCTATCGTATGTAGTTCCATTCCATTCTTGTACCAGTGTACTGGAGCCGCTGGGTCAGACAGCTCACAATAGAGCACAATGGGGTTCCCCATCTCAACAAATTTGTTTCGATCCATTTCAGACAGGGGTGAAAACTTGACCAGTGGTGCTACAAATTTGAAACAAAGGATGAAGCTTTTAAATTTTTTGAAAACATATTGGAACAACCATCGACCGGATATACCAACAGGAAAAATTTACTTGAACTATTCCTACCTTGAATGTACATTGCTGCAGAATCCCGAATGCCATACGCAATAAATGTAATCTCAGCTCCGTTGTCTGTATCACGCACGCCGCGAATGCGAAGAGATTGGTGCGTTCTTGATCGACGCATGGAATATCGATCATCCTCTTGTAGCTGAGTCCCATTTAGAAACCATGTCCCGATAACTGAAGCAGAAAGTTCGATGGAAAAGAGAGCATCTTGCCCCTCCGGCACCAGTGCATCCTGTAAAGGAGCTTGTATTCTGGCCACAGGAACTGGAAAGAAATATCACCAATTTATCAACAGATACTTCACTATTTAATGGTTATTCAAGAAAAGGTGAGGGATTGTTGGTTTAGAACAGCTGTGTCAATATATTTCGTGTTACCTAGGTGAACAGTTCGGGGGAACTCAACATTGTTGCTTTTCCCATATTTGTTTACGCTGCAAATGCGAAAACGATAATCGGCTTCACACGGAACGCTGTCACCCAGGATCTCCACAGAGGTTGCAGAGTCAGTAGTCAGACACTGTAACCACTCTTGGGAACCAGTTCCTACTTCTTGTCGTTCAAGCACATATCCGGATGGAGGGTTCTTTCTGGAGTCTGGAGCAGGAACCCAGGATAGGAGAGCGGCATTAGCGCGCTCTGTGTTAATCTGGACCCCCACTGGACAACTAGGGGGACAATGTCTGGCCGCTGAAACGTAAAAAACAAAACAAACAAAAACATTAAATGCCAATGTATCCCCTCAAGTTTTTATTGTAAAAAATGACGAAGGATGATTCATTTGTAAAGGTTTAAAAAGAATATCAATCTAGGTTTATGCCTAATGTTTCCACATGTGTCTTGTATCGATGATGGAACCCACCTTTAACTCTCAACTGTGAAGAGGTCTTGGATCTCCCCACAAGAAACGTCACAAGGCCAGAGTCTTCAGGCATTGTATTGACGAAAACGAGGATGTGAGTTCGACCAAAGGACTTCAGGATGGTCTGATGGGTCTCACGCAGCTCTGTACCGTCCTTGTACCAGTGTATGTCCATCTCCTCTTTTTCCACTTCAACACAAAAGGCAGCATTTTCCCCTTCCAAGACATCCACTTTCCTCGGAAGCTTCCTCAGAATTGTGCCTGGAAGGAGCCAATGAAAATTCTATTCCATATATTTTAGGTAAGGATGTTTAATGCACACCAAGGACTTTACATTTGACTTAAAATTCCTTAAAGTAATTTAGTATATGAAAAATCTTGATTTAAGGTCAATGTTTTTTCCTTCATTGTTCAGGTTAGGCCATTTTTAAAATAATGGTTATATTAGGTTTTGCCCCATAACATATTTGCCACTGCAGTTATTTTTTCTTCCGTAGCTATGTTTGAAATACATGATCCTTAGTGATACCCAGAATGCATTTCTATCAACTGCATTGATGAGTACTATATTTAATGTCCAGAAACTGTGTGTAGATATGCATATCTATTGCATGTTGGTTTATCTCCAATAGACCTCTTGTTTTCCAGCATACAAGGTTTTGGATACTTCAGTATAGTTCCACAAAGTTGTCCATCAATGCCAAGGGGCACTGGAGCTGCTCCAGAAGGATGTTGTTGCCCAGAAATTATTCGTTAGTTTATCGTTGTTTATGCTTTTGATTTCTCACATGTTTGTGTCTCAGCTAGCTGCAATAACTGGACTGTGATTTGCAACTTGCTTCGTGCAAATCCCACCCATTACTGAATAACTGTGAGATAGGCTCAAGCCCTTAAACAACCCTACTTGAAATAAATGCAGCATAGCAAACGAATGGACGGATAGGATTGTGTCACAAGTTTTCCAGTGCTACTAAACCAAAATAGGTTTCAATTTAGCCGTAGTATCCCGATGATATTGATTGAACTGGTAACTAATTCAGAACTAAGTTTAAACAATACCCCAGGGAACTGTATAACACAAAGCAGGTCTGTCTACAGTTAACTCATTTTTTGGGACTTTTTTCCATCATACGATTTGCAACCACCACCTGCGTTTTGTGATGCCATACAGTTGTTTATTATGCAAGTCCTTATGCATACAATTTTCTGTTATCACTGAAAGTAAGTTTGTACTAACTCATTGTATGATTACAAACAGATTTACCTTTTACAGCTACCTCTGCTATGCTTCTACCTCCATCCGGCATTTCACAGAGGTAAATCCCATCATCATCGACATCAATGTCCCGGATAGTGAGTCGTCTCTTTGTTCCCCACTCCTCCATTCCATATTTGGCCCCTGGCTGCAGTCGTCTGTCCTCCAGATACCAAGTGATGGGAACAGAGTCTTCTGGAACTTCACACTCAAGAACAGCTAGATCTCGTTCCCATACTTCTAGATCAATAAGAGGCTGCTTGAACCGCACTGGCGGCTCTAGAATCAAAGGGGAGGACGCATAACACTTTTATTGAGATTATGTTACTTCTCGATCGTCATTAAAATGGAAAAATCCATTATACTCAAATTTCGTTCCATCTACAAATAGACACTAGTAACACTTTATCGGCGTACATAGCTTAAGGAAGTTGACCCCAAGAAATTCACAAGAAATGTACGGCCCCTGGTAACATTGTAAATTGAAATAGGATTCAGGTTAAATTAAAGTTAAGCAAACAAGATAAGCAAAAACCTGACACAAGAAACTTATTCAGTTGAGGAACGAGGAGGTTATAAACACATAGGGGTGTTAGATAGGGAATAAATTGTTTGTAACTGACACCATCAGACAGTACCAGACAGTTGTAAACAAAAGAATGTGGACTGTATTTAGTAGTCTGTGTGCAAAGCTGTTCATTTTCATATCTTACTAATGTTTTAACAAGACAATTTACATCGAGACTACACCTCAGATGTCACTATCCCCCATTTAGTTTGTGTTTCTTTTCTAGACTAACCAAAACGTGTCAAATCCCATCAAAGCTGATGTTTTCTATCTTTAAATTATACAGTTAAATGTGTTGATGGTGCCATTTCTACTGCTCTTGGCCATGTGAGAAATATGACCCAGACTCTGAAATACATGACATGGGCACCCACCCCTGGGTCTTTAACAAGCTAAGTGACTTTGCAGATATCGTGCTGCTGTTGGAATCTGCCCCACGCAAACTTGTTTTGACATTTTAGGGTCAAGTTCCAGCTCATCAATAAATCTAAAGAATTAGCAAGTACACGCAGGACGGTTGGAAAAAGATAATTGCGACAGACTTGTTGGGAGTTCAGCTGTCTGATGTTAAGACAAACATTTTAAATGTTTCATACATATTACACACACACATTATATGTATTATCATATGTGTCAATAATCATGGTGACATATATAATTTCCCATCCCACTTTGGCCTTATTCCAATAAATGATCTCATGCTAGGTTTTTTTATCTCACTGACATCACTCTGGCATCAAATGGACCGAAATTTGATCCAAGAACTTATTACTACCTACTCACTCCTTTGCTCATGGAAAGAAGGCATCACTGACTGCATCTGCATTTATTCAATGGCACTTGATTCTATTTTTGAACAGAATTTTGACTTACCCTTAACGGAGAGGTGTACAGCGCTGAGAGTCTGCCCTGCGGTATTAGATGCAGCACAGACGTAAACCCCATTGTCCTTTTGCTTGCAGTACAGAACTTTGAGTGTGAAGTATCCCTCTCGGTCCTCATACAACAAGTAACGCCTTCCAGACAGTATAAGCCTGCCATCTTTCCTCCAGATTATTTCCGGCTTGGGTTTGCCGGTCACAAAGCAGCGGAATTTGGCGTGTTTGCCTTCAGTTACTGCAAACATTTTGACTTTTGCCGTCTTGGTCGTGGTGTCCTCTTTTAGTCGGTTTGGTACTTGTCTACCGCCCCTTTGTTTTCCCTGATGGCCTTTCCAGTGACCGTTTGTATATCCGTTTCGGTTTCCTTCTTCTTCGTGTCCCGGACCTGCATCAACGAGCAACACGGCTCCGGCCAGAGCTTCCCCAAACTCGTTTCTTGCCTTACATGTGTACACGCCCCCGTCCGGAGCACGAGTCTTAAATATTTTAAGCTGGAACCATCCGCCATCCTGGTAACCGACATTGAAGTGTGTGCTCTCGAATATCTCGTTGAGCTTTCTCCCATCCTTTTCCCAGACAACCTCTGGTCTCGGGCTCCCCCAAAGCTTACAGGAGAAGACGGCGTCTTCCCCTCGGCCGACACGAGTGGACAGGGGCTTGATGAGGAAACGTGGCTTGTTTTCCTCTCTGAGTTCCATTTCCTGCGCATCGCCTTCTACCTTCAGTGTGGCGGCTGCATATGTTTCTCCAATGCTGTTCTTTGCTTTGCATATGTATTGGCCGCTATCCTCAACAGTAACGGCTGAAATGATGAGGTTGTAAACATTGCCATCCTCAAAGACCCTGTACCTTCCTTGGGGGTTGACCTTTTCATTGTTTCGCTCCCAGATAACAGCTGGCCTCGGATCGCCGCTGATTTGACACTTTAAGACTGCGTCTGTCCCACTTTGGAACACAACAGGCCTTGGGTAAGCCAAGAAACGAGGAGCTCCACCAAATACATCCATTTCTGCTTCTTGGACAGCTTCTCTTCACCTCAAGTAGTCCAAAGTAGTAACAGTGGGTATTCACAGGGGCAGGACCTCGGCACAGCAATTTCCTGAAGAAATACACGAAAAACAAAATTATACTATATAACAGTTTTTGCACTTCATGTAATGTAGTAATGTTATTAGCTTTGGATTTGTTTTTCCAAATGTTGAACAGATCTCTCACTCCTATGAGCAATAACTCTGCAATTAAAGACAAAAGACTTTGTGCGCTGCATTATTTTTGTGAAAACAAACGACATATCGTTTCGTAAATCACCCCCTAGACCCTTCGATTGTATGTATTTTATAACGAACAGATGCAATGATTATCGAGGCTGATTTGATTAGATCTGTCTGCATAAGAGAAAAAAACAGGCTAGATGTGAGAGGCTTAGAACAACTGAGTCCCAGTGCAATGGCAGCCACAACACACAGCCAGTACAGCTGGTGCTGTATTTCAATGGGAAAGCGCTTAATATAGTAACACCTAAAAAAAGAGCTGTGAGGGGAGTGTCTCAGGTATCACAAAGATGGATCAGAAACCTGCATACTCACACAAAGAGCGTGAAAAAAAGACAACATAGCAAAGACCATGACGGCAATATTGCCCAATTTTCTTTCAGATCTTTCCAAGTATTGAGGCTGCATTCATGTTGCAGATAAAAAAACTCAGTCATATTACTCTCAATATTACTTTCTATTGCCATTGTCCAAGTATTAAGCTAATTATTTACCCCGCCTCTAGCCCATTGACCACTGGGATAGGCTCCAGTCCCCCTGCAACCCCATTAGGGACTAAGCGGTTACTATAATGGATGGATGGATAATGTACTCTCAGTCAAATTCTAAATGCTAGTATTACTTGCAATGGAGGCAAAGTTTCCATATCAGGCTATATAGATCTTAAATGTAGCTTAGTTCATAGCTTTTTCTTATTTTTAGTTTTTTGTTCTTTGTTTACTTTTAAAACTCAGGTCATGCCTGGACAAAGATTTTAAATCATGGTGAGTTGAGGAGGAGATATCTGGGATGCAAGAAATGGGAAATAAGTCAAATGGATGGATCCACAGCCCTTAAAGGGAGGGACCAAGAATATTGAAGATGCCGTTTTCAATATATGTATTGCCAAACACTAAAGACAAAAAGGTAACAGGAAAGGATTTTAGTGCTTGTACGACACAGATTATGTATCATCTACTGAGGATTTCTTTTTGCTTTTATCAGCTAAATGTTTACCAAGCTACAGAAACAGCACCTCAATCCATTTAACTGAGCCATTCTTTCTTTGCTGCATTTCAACGTTCTATTTATAAAAATGTAGCTGAATTCTTTAAAATTCCTTTTCCATATACTATAACGATAACACCCAATACAACATAAGAATTGACTTTTAGGGAATAATAAAATTATGTTGAGTTCAATTAAATTTTTAAAGTGTTTATTCGTTTCAAGGTCACAATTAGTTTGTTCTATTATTGGGGTGAAGGTCTTTATTTACTGATAATTTATATCAGTAAATTATCATTTACTGATAATAAATCAGTAAATGCCTCTGGTGGGGGAGGCGCTGCAGCTGGATCCGGGGTGGCCATGCGGGTCGCAATCAGGGTTTCAGCCTTTTGTATTTCCTGCTGCGTGACCCTCAGATTCCTATTGGCCCACCGAACAGCCACCTCAAAAGCTGTCCTCCACTCTTGGGTCAGGTGGACCGGAAGATCCCTGAAGAGCCCTTGCAAGCTATCCTGATAGTGGTCTCTCAGAATGAGGTACGTATTATGACCCCAGTTTTTTGCGTTTCCAATTATAAGGTCAGCGAGCAGTTCCACCATCCTGGAGATCATTTTGGGCTCAGGTTTCCTAGGTTCCAAGGGAACCTGCTCCTGGTGGTGGACCGTTTTAATGGTGGCGTAAATTCTACGCACCATTCTTCCAAAGGCCGGGTTAGTGGGCTGTTGGGGCTCCCTTCACTGTCAGTTTCAGAACTGTAAGCCAATGTGGCTTAAAAAAAGTAGCTAACTAACAGTGACTCATCACTCCTTCGTCACAAATGGCAAATATTTGCTTGGAACATAAACTTCAGAAACATATCAGAATCATATCCTCCAAAACCACGATATTCAAAAATGATCCTCCAAGAGTGACTAAAGGTGTAAGCCAAATTTACAAAATATTCATTTTTCCAAGAAAAACATAAATTTCTGACATCTTTCTATTCACGGCAGAAAATCGAATGCATAAATTGCTCAAATTGAGGCATCCCCCAGTTAAACAAAAGTATTACCTAACATTGAAGAAGATAGTAGTAGTACCTCAAAAACGCTGGAATCTGGGCAACTAATCACAAAAATAAATTAATAAAAAATTATCTAGACTAAAAATCAACTAACTAATTTATAAAAAACCAGTAGCATGTAGAGGAAACTGAATCTAGAAAAAAACATTGATAAGTTGTGGACTAATTTCAAAATAACTGAAAAAATGTGAATATTTTGTTGTACATTCCAAACATTCCAATAACTTGAAGACATATATGTATGCACATGGTTGTTTGTTCCAAAAGCAGTGTCACTAAAAAACAAACATAAGTCACTGTGCCATCAACAAACAGTTCTTTTCTGGAAAAAAAGATAAAAGAAACCACATGTGAACAACTCTTCCCATCCAGATGGTGAGCAGCCCTTTCTTACAATGCTTCCTGCTTTTTATTTGCACTCTACACGACTTCCCTATTTTATTTGGAATTGGGGTCGCACAAGGTGTCACCACACATCCAGATAGACATAGACAGTACTTTATGTGGATGTGTATGATATTGGATCGGTTCTTGATTCTACAGATAAATGGACCTCTGTGTATTACAAAAGGAAACAAATTTACATATCAGCGAGGTGCAGAAGGGCTCTTGGTATCATAATCTAAGAGAATCTAGTTTGCTGGTTTACAGGTGAGGTTTTATGGTTTGAATTCATTAAGTCTGTAAATGGAACATTATCTGTTAAACCCTCTGACGGAACGTGAATGGCACTTTTACCTAAATATCCCCAAAAATATGAACCAAGACAACATTCTAAGAGTTGACTGCTCCTATGACTAATAATGATAAGGCCCAGTGTCAGTTTTCGAGGACCTGTGCTGTTCACTGAATATTTATTTGAATTTTACAAGCCTTTCTTTGTAATATTCTGACAAAAAATGACCACACGTGAGTTATAAAAAATATATATTCACATAGTTCTGAGAAATTTTAGAATCCCCTCCGCAATACACAATTCCTTTTTCTTTCTTAAATGTTCAAATCTACAAGTGAGTAACATTATGGAATGGATTCTAACATTTTAACTAATGAAACTTGTGGAATTTATGTAACTGCAGAATATCTTTCTTTCCATCTACTTACATGTATTTGAAAAAAAAAAATTGCAGTTTCGTAAATTGCAGAAAACCTCACTCACATTGGAAGGTATTACATTAACACAGTTCAGGACATTGCACTTTAAGTGTCTTCATTATTCCCTATGGAGGTTTAAAGAGAAGAGATTAACCTCTGTGTTTACTCGTCTGATTTAATTGGAATGACCCCTGGCCCTTGTGAAGCTGTGCACCCCTCACATTCCGTACCTCGCTTCAGTCGCCAGGAAGGATCATCAACATACATTCCGCGCTTGCAATCGCAGTCCGAGTTAAGAAGCGGCGGCACCCGTTTCCTGAAGATTGAGTAGTGTCCCAAGTTGACTTCGCATTCAGACGCATGCTATCCTCAAAGGCCCGTAGTTCCACTCTGATCCATCCCGGCAGATCTTTTTTGTCCAGAAGGGAGTCGGAATAAACAAAAAGCAAGTGATCCACACTGACCTCTCCTCGGACAACTTCAGAGTGACCCCCCAATTTCTGTGCTGCTCAGATCTCAGACACCCCAAGTGTCATTGTTCGTGGAATACTGTTAAATGCTTTTGCAGCTGCTGCTGTCCCCTAAAAATACTGTCTGCCTTGATGACAGCAGTGAGGATAAGTCGGGCACTTCCATTCACTTGCCAGCAGGGGCTAAAGATAGTTCAGGTGGCTAGTGCAGGACAGACCACTTAGCTTACTTCAAGGTTTGCAATAAAAATTTCAGAGGAGTAAGCTCTTGGCTTTCTATACGTCAAAGATAATCTTCTCAATCTGCTTGCATTCACTTGATTTACAAATTATAGCAATTTTAGATTAAACTAGATTAAACTTTTTTGCCATTGAACACAGTAACAAGTACTTGGACCACAAAAAAACAAAACAATTCAGTTTAATTCATTAAATCACACATTTAGTGGATCACGGCAGGCCATTTATGGTCAAATTAATCGTCGGTTAATGAAATATGTATTTTAGCCAACAATTCTAAAACCAAAAAGTTAGACAAAAAGAAAAGAAAGAAAAATCTAAATCAGCTTCCCAATATTACAATTTTAATTTCTGTGTGATCGCTTGATGAGATATGTTGTGCTGAGAGTTTTCTGTAGAAATTTCTAACATCAAGCCTGTTTTTTTCCTCACTGGGATCTTCTTCATTCATGTTTTACTGCTGGCCAACACACATCAAATGTAGAGTATTTTTAATTTAATCATTTGTCTAAGTCATCTTGCTACAGACGATCATTTACTACAAATAGAGGGTCAATTGATTCGCCTTTTTCTACAAGTGTTGCTATGCCTTATGAAAGAGAATTGTACAAAATGTCTTTCGTTGCTAAAGGCTGCGATCATTAGACTTGTCCTTAATGTTGGGATGCAGTGTCCCTTCAGCTGTTTAGTGGCCCCACACTTGACACTCCCACCTCCCTGATTTCAGCTGTTGGAGGTAATCCGATACACCTCAGACCTCTTCTGGCCGGTTAGGAAGTTTTGTGGCCAAGAGTAACAGCCTACAGAGTTGCTATGTTCAGAATTCCAATGACTGTTGTTTTCCCTGAAATGATCAAATTATGATGGCTGATCACCTTGGGCAAGCTGTAAACATTCTGATATTCACTAGATTATAACATGCATGTTTTTACACCAGTGTATTTAATATAAAACATAGTTTAACATGGAGGTTAGACTTTTCGTAGCCAGTGATTCAGTCTGAAATGTGTTTTTTTTAAATTACATTGATACAGATTTAACTTTAAATAAGACAAACCTCTGTGCATTTTTGTAAGGATTGAAACATGGTATCTTCTCTGAATCTTGAAGTTTCCAAAGCAGGTTTATTTTGCCATATTTTATGGATCACTTTCTATGTAAAGTTCTCTGCGTCATTTGAATGTTTTGCTAACATGGAATATCAACATCCATTTGATATCTTTTAACCTTTAATGAAGATAATGACTGTATGAATTTAAATTGGATTGAAAAGATACACGCAGAGGAAGTCTTCTATTCTTGGCTCATTATTAATGTAATATAGGAAATATATATAGACATATGTCATTCATACATGTATGACGCTTTGCTGAAAGAGTTCTTGCCTGCTCTGTGTAAGATTATACAGACGGCTTGGTCTTTCTTTTCCGTGACATTGGAATGTGAGTGGAGCAGACAACCACAGAGCTGCGAGCGTGTTCAGACGGAACCCGTACACTTTCAGACACGGCTACTAATGCGGCAGATTCTGATTAATACTGAGAGGCCCGAACCCAGTACGTCTACCAGCTCTATCACTAATAACATCAAGAAGGTTCTTTTCTCTAAACCTTTCACATCAGACCAAATTACATCTGCACACGCTTCTGTTTCTGCATTGAAATTGTGGGATTCATAATAATCATCTAATTGTAACAGTGCTGTTATGAATAAAACATTTTTTTTTGGCCTTTGCTTTGGCTGTTTTGGCCCTGAGAGAGACTTCCACACTGAGAGACTAAACATACACAAAGGAGCAAAGAGTTTCACCCTTTTGTGGCTCTCAAAATAAAAACAAGTGCGCCGTCTAGTGGTCATCTTGTTTAAGTGCAAAGTGCTGACCTTCACCTGATCATAAAAGCCTGATGAGAGCGGTCAGTGCTGTGGACTCTGGATGTTTGACCTTTACTCTGTGAATTTCTGGTTCAGACTTTGAAAACAAAAGGCCTACGTTTGATTCAGGGACTTATTCATTCTGGGAGTTAAACACAGAGGCAGCTTTCCCTGATGTGAAGATTTGAGGCCTGCATGGAAAACATTTGTTCAATCTTAAGCAAATCTGTGAATATTATACAGAATGTACATTTCCCCCTTAATATATTGACTGTAGTTGTTATGAATGATCAATTGAATTAATCTCTTATCCATTACTTGGCCATCTTAGATGTTCAAATCCTCACGTGAGTAACATTTTGGAATAGATTCTTTCATTTTAACTAAAGAAAGAAGGAACAAACTTGTGAAATTTCTGTAACGGCAGAATATGTTTGTTTCCATCTACTTACATGTTTTTACATGTATTCAGTTTCTTATCTTGTGAAGATCATTGCAGAGAATTCTGTTGAGGCCTCAAGCTTTCAAAATGAAGGAATGTTTTACATGGTTAGAATTAGGTCTAATAATGTTATATCGTCGTGGATGTGAAAAAATATCTAAAGGTAAAAGATGCAAAATTAGATTCGTCCCCCAAAGTGTTAAATGGAATTATTCATTTGAAAAATAATAATGATAAAAAAATAATAAAAAGCAACTGAAGAATTGAATTTATTTTGCTTTGCTCCTAAAATATTCACCACACTAGGTTAGGTCTGATCATCTTCTTACCTATTAGTAAGATAAACTGATGGCAAACAATCTCTAAGTCAAGATAAAACCAAAGACTGCAGATTTTCTAATAAAAAATCTTTACAAGACACGCTTTGCTGATGTCAGTTTTGGCAAGATTGGCAAGTTTGTCACCCTATCACATTCAATATGATGATGATGATGATGATGATGATGATGATGATGATGATGATGATGATGATGATGATGATGATGAT